CGTTAGTTCATCTGTCGCATCACAAACGCTGACGTTTTTCGCAAAGACTAAAAAGCAATTTTGGGGACATCATGTAAGGTATGTTGGGACGAGAAGCTGCTGATGCTTCAGGGAGCCGTGACGGCTGCTCGAGACGCAAAGGCGCTAGACCAAAAGCAGCCTAGACCAGCAGGTATCGCTCCCAGATCGCTCCCTGCTCCTTTGAATCTTGGGTCAATACATCCCGAATAGACAAGGTACTAAAATCTAGATCCGTGAACCTGGAGCTCTTGCAGATCTGGATTCTAGTAGCCTCATGAACGTCGTCAACGCGCTGACTAAGTGGACAACTTCCCGCGGCTTCTCTATCTTTCGGTCAACATCCGTTATAGCGTCGAGTCACACCTCATCTAGAGTTCCTCTACTCAATCTCCACACACTCCGTCGTTATACAGTCGCAATCATGGGTGCTACCACGGCACCTGCCATAGTTGGCGCTCTGCAATGCCAAAAGAATTCTTATCTTCAAACCCTCGAAACTGAAGTTGTTTCCTGCGAAGAATTTGTGCCGCCAAAACCAGTACAACAGGCGGGAAAATCAAAGTCGAAAAAGTCGACCGACCCAACAAAAGGCATCGAGAATGGAGATGCGACCGGCAGCAAAACATATCTTATCGAGCTTGCCGATTCTGTTCTGTTCCCCGAGGGTGGCGGCCAACATACAGACCACGGCGTTCTGACCACATTGAAACATGATGAAAGCAAGGAAGAAATACCAATACGAAGTATCCAACGTCATGGCCTGCGTTGTATACATTTCTCGCCTACACCGCTTCCACCTGGAATGCCGGTTCGCCAAACTGTCGATTTTGCTAGGCGCTGGGATCTCATGCAGCAACATACTGGACAGCACCTTCTATCCGCTATCATGGACGGCATGGACCTACCAACACTTGGGTGGAGCATGGGTCAACCCGGAGAAATGAACTACGTTGAGCTACCACGAAAACCGACAGACGATGAGATTCAGAAGATACAAAAGGACTGTAATGCGAAGATTGGAGAAAGCATGCCAATTACGGTTGAAACACCAGAGGGAAAAGGGAGTGATAGCTTACCTGATGACTATGACAAAGAAAAAGGCGTTGTGCGATTCATCAAGATCGGGGACATGGACTATAATGCTTGCTGTGGGACCCATCTCCAGAATTCAGCGCACATTAGCGTGATCCTTCTCCATCACACTCAATCCGTGCGAGGAACAAACTGCCGACTCTTTTTCACGGCTGGCGATCGCGCTATCAGGATGGCTACGGAGGCCATCAACGGTCTTCGTACGATAGCTGTCTCGTTATCTTCCAGCTCTGCGCCCACGGATGTAGCAGCTGGCGTGCAAAGAATGAGTGACCAAGTTTCGGAATCGAGAAAGAAAGAAAAGAAACTGCTTGCAGAAATTGCAAGCTTCGAAGGCGAACGTATAAAGACGCAGTTGCAGAGCCAAGAGGTGGCATTCTCCCACCGCACAACCGACGGATTGGACTTCATCAACATGGTATTCTTCGAAGTCAAAGATACAGTCAAGGAGCGGGACGGTGTCGTGGTATTGTGCTCCGGTGAAGTCAAGACATCTGGATCCGTTCTCGTATTTGGGATGCCAGAGTTAGTTGAGAAGATGACTGCCAAGGTCAAGGAAGTTGTGAGTACAGCAAAGGGCGGCGGTAAGGGAGAGAAGTGGCAAGGCAAGGTTACTGAGTGGCAGAAAGGCGAGATAGAGGCGTTGAGGGATGTTGTAAACACACGCTAGGTGTTATAGTAGAATATATGATGGATAGATATATACACAAATAAATATAGACAAGAAGAGAAGTTCTAGGGTATTGAGCGAGCGTCCTGGCGGTGGGCCTCCTCAGATGCAACAGATGAAGAAGAATATTCTCTATATAAGAAGCGAAATACCCGGATGTGTGTACATTCAAGATGAAAGGTTGAAGAAGAAGGATATATAAACATGTTCCCATGTCGCATAGGGAAACGTACAGATCATATAATCTGGTAGTGTTCTTGGTGTAAGAACAATTATGCACTGTACACCTTGACAGAGTTGATGAGCCAGTATGTCTATTCATTGTCAGTGCTGCTCATCAAGTGGAAAACCGACAATACTCACATCAGAAAAGTTCTGCGGCTGACTCGCCACATAAGCGCTACAGCTGGGGTTAATGGAGGAGCATTGCGAAGTTGAGCCCCAAACACCACCAGCCCAATCACCACAAAAGGTGATATCAAAGACGATATTCAGGTTCCTGAACTTTGCATCAAAGTCGCATCCTGCAAAGTTGGCTACTGGCTTGCCCCAAGTCGACGGGTCCGGGTTTCCGCTCTTGATGTTCGCAGGCACGTTTCGAGTAGCAAAGTACCACACCTTGATACCAGAGCTTGTCCAGAGAGTAGCGTAGACTCCACCGCCGTTGGCATTGAATGGTGAACCATATGTCACGGGGTTATTGGCCATTATGCCGCAGCCGTTGAAGCCGCCTCCCGCACCGCAATCTGCGCCGTTGATGCGCGAACCGGATTCGCCGCCCGAGCCGATGGTTGGGGTGCAGCCTGGGGAGCTATGGAGGGTAATTTGGTTCGAGGAGGACAAGTGCACGCCTTCGTAGATGTCGATCTCGCCTTGGTTTGGCCAGTTGGGTCCGACCATCCAGCTGGGAACATTAGTATGTGTTCGCCTCATGGAACATGATATACGTACAAGGCCGGCCACGAACCACATGCACTACCCGGGACATGCGCAAAGTCTGCAATGACAAGGGCATGATTGTACGCTGTCTTGCTTTGCACTCGTACACTCTTACGTCCTGGACCATTCGGGTCGAGATGTGATGTTGAGTCTACCCCCATGTAAACTTGTCCATTTTGTGTCTTGAGCAAGCCCTGTTGCTGAGCTTGTTGTAGGTTGACGTAGTCGACAAATCCATCTGTAATACATGTTAGTGTCGAGTACTACAAAGTTACACATGGCCAACGTACGCGTAGGATCAGCGATATCCTGAACATCGAACTTAGACACCCAGTTACTCGCATCGTATGTGTCGATCAAGTTGTAAGCTGCTGAAGCCGAGAAATCATCCTGGGAAGGGTAAACATAGGAGCTGCCGTTTTGCCAGGAACCGGGTCCTGCAGGTAGTGCGGTGGCACAGCGCCAAAAGAGCGGAATCGAAACGAAGAGTGACTTGAAAGACATAGTAGTCGTATATACAAGAGATTCTGGGTGTATAGTCGTACAGAAATAAATGCTGGGTTCATGTCTTATACTTATAGTCATGCATATTGACTGCGCATGCTACTATTCCTCCCTATACAGAGTCGACAATAAATCTCGGTCTGCTGCGCGATGCAGAAGGCGTTCCGCTCCTAGGAGATTGCGTGACCTGGTGTTCTACTGGGAAATGTTCTCATTGGATATCCGTTTCGAATCAGTGACAAACCCCTTGTAGTTTTGCAATACATAATGTGACAAATGCGCCAGGCTCAAATTGTTCGCGGGAAATTCGCCCATTCGGGCAGTTGGGAACTCCCCATGGCAAACGTGGGCGTCCCACATGATGGGAGTCCAGACACCGGTAACCTCGTGGTAGAAGTAGCGGCAGTTAGTCTTACTTGGTGTTTGGCGGTTTCAGTAGTTTTGCTGGTCAAGTCGCTTGGAGGCCTCTGAGTGGTGGACGTGCTTGGCGTACTTATTAAACTGATCTTGCTTCCGCGGATGGGTCGACCCGCAACGGTGAAGCGAGAAGAAACAAATATCGTTAAAAAGGGTTCCAAAGGTTGTTTACGGGCGAGAACATGATGGGTTTGCGCCTTTCCTCTTATGTTCGCTGCTTTTGGGAATAGCGCTTTCGATCGCTAACCGTGACACTCGCCCCTTCCACCTTTTGCGAACGAAACCTGCGAATCTGTCGACGAGTATGATGTGTCAACTGCTAGGAAACAGCTTAGAAGATTCCGGGGTGTTGTGGTGGTTAGCCTGTCGCACTAACCCCGCAGTTCATCCCCATGGAAAGAGCATCTGATGTTCGAGGTCACACTGGCCGACTTCCACGCCCCACAGAATCTTCCTCACCGCGCATTTACCGGTGGTGCAGCCTCGCATCCAGGTAAACGGCGCATGCGGAGAGCTCGCGTGGTTCAACGTAGCACTGCTTAGGCTGACAGAAATCTCAAAACTTTTCCCTGTGTAGTCTCCTGCTAAGATGCTCACCGCTCACAATACACTGCGTGTTTTTACTCATAACACGACACCGATCAGAATTGGTGTAGGGAGCCAATCAAAGTCATATACAAGATGGGTAAGCATGTTGGGTGGTTGCGGCTCAGGGTATAAAGAGCAGAGCAAGGGATGACTTGAAGCAGGTGTTGGTGCAGCCCGATCCCTAGAAGTAACTTCGGAAATAGCTATGAACGTTTCCTAGATTCTGAAGTATAAAATAGTTTAATTCCTGTATGCCATAGACTGTGTATCGCGAACATTGAAGTCTATACAACGTTTGTAGGAATAGTTACAGTGCGAGGTAGCCATCATCGCTCGTAAGCCAAAGGGAACACGGATGAGGACTCATTAAAAATTTCTTTGTAATGATCTGTGTCATAAATGCTTTGTTGTGCTACCAGTTTGTGTCACTTTCAGCATAGTTGCCGTCCTCAGGCCACTTCCCATGTGCATGGAGCAGTTCTTGACCTCGTGTAGCAATGGAATGCATGGAACAAGACCCTGGCCTGTCATACCCACTATTGGTACACGATCATGTCGTATTAATTATTGAAGTTGTGATTCCGTTTGTCAGTCACGCCTTTTCAGGCCTCAAAGCTCGAAGCTCGAGGCTCAAAGCTCAAGGCTCAAACCCAATGCGCACCCCACATGTTAAGCCGTTTCCGTGGCGCTGTCGTGGATCATTATCATGAACTACATTGTATGAGAGTGTCGCTTTCTGGCCATGGCGCTAACTGAGCTGTGGAAAATGCTCATGTGAGACCTCAAGCTGTGACTGAGTCTTTGCACCACGTAGATACACAGGTGAAGTAAGCCATGTATATATGACAACGTACATTGTTTTCATAGCTAGATGCGAGCTCAGAAAGAAACGGATTGAGCTCTTTCATTGCAAGTGAAATAACTGTTCAATGTATCATCTTTTCTATACCTAGAATAGATCTATTCACGCTTCTCTAACAAATCGCGGCTTCTTTCTTACGCGTTTACAACGATCGAGACCTCAAAGTAACCGTTATACAGTCACTCCAACACAACACCATGCTTCTAAGGAGTCATATTCAGCTCCAGAAGACTTATGTATTCATTGTTGCATGCAATACTGATTGTTTGTTCTAGTGGTACAATGACTCTTCTCAGTGTATATGAAGACTTTCCGGCCATGCAGAATCCTTATATTCCTCAAATTCAGAAAAGCAACGACTTAACTAAGTAGTAAGACTCAACTTCGCTATGCCTCACAATCCTCTTCCATCTGCGGGCTCGCTCCCGCCCACAATCCAATTCAGCCGAGTGCCTCCATAGACACATCCAATCCCTCCACCGGAAAATCGTTGCGGAATATTTCAAACAACAGAGCATAGATTCAGTTTGTGATAGTCTTCTCGATTCTTCCTGCTCTCTTGGATTGGCTATTATCCGGTGTCGAGGTTGGCCCGGCACATGCTCCAGCACATCGCTGGTGGTCTCTACGTCTTTGGGAAGATTGGCTATCATTCTTCATGTTACTTTGGATTTTACGTCTCATCCGTTACTTTCGAAAATTTGGGCCCGAGAGTCGGCTTTCCTTGTTGTATATGATGTCCCTCTTCTGGCACATGGCACCAGTCATATGTATCGGGAGATCAGCTAGAAAAGCCCGTATCGTTAAGGATCCTAACATTGTCTGGTTCATTTCTATCGTATTCGGTCGATACTGCCGTACCGTTGTCGCTCTCCTTGCTTTCCTTCTTTCTAAGCAATTTTCAAGGTCTGCTGATGGAAAGGGAACACAGTACTTCCCATCAGACTGTACAGTCGTTGTATCTACCGCAGGACCGAAAACCGAGGAAGATATTCCCATGTTCGAGAGAATGGTAACAGGTGTCTTACAAAGCAAGGCCGGATGCATGGTTTTATCGGCGCCGACTACTAACGACGTGGAAAATATCAAACAAGAGGTTGCGAAAGTTACCGAAAAGATGGCCCCGGAAGAATTTCAAACAGAGATCAAGTACACATCAGCTGCCAACGTAATGAACAAGCGCTACCAGGCAGTGGCAGGTTGGAACATGGCCGATACCCCAATCGTGGTCAACCTCGACGACACCGCTATCATGGAGTCTTCTGAGTGCCTCAAGGTCGCAATTCGAGCTTTCAGTGACCCAAGAGTTGGATTGATCGCAACAACAAAGTGGGTAGAGCGTGTCGAAGGAAACTCCTTTGTGGCAGGATTCTGGAACATGATAGGCAACCTCTACCTCACCCGCCATACCTTTGAGATCATCGCATCGTTTTTCATGGACGGCGGGTTTTTTGTTGCTTCAGGCCGGTTCAATCTTATACGAAGAATTATTGTACAAGATGAACGTTTCCAGAAAGAATTCTTGGATGAGTACCTATGGCAGGGTTTCTTCAAGCGTCTCGTGTGGCTGGGGAAACGAAGCTCAGGCTTCCAATCGTTCTTCGACATGCTCTGCAAGAAATTCGAGTGCATTACTTTGCGCGGTATCGGGCCAGTTCAAGCTGACGATGATAACTTCATTTCGCGCTGGGTCATTAACGAGGGCTGGAATGTTGCGGTTGAAAGCTCGCCTGAAGCGAGAATCATTACTCGACTGGGTGGAATGGATCTGGAATCCTCCAAGCTCTTGCCCGCCAAGTTTCTCGATCAATGTCATCGCTGGAGCCGCACAACCTTGCGACAAAACCCCGAGGCACTCCTTTCCGACTTGACCATTTGGATGAAGTGGCCAATTACAACTTGGATGACCTATATTCCGTGGCTCTACAACACAGCACTGGCATGGGACTTTGCTATTATCTGGACGTTTACTCGGACGACAGTTTATACCCAGTCTTCACATCGCGTAGGACTTTTGACCATTCTGATCCTGTCTATCTGGGGAACGAAGTTGATCAAGGTCATACTATGGTACTGGTATCATCCCCAGGATTTGCGGTACATCCTTTTTCATGTGGCGTTTTCATACTTTCATTCGCTCATTAAATTTTACACCATGGCCACCGTTGGTGACTTGAGTTGGAGTGGACGCAAGAATGCAGGACAGTCGAAATTAGACACCAAGAAGGAAGGCTAAGTCCCATGCCGACATCGACCAGATTTGACTGTCTCAGACAGTTCGAATCGCTGCTAGTGCCTATCCAGGTGGGCAAAACTGACCACACGGTTAGCTAGCAAATCCTCCATGTTTGCTTACATGGAGCTATTCTTTGTTGAAGGGGGAAACATGGCTTGTCACACCACCCTTCTCCTATGTCCAGGGGGGTTTGCGATATTTCTTTCGGCGTTCTGTTATTTATGATACCCCTGGGTCCCAATGTGGATAGGCTGCGATAGGCCAATGAATCGTGAGTTCGAAAATGTTTTACTTTCTCCACAATACCGTGCTGTTCTGTGACTTAGATGCCTGCTGCATTATGTTGACTTTGTTATGGATGTCGACACGGAATGTTCCGGCAGTGCTGCGGAATCGTACCTACCTACTGGCAACAGTCGACGTGACGTCATTCGATACTTCTAGGTTGAAGCCTTGAATCAGTCATGGGCTTCCTTTGCTTTCAAAGGGGCGCGAAACTTTGTTCAAACCCATTTTATACATTTGCAAGACATGAATCGAGCTACTCAGGTACAACCACATTATTCTTACTTCTTTCGCGAACTACCTAGGTAAACTTGTGCACCCGACGGAATGGATACTCTGTGCTCCACTTCAACTCTACTTTGACCACATATTTCTCCGCATTACATACGAATGGACTAATGGTACCGAGGGGAGGCGCTCGTGCCGATACTCTCATTGTGACAGGCTTGAGCTAGTAAGACAGAAAAGCTTGGTAAGGCCCACAATCTTCGGTCTCGACCACGCTGCTGGACCTAAGACAGACGCAGGTCGTAGTACTTGCCGGTCTCGAAATAGTACTGACATGGGTCGTGTTTGGTGAGGTCTCACAGTATGGTCGCCGAACAAACCACGTCTATACTGCAGCGTTCCAAGGGACACGATATCGTTGCTATGCACTCAGACACCCTGGACCCTACAAGACCAAGCCTTGTCATCTGGCGTGCAAATATCTGAATGGTCAGCCTGGTTGACGCTGTCCCTCAGGACTGGGGTAAGCGACAATTTGGGGGCCAGAATCAGGAGAACGCGGGGGCCGTTCAAGCGAGATAGTCGACGCCAGCCAAGTCCCCCCTCAGAATTAGACTACGAGTCCTCCAGGACCACCTCGGGGATGTTTTGCGACGAAGCATGCATGGTGGACTGATCTGTCACGCGGGCCAATAAGTCCATTTTGGCTCCGCCTCTGGGAGGAGAAAGCAGTTGTTTTTCACTTACTTGCCAGTTCGTCTCGAGACCCTTACCCCTACCGCGGTTGCGGATGTTGCCATTCTAGCCGTCAGAGACGAAGTGGCGTCTTTGGGCATTGTTGTTTCGGTACCGCAGCCGTGCGCGCCATCTATCTGTGGACAGTAGCAATTATAGTCCAGACTGCCAGCACACCCCATGGATTCGGTTGCGAAGAGCAGTGATTGGACGCACTTAGGGACAATGACGGCCTCATGAGTGAGTTGAAGCAGAAATGAGAGTAGGCGATTGTTTCTCCCAGTACCACACCTGTGCGTGCCCTGGCAAGCCTCACAAAAACACTTCAGCGTCGGTTGTCTAGATTTGACGGGGAGGGATTCCCACAGCTCTCCAGTGTACACTCGATATCGGCTAGGATGTGCTGGATACCGACACCAAATTAGCCATCCGGTCATGTGCAGCCAGTAGGGCAGCTCGAGGCGAGATCTGGAGCGCATCGTGAGGCTCTGTTCATGGAAGTCAGACCACCGGTCAGGCCACCAGCCCAAGCCACAGGCTGCAGGTATGGATAAGGAAAAAGCATTTGTAGACGCCAGCAGTACGCCTACTCGTCGGTTCGTTCAAGTAGAGACTCGATCCTTGCTCTTTTTTTCGGGCCGTCGACTGTCTCAAGCCCCAAGACGGCATAGTGTCGCTCGTGGTGGGCGGGAAGGATCGTCGACCCACCTGGCCGGTGTTTGCTCCCTCCTTTCTGGGTTCGTGGCTTGGTAGTGGGGTCATTCGTGCCTACACCTAGGCGAAGCCGACGCCAGCAATCTAACTCTCCACCATTCCTCGACTGGCACGCGCTCACCCCGGTCAACGGCCGTCGATAACTAATAAGGCGCGTCATGAACTGTAACGGGCAGCGTCGCTAGTAGCGCTGGCCGTCGGAGTTGTGCCCGCACACACACTTGGACGCTGCGAAAGCGAGATGTGCGGTTGCAACAAGGCCAAAATTGGCTCCCGAGCTCGCACAACTGGGTTTGCGTGTGATGGCGCACAAGACTATCTATCTACACCACAGTGCCCGAGCCATGGAACGCCCGTCCTGGGTCCTGGGATGGTTCGCATGGTATGGAACACCAGATAGCTACGGCTCGCGATATCTGGTATGCTAGCTGGTGTTCCAAGCTATTGGTACTCACCTAGCAAGCACTCCTGTGCTGATCACCCGTCACAGTGGCTTTGGGCTTCTTCCACTTCTGTCCCTACACACCACTTGCTGCTGTTGTACCTTGCCCTGTGGGGCCTTCCAGAAGGGGATACCAGATAGCGACTCTGGTACCCTACCCGTTACAGACGACACCCTTGGTCTTTGCCCAATCACCGGCAAGGACAAGGTCAGGAAAGCAAAGGGGCAGGAAGGGGTAGACGGTCCAGATCACACCACAAAGCTTTTACCCACCTGGACAGACGACAGACGCAGTCGCTCGACATGTTGGCCCAGTTGCTCAAGACTACATTGCAGTAGGCGTCTCGAAGATGTGCTGCTAGATCGAAGCCTCGATCAAAGTACTGGCGCATGGGGGCGGCGATCGGATGTTTCGAGCTTCATGGAGCGGCGGAAAGAAAGCCCGCGCTTACTCCTATGTCAACCAACTCAGCAAAGCCTCAACGGTTGTCAGCGTAGTAGCCTGCTCCAAGACCAATTGAATCTCCGAAGCTGCAACACGTCGAGGCGGAATGAAACATGTGTTGCATACTAGAGAGGATGACTGCAGTCATCAACTTTGTTCCAAACTCGAGTGTGCAACACAGATGCAGATGGTCGACCAGGATCGTTGCGCAACAGGGTTTTGACGGTATAGCTTATCTGTTGTCGGCCCTTCTTCTCGCTCTGTCCCGTCCACCCACATCCGCGACTACGCAGGGTCGATGCGCAGTCGCAGAAGGGTCTAGACCACGGCAAAAGATGTGTGGCGGTGCAGGTTTTCATCTTTCATCTTCGATGCGTCCCAAGCAAGTTTTGGACATTTGGGTTGTTTTCCCCCGTGCCCGTACCGTTGGCCCTACACAACTGGCGCTATATACGGCCTATATCATGGCTAACATGGGATTGTGTGGCGGCGTGCGGTCATCTTACTGAAACATTATGTTTTGCACCTGCAGTCACTTGATTGCAGTGCCGACGCCGTCAAACGCAGCAAGGCGATAGGGTGGTTGCATAACAGTATTGATTGCGTACGAGAAACTAGATGACCCCACGGTCCTTGGCAGAGCTGCTGGCGGTTGCAATACCAAGATTGTCGGTGGCCTCACATCTCACAAGTGAAGAATTTTATCAACATGGTCCAGCCATATGCTACGCTGGACAAAGCACGTACTGTAGCCAGGGACGGTTTCGCTTCCGTCTAGGCAGCGATAAGAAGAGATGGATTGTGTGCGACTAAAATAGTGTGAATCGGGGAAGCGGTGCCAACCTTGGAAAGCAAAGTTGGGCTCACCCCCGCACATGTCACAATCAGCTTTATGACTGATTGACGCCAAACCGAGCGGCCTCTGGCATGCACTAGGACTAGGCAGAGATGTCTTTGTTGCGCCTCTTCATCTTGGGCCCCTGAGGTGAGTCGAAGATGAGGTGATGAAGTCTTTTCGATGGAGTGATGGCGTAAGACGGGCCCCTCGCCCAGGTGGAACAGAAGTGTTACATGGCATCGTCGAGGTGCATGGTACGGTAGCACACTCAATACTCATGCGCAAGTCGTACTGCAGACTGGTATTCTTGGCCAGGACAAGGTGATAGGCGAGCTCGTTCCCAGACAGTGTGCGGTTCACGCCCTCGACAACCTTAACCATGACACCGGGTCATGAGATTCCAGGGACCACGCGAAAGAAGATGTCACGCTGACTGCCCCGATTCTGCATGAGAGCATAGTGCGGAACATGGGGTCCGTGTAGTATGATGACTAGCATTCGGGAGCCTTTGGTCAAGACACTGGGCAGGCCTGTGCACCATGGCGCGCCGGCCTGTGAGGGCGCGGGCGGGTACCATTGCTCCTAGCAGCCCAAGCACCCCACCACTGGGTCGTCTTGTTTGGAGCGGCGCATGGATGAGTGGTGTATACTCGCGACCAAACAAAGCACAAGTGCTGTCACATGCGGGCCGTGATTAATCATGAGAGTCGACATCACGCCATGTTGCTGCAGCCTTGTGGGCAGCTCGTCCAGACGGCGGTGACAGTCTAGTATGGCGCACCGCAATATGGGCTGGTGGTTGTTAGTGGGGAGGAGAATTGGAAAGAGCGAGAAACGCGGTGAGGTCAGCGCAGTGGAATGCTTGGTATTGCAAAACAGAAAAGATTGCTGCGCCCACGCACGACGCAAGGAGCTCGCTTACAGGTCTGTTTGCAGGCAATGGTCATGCGGCACGGTAAAATTAGCAACAGACGGCCGTCAGTCCAATGATACGTCATCGACATGCACAGCCTCTCACCAGCCACAAGGCTCGCATTGCGGATCGACCATAGCGAGCTAAAAGTTTGCGAAAGCGAGATGCACACCAGACGTGTGGAATGGCAGGACTCTATGGCTGCCATGGCTCCCCGACCGAAGCGGTGATCAAGCGTGCGCATGTTTTGCAGCCTATACCTAATGCGCCCGTCGTCGCCAGATGCAGTTTGGACACTTGCACGCTCTGCACGCCTACTCGCTGGCGGCCGCCTCTCCCTCGTCACTTTCGGCATGCCTTGCTCTGTTGGGGCGTCGACTCGCGCACGCAGGGGTCGGCCACACCGCGAGTCCGAGTGCACTAGTCCTACCGTGAAGCGGTCGGGGCGCGCGATCAAGGCGGGGACGTGAAGTGACGGCCGCCGGTATCTCTGCCTTCTTTTATTTTTTCCTAGCGTGGCCTGACCGTTCCCCCATGCCAGAGAGGCCCGAGCGCTCGTAGGGCAGGACCCTCCCGACAGGGGTCTGGCGTCTGGCATGCCGTCCTGTGGCTTCGTGCACTGTTTCCCGCTGGGGGCCATGGCCTTGTGTATAAACCAACTTCGCCCCCGAAGCTTCGTCCTCCAGTTCCAGGCCCATGATCAACACCATCACTGCTCCATCTGCTCCTCTCCCGAAGCTGTGGATTGCCTTTCAGGACAAACGTCCTTGCCGCCTCTGACTTGTCCTTCGTTTCAGCCAGCCTTGTCAAGTGCTCCACAGACAAGGTCTACTCACCGTCACGCCCTCTGTCCCGAACCAGCAACCGATCTGCACTCGTCTCGACGATATCTACTCGTCGCCGACCTATACGCCAACTCTAGCATCTGATCGGCAGCGTCTCCGAGAAGGTAAACCACCCCCTGCCCGTCCCTTGTAATCTGCCCCCTCGCCCTGCCAACCAGACATCGACCATCAGATCGCACTTGTTCAGTGCTTATGCTGACTCTGTTTGTGGAAATAGGCTTCCGAAATAGAACAAACTTATAGCTCTTTGAACTTGTATTACTCTTCTCCACCACCCTCTTCACCATGGCTGAGTACGCACAATACCCAGCAAGCATGCCTCAGGACTTTGAGCTCTACTCAAACACTCACGAACACCACATGGAGTTCCACCACAGCCACCCCTTCATGTCTTCAGCATATGGCATGGAGCATGCTTTCAGTGCCTCCTACGACCCAATGGCCCCCCTCACAGAGATCCCGAGGCCTCAAGATCTACAATACCATTACGATGCCATTGTGCAAGGTGTTCGCCCATATCAATACCACACCCCAGCTGGATCGCCTCACTCTATTTCCCATTCCTTCCACGAGATGCCCCCTGTTCTCGAAGCCTCTTCCGAGTCCGGTGCTTCCGTATCTTCATCTGCCATGGGCTCACCGGCGATTGTGCCACAGTTCAATGAGTCATGGAACCCCATGCCACTAGGACACGTTCCTGGTTATGAGTACACAAACATGGCAACCGAAAAGTCCTATGTGGGTAAGTCAACAATTTCTTCGACACCAGTCACATCTTTTCCTTTAGTCAAATCTCCCATATCGCCGATTCGTAAGACACATGTTTTCAAGGTGCCCAAAACCCCAGCTTCGGCTACTCGGCCTGCTCCAACATCCAGCGAGCAACGGAACTCTCTTTCCTCAAAGAAGCTTCACACAGGAGGAGTCCACTCCACCGTTTCTCTCTCGTTTACTTCACCTCTGCAGCCCTTTCAGTCGTCTCAGTCTTGTCGGTTGCCTCTAGAGCCCAAGACGACAGACACTAACACAGTGCAAGCAGATCCTAATCTGATCCAGCCATTCGCATTCGCCCCACCTAGCCCCTATCCTGAAATCAGGACAACGCCATCTCCCTACTTCCCGGTCATCGAGCAACCTCCTTCCCCCGCTCTCTCAAACATCTCCTCATATAGTCAACGAGGATCAACGAGACACAAGAAGGGTAGCGCTAGCCCCTACCTCCACACCCAGCAATACCGGCCTTATCCCCAAGGCCAACGGCGAAGCTCAGTCAACTCTCTTCACTCGCAACACTCAGGCACAAGCCGCAAGAGCGGTAGCAGCTATGAAGTGGATGATGAGACACGCGAGAAGGGCATGTGCCCTCTGCCAGAGTGTGGACGTGTCTTCAAGGACCTAAAGGCTCACATGCTCACACACCAGAACGAGAGGCCAGAGAAGTGCCCTATCGCGGCGTGCGAGTACCACGTCAAAGGCTTCGCACGGAAATACGACAAGAACCGACACACCCTTACACATTACAAGGGCACCATGGTTTGCGGTTTCTGTCCAGGCAGTGGCTCCGCGGCTGAAAAGTCATTCAACCGCGCTGATGTCTTCAAGAGGCATCTCACCACCGTTCACGGGGTCGAACAGAATCCCCCCAACAGCCGTAAGAGGAGCCCATCGAACCGCAAGGTTCTCGGAAACGCACAGCCCAACGTTGCTGGAACTTGCTCCACTTGCTCAGTCACCTTTGCGAATGCACAAGAGTTCTACGAGCACTTGGACGACTGTGTGCTACGCGTCGTGCAACAAACCGACCCCAGCGAGGCTATCAACCAACGCCTCCTGACATCTGTCGCAGAGGACAAGGACGTCACTGAAACTCTTGACCGCAATGGCCTTTCCAAGAGCATTGAGTACAATGTCCCCAACTACGATGAAGATGAAGACGAGGAGTTTGAAGACGAGGAGATTGACAATGACGACCATGGCGACGCAACCTACGGCAGTCGTCGCGCCCGCTCGGGCAAAGGTGGCATCAAGTCGACAAAGTCGCATTGACAACTAACACATCCCCGAGGTGTCGGCTCGATGCAGCACGTCGGGGGTGGTAACAATGCAAACCAGCAGCAACACTACTCTTCCTCGCGTGTCACCAAACCCGGTCCCCGGACTGGTCTCACCTTCTCCAAAGGCGGCGTAGCCATTGTCAGCTCTGGTCGCAAAAAGCGCAAGAACTACCCCGTATCTTGGGGCTGTGCTGCCGACAAGATGAAGATGAAGAAGCGCGTACTTTGTGTCTACGATGGACCGCGCAGACTATGGAAAGACGATCTGATGCTCGACCAGGAGTACGAAGTGCGCTTGAAGATGTCAGATGGCAAATCCTATGTGACCGATCTGGACGTCCAAACAATCAATCGCGCAGAGGCCATGCACAACGCTACCATTGAAGAGAAGGGGCCTTTGATGCCCGAGAGAGTGGCTTGCGCTGTTACCGCACAAGTGAGTAATGCCAACTGGTTTGGGGGCATGAATTGAGCATTTGCGTTTTCTGCGAGCGTTTTGAGCGACACGATCGGCATAGCATATGCATGGGGTGAAACAAAAGGTCACACGGATGACCCGTACACAGAGATGCTGATGATCAACGACGACAATGACTTCTTTGTTGTACTATCAAGTTTGTAGTTTTTTGCATTCTTGTTTCTCTTCGATCGATACCACTAGGTTTGTTCCAGCCTAGGGGGCACTTGGACACTTGACGAGCGGGAAGGCAGGTTTTATATCTGGACGTGCTGGCCGCGAAGATGTAATGATTAAAGAATCTATTGGTTATCCAATCTTATTGCTACCATATCTGCCTACCTCTATGCATACGATTTGAAACCAGTTGGAAGCAGCTTCGTTGGTGGTGGTTGTACAAGTAGCTTTACCGGTAGTCCCCGTATCCCCATGTATGTCCATTGACGATGCGCCCACGCCTCGGACCTGCGTCGCAGATCTCCCCAGTCTATGGTCCCATAGATTCTCGGCTTCCAAAAGTTCCGTAAGCTGAATCCTCTTTTTTCCCGAGGGTCTGTTTAGCCAGGGCGATATCCGTGCTGTGGGCCAGCCACAGCTGACGGTGAGTGAGATATGGCTGCCCCAGATCATGGGGCTCGGGCCGCGGAGAAGAGACCCGCTTATGCCGTGATAGCGGCAAGGTAGCCTTGAAAGGAGGGCTAGCTAGCTGCGTAATTGTAGTTGGAACAGCGTGGATGATGAAGAGGAGAGGCTGGAGAGCAAAATGAAGAAGAAAGTGACGGCACGGGATGGTGAGGAACTGACAAGAAAGCTGAACTGAGGCTTCGCAAATGGGATGTAATTTAATAACTTCTTTCACAATCTTTTGTAGAGCCCTAGGGTTGCATGGTAGACGCGCAGAGCTGGTCAAGATACTCTTACACCAAGATGAAGACCCATTCAGCATATCCGTCGGTGCGGCTCTAAGGCATCAGACGCATGATTGGGATATCTGCACACACAAGCGGTGTCGCTGGAAACAAAGCGACTATTCTTATTAAATAACATATGAACGGCTGAAACATACAGGTAGAGCACAAATGGCCTTCTAGCTCTTCCCCGTGACAGCGCGTGTGGGCGGAGTGGGAAGGCGGGAAAGTATGTGCTTAGTCATGGCTAGGTAGCGGCGTAGCGCGAGCGCCCCGCATCAATGACCTAGGCAGCTAGCAGCTCCATCGACGCTCCGTACCAACGCGCAAACACAACACACGACACGCTACAACATTCGTCATGGCGTCTAATATCGAACAGTCGCCATTCTTTCTGCAACAAAAGACAAAGGGCGAAATCATTGTCAAAGGTTTGAGATGATGCCGTTCTCCACATGTATATGTACGCTAACTTGTGTAGACCCGCCCAAGTTCGACCTGGAGTCTTATATTGCAAATTACTCTGGTACGTCTTCATGTCTGACATGGCGTATTCGATTCTCAGCTGATCAACTCAGGCTATACTCGGATCGACCGTCTCCACCACATAGGCGCCCACTCGACATACCTCGCCGTAGACGCCTATCGCCTTGCTATTGCAGAGGCAAAGAGGGGCAAGAATGTTGACCTCTACACGACCCTCGCCGATGAACTTAGCAACATAGCACCCAAGGACCCTGCCGCCCATATAGACACGGCATGGGCCGAGAAAAAGTCTCGGGAAGTGCGCGAGGAGCATGACAGACTGGAGCACGAATTAAAGTCGTATAAGAACAACCTAATCAAAGAGAGCATACGGGTAAGCCGCGAGGTATATGAGACTTCGGACTTTATGCTGACGATTTGTAGATGGGCAACGAGGATCTCGGCCATTTCTACTACGACACCGGTGACTTCCCTAACGCGCAGAAGGCCTACATGAAGATGCGCGAACATTGCACGTCGCCCAAACATCTCTCCGATATGACGCTCCGTCTCGTATACGTTACCATTGCGCAAAAGTCATGGACAAATGTACTGGCAAACCTGGCCAAGTCGGATGCCACACAACTCAAAAACGAGGAGAAGGCAAAGCTGGAGCCCATCATAACAGCTTGCACTGGACTGTGTCAGATGGCTACTGGAAGTTACCGTGAAGCTGCGTCGTCCTTCATTGGTACCCCGGCGGCATATCTGACCGTGGAATCGGCAGGAGGCATCAAATGGCAAAAAGAGGTCATCTCGGGCAACGACATAGCGGTATACGGCGGCCTATGTGCACTCGCATTCATGGACCGCAGTGAACTACAGAATAGGGTTCTGGCGAACAGCGAGTTCCGCAACTTCCTTGAGCTTGAACCACACATTCGACGCGCCATCAATCTCTTCTGCAACTCCAAATACAGCGCCTGCCTCGAAGTGCTTGAGGGCTACCGCAATGACTATCTCTTGGACGTCTATCTTTCAAAGGTACTGAACATAATCTACAGCCGTATTCGAAGGAAGAGCATAGTTCAGTACTTCATACCATTCAGTTGTGTTACGCTTGCAGAGATGGCCTCCAAGTTTCCAGCAGCAGAAGGCAGGACCATCGAGGAGGACCTAGAAGATATGATCAACCAGGGCTCTCTCGATGCGCGGATAGATCTCGTCGATCGTCTGCTCATCTCCCCACCTACAAACCCGCGCTACGATGTACACACAGATGCTCTTACAATGGCCGAGACGTACGACCACACTCTACGTCTTCGGTTGATGCGTCTCAACATGCAGGCAGCGGGTATGGAGATTCAGGCTAGCAAATCGACCGACAAAGGATCGAGTATCAGCAGCGGTATTGGTATTGGTGATAGCTTCCGTAGCATGGGTTCGAAAATGGGATTTTAGGAAAAAGTCAAGGAGTGTGTGGAAAGCTATTCTGATGCAGAACAAGAAGACGATGATAGGTGGGTAAGGGTGGTGATTAGCATTGCAAGGCGTTTTGGAGCGAGGGACGGCGCATGGATGTCGGCGTCAAGCACGTAGACGGTTATTACTCTTGCTCTCGCTAGCCTAGTATGTATACGCCGAATGGGACTATGGTGGGGGCATGAAGCGGCATTATGGCGTTGGGATGGGGCACCAAGCATGCGGCGATACAGCCTTTAGCTTTCACGAATATGAAGTAGCATATGATAAGCACAAGCAAGCAAAAGCATCATCATTACAATCGTGGCTACTTTTGACCAATTGCCCTTTATTACCAATTGCATATATCAAGTAATGTATCCTGGGGTATCTAGTGTATATGATTTACCTTGCTGTTAGAAGAGAAGAGGGAAACAAAAACGCCAGCGCCTTTCAGCTTCCAGAGGTAAAAACAAGGTAGATGGATATGTGTAGATAGAACATGATACAAGAACGGCAATTGAGACACTGGCCACTCATTGCTTATCCATCAAGGTACGTTGTAGCCAAGGCATCACCTAAATACGCTTGACCCACGTGCTGTAGCCCATTGATCTTGCTGTTGCTGTTGTTGTTGTTGTTGTTGTTGTTGCTGCTGCTGCTGCTGTGGTTGCGGTGTCGTCTGGTACCCATAGTATGCCACAGTCGGCCAAGCAAAGTCAGCCCGGGCATACGGATCCGAAGCATCCATTGAAGGAGCCGTAGGCGACATGCCACTACTTGCCTGATGTATCTGAGAAGTAGATTGAGCCTGTTGCGTTTGAGGGACTTGTGCGTTCTGTGTGGATATGGGGCTTTGCGTCATAAGCGTGTTTTGACCTGTCATGGTGTTGACGGAATGATTGTTTTGTGGCATGGATCGGCTCATTGTGCGGTATGGAGAGTGGTTGGCGTGGTTTGTTGTGAAATAGTTTTGTTGCTTCTGTAGCTGCGTACTTTGCATTTGTTGAGCTGCGGCGGCTTGGAGCTGCTGCTGCGTGCTCAAGGAGGGCTGTGGAGATCCAATCTGCTGGTGCTGGTGCTGTTGCTGTTGCTGTTGCTGTTGCTGCTGCGGCTGTGGTATGTTGTTCTGTAGACGCTGCTTAGGTGATTGACTACCCAGCTTGTATGCCAGCTGCTGCTGTGGGCTACTGAGACTGCGTGATGGGCCCTGATTAAGCTGCTGAAGTTGTTGACGGTGATTTGGTATTGACGGTTGGCACTGTTGTTGCTCCTGTTGCTGCTGCTGAGGGCCATGAGCCTGCGAATGATGTCGAGCTTGCTGTTGGACCTGAGCCTGCTGTAAAGATTGGGTATTGATATGCACGCGCTGCGGTTGGCGTTGCATGTATGCTTGCTGCGGCGTCTGCACTGGAGTGGTCGAAGCTCGCTCTCCAGTTTCAAACTCCCGTATCTTGGCTCTGGCTTCCTCCAACTCTCTCTTTAGCTGCTCAAGCTCAGAAACCTCATCGTTCCCGGCTTGATCAGCCTGGCGTATCGAGTCGGAGAATTCGGTACGTTGGTGCTGATCATCGCCGTTGGAGGGATCAGGATAGACGCATGATCGATTCTTCTCGAGACATTTCTGGCATATTGGTCTCGTACCATCACACTGGGAATAAGTCAGCTCTAGTCTGGTAAGGTTGAGAATTATGCCACTGTGGAGCGAGTACTGAAGCTGGTAGCCAGAGTCACAGGTCTCAAGCTTGGTACTGCCTGCTTGGCGATGTATTCCACCTGAAAGCCGTTCTTAACATACCTTTGTCTTCTTCGTCTTGCAGGCATCACAGCTGGTTCTGGGTCGTCTTCTCTGCTGGTTTGGCGATAGTTCGGTTTCAACATGCAGTGTTGGCCGAGGCGCGGAAGCGGGTCTTTGAGGAGGGGGCGGAGGCGGAGGTGGAGGTGGAGGCTCTAGGGGAGCTGACGCTGTTTGGGCAGGTGTATCTACTTGTATCAGCTCCAGCAGGGACCGAAGGCTCTGCGCTCTCAGATCGCTTTCAAGTGAGGTATTGGACTGTCTCGGGGGTTCCGGTACTGGCAGCGGGAGCGAAGGGGGCTGCGACTTCTTCCGCTTCGGCCTGGGTGTGTCTGGGTCCTCACTGCTGAGCTGACGCGATCGGCTCGCGAGCCTGACGAGAGCCTCGGGGTCATTCTCCTCAAGATACTTTCGGCGCTTCGAGTCTTTGCGTGGCGGCGGGGCGCGCTCTTCGTACGTCTTGTGTATGGGCACATGCTTGTAGATGACGTCGAGCGTCTGTTTGGCAGCTGAGAACTTGATGGACAGAACGCCCTTGCAGTCGTAGACGGGCTTAGTGGCGCGTTTTCCCAGCTTTGCGCCCTTGCCGTTGGCGGCGCGGTCCTTGTTGAGCAGCGAGTCGTTGCAGTAGTAGGAGAAGCGGAAGCTGTCATCTTCTCTGCTATTCCAGCAGTTGTGGAAGCTGTAGCGGTAGCCGTCAATGCGCTGTATCATGTCGACGCAGCACTTTGCAATGGCTCTCTGCTTACGCATCTTCTCCTTGGGGTCTGACGTTGGCTGCAGCGCATCGTACACGGTCGAGCTGACCTTGTGCTCGTCCTTGGAGCCTGGGCCTGCTCCATTGTTCGGCTCGATCGACTCTGAGAAGGCAGGTGCGAGGGCGCCAGCAGCGTCTGCCAGATGCTGATATTGGACGGAACCGCCATAGTGGGCAGGTTGGTAGCCGGGCGGCGCATGCGCATGTTGATGCGGGGTGGACTCGGACGCTTGCTGAGTCTGTGCCTGCGCCTGCGATTCTGACGTGGTTGAGGTGGTCGAGGCGGGCGGCGGCACCGTGAAGGTGGTGCCTATCCAGAAGGAAAAGTGCGCCTCTGTGTGCTCGGGGTCCTCTGGAGGGCTGCTAAGATAGTCTTGCAACGAGGATTGGAAATGCGACGTCGAGGTCACTGTGTGTGGTACCACTTTGGCCAAAGCATCCCTCGCATGTCGTCCCCTCGCCAGAGGTGCGGGTGCCGACACTACAGGCCATAATGCCGAGTCGTCAGGATGAGGGAGACCAGTGACTTGAACATGGGGAGATGCCATGGGATTGTGGGGACTACTGGGAGGCATGTTTGAACGGTAATACGGAGTTTTGGACAAGACGGCCGTGCAGAACTAGCGCAATCTTGACCTCTTGACCTCTTTTCATTCCAATGTCTTCTGGCCTACATGTACACGTCGACTTTGCCCTTGGTCTCGTGCACGAAGCTTTATCTATCCTTTATTCATCTGCTAACCGTGTCATGACGTGTATATAGCTGTGGTGTTACGGCGGGCATCTTCCTCCTAAGCTTTCGCTCGCTTCTGTACCTGCCGTGGCTGCCTGAGGCTCGTAAAGAGCTGTACGCGACTCGATCCTGCACCACGTCCATGCATCAGTCATGTTGACAAACTCGGTTAGAACCGCTTCTTCTCCTGCCCGTATGCGGCACAGATGTAGGCAAGCACGTGATGGCCGCTGCCTACCCAAGTGCTTGTCACCCAGCGCCCTTTTAACGCCAGATTGTCGACATGCTGTGGCACAAGGGCACAATCCGTAACAAACTGCAGTGAGCAAACTAGGCAGCAACATGCATCGCCCCGTACATGTATGCTTTTGCTCCACCACAAACGCACCTGGGCGACGACATAAATTACTCGACAGTGTGGGTAGCATACGCCTCTGTACACTAGCGTGCCAGGCATCTTATGTCACCCAGGTGAACGCACGTCGTTCCTTCCCTCCAGCCCTTTACTCCACACTTTCTTTGCCTTTAGCTTCTCGCTGCCCACCTCGTCGAAGCAGCACTTCACAACTATCAAAGTCCAGATTACATCTCCACAGTCACCACTTCCACCCCTCACCTAGGCTTCAGATCAAGACACTAACAAATATGGCTGCCGAGGACACTCTGCCCAGCACCCCGCACCACACTGTACTGAACTCCAGCTTCCCAGTCCTGCTCCCAGAAGACGCTACATTACATATACCAGAAGACGACTTTCAAGCTTGGCTCAACCAGCAGCTTCGTCAGAGCCCAGAAGAGCCCAAGAAGGAGACCGTCATCATTGACGATGACGGCTCAGCCACCGTCTCTGGGGATGAACCTGTACGTCACATTAGCTTGAAGCGGAGAGCTTCGGCTGAAGCTGACAACTCTCGTTCACAGAAAGCGCCCTTCATTGCCGGCATGGAGGATTATGCTCACCACCGCTCGCTTGAAGAGCTTGCCGAAAACAACCTAACCCTCACGGAGAACGCCGATGTCACCAATATCTCCGCGAAGAACAACTTTGTCAACCTGTTCTATGATCTGGGAGACGGTACAACGGGGGAGAAGCTAAAAGCCTTACTTCAAGACGCCTGGGCTGAGGATCCGCTCCTGACACTGAAGATCGTCTTCAACGCGCGAAGTATACATTTGGGTAAGAGCAATCGAATCGCCACGTACAAAGCTTTTGGGTGGCTTGCGGAGAACCACCCTCTAACTCTTCTGGCAAACTTGAAGTGGTTGGTTCGGCCTGTCATCGAAAAAAAGCGCGGGCCAGCAGAGAATGAGAAGAAAACGGTAGGCGTTGAAGACTTCGACATCATTGACGCAGGGGAGGTTGAGAAGAAAAAGGTCGGCGTTGAAGAATATGACATCATTGGCGCAGAGGATGTTGATCCGGCCAAAGCCCATGACGTTCGGTACGGCATGTCCCACGGATATTGGAAAGACCTCTTGAACCTCGTTGTCTTTGCAGCAAACGATCAGCTCAAATTTGATGGGGATCCTTCTTCACTACTTACTCAGAAACGTGACGAATCCTATGAAGCCAAGCGAAAGAGGAACTGGGACCCAAAGAGTGCGAAGGCGGCCCGGCAGCAGAAGAAGCAGGAACAAAATGAGCGAGTGCAGAACAAGATGAAGAATGATGCATTTTACCGGGCGCTTCACATCACTGTTGCCAGGCTCTTTGCTGAACAACTGAAGACAGACAAGGCGTTATTGGATTCTGGGAAGAAATCAGACCTGAAGAAGCTATCTCTCGCAGCCAAATGGACACCTACATTCGGCGAGTTTCACGACAAGCATACATTCATCCTTTCTTCTATTGCGGAGATATTGTACCCAGAGCCGGCCTTATACTGTCCAGATGCTGCAAACCGCGAGCTCTATCTTCGTCATGTCCGCGAGGCTTATCGCAAACAATATGCATCACCCCTCCGCAAGGCTTTGGGTGTTGTAGAGCGAGATATTACCGCCGAGACCTTTGAGAATATCAAGTATGATCGGGTACCATCTCTGGCTATGGACCGGTACAGCGGACTCTTTGTGAAGAAAGATTTTGAGCGCTTCACGGAATACATCAAGAAAGTCTCTTCAGGCGAAGCAAAGATTTCCGGAGCAACTCTGATGCCGTCAACCCTGGTTAGCAAAGCGATAAAATGCGGGCTCGCGAATCTTAAAGGATCTGGTAAACCTAACTTCGCGCAAGTCAAAGCAGCCACGGAAGCTCAGATCATTGGCGATATCATCGATGGCCAGTGGAACACGCTCGTAAATCGTGTACGTGAATCAGGTACATTGCAGTCTAGCATCGCCGTGTGCGACGTCAGTGGTAGCATGAATGGTCCAACGTTCAAGGACGGTTCGTGCCCAATGGATTCTGCAATAGGTCTCTCACTCCTCATCTCAGAGGTGACGGCGCCTCCCTTCGGTGGCGGCTTCATAACATTCTCGGAGAGTCCTTCATACGTTTCCATGGCCAAAGCACCGAAGGGTCTTGTTGAACAGGTGGGGTATATGGAGAATGCCGATTGGGGCATGAACACAGACTTTGTCGCAGTCTTTGAGGACATCATTCTACCCATGGCTATAAACAACAAACTCAAGCAAGAAGAAATGGTCAAGCAGATCTTCGTCTTCAGCGATATGCAGTTCGACCAAGCAGGAACACCTGACCGTTGGACAACATCGTACGATCGTATCAAGAAAAAATACGCTGAAGCTGGCTATGAGATGCCGCGCCTCATCTTCTGGAATCTAGCTGCAGACAGCACGGACAAGCCGACGACTATGGATGACGTGGACACTGCGTTGGTGTCGGGATACTCGCAGGGTATGCTCAAGGTATTCTTGGAGAGCGGCGCATTCGAGGATGAAGAGTTTGTGGAAGAGGTGGAAGTTGAAGGCGATGATGGTATCATGGAGGTGAGGAAGGTGCAGAAGAAGATCGATCCGATTACCATTGTGAAGAAGGCGACCGATCACAAGGCCTACAGCATGTTGGAGGTGGTTGACTAATTGGCTTGATGTAGTGCAGTCTATCAAAGTGTAGATGGCGTGATGCTACTCCAATTTCAGAATACCCCACTCTTCCATTTCAAATGTAACTTATACTGCTACAAAACCACCGTAGTCACCAAAATACATTGCTTCCCTCACATGTTCTCGTTCTTCCACGCTCGGTATTCGGATGAGAGCACATGCACAAATAGGACAAGTCCACCGAATATACCATATCGGCGGAGTGTCTGGTCAAAGCCACATCCTCCACATTTCTCAAATAACCAGTCATACCAACGCACCTCCAGTCTGCCTCTCACACCCTGGCAAATGCCCATGAAGAAACCCGCCATCATTCCTGCAAGTCTTCCCGCAATACGGGCAAAACGCCGCCTTAGTAAAGAAATCCCGACACACCAACTAATGATCCTTCCTACTATACCACTCCTTACAGTTACGACACTTCCCAAATAGCATCTCCTTGCCATCAACGTCCATATTGCGCGTCTCAACAGGTCCGCCATCCACGACAGTCTTTTCGAGTGGGACTTGAGCTGGGCGTGGAAACCAGGCTGGCCTTCTTCTTGATGGTATTCCTGGCCACCTTGGGTGCTTCAGCAAGTATGTTTGCCGCTGTAAAAGCCTCTTTTAACTAAGATGTCAGTTTGATAACCCGCTTCTCAAGCCACTCTTTTCTTCAGGGGACTTGCGTAGACCAGACTTGACGACAGAAGCTTCTTGTTTTGCTAACTGCAAGGCAGTTCCGATGTCTTCCTTGGCCTCCCTGACTCTATCGAGTTGTTGCATTAAAATATGCAACTAATTCAGTATCGCTCAGGTCTTGGGCTCTGAAATTTTTGCGATTTCGTTGATTGATGCACAGCGACACCCAGTCTACTACACTGGCAAGAGCAACGAAAACACCCAAAAACGCGCCATTATTATCAGAAATGCGAATTTGCTCGTGCAGAAGATTCAGGAGTGGTCCAGAAGTATATCGTTGTGATTTTCCGTTGTTGGTGTAATTGGCAGTGCAAAACAGCTCGGGCTCCAGAGCGAATATCTCGACAACTGGATGGTCGGCACTGGGAACGATGGCCTTGGCGCTATTTTCCTATATGTATTGAGTATGTAGTTTAATGCAGCAAATCGTGCGAGGGTATTGTTGATCTTTTTCATCTCTTCGGTTGTTGGCAGGCCTTTTTTCGTAGAAGATGACAATGACTATGCTAGTGACTGCTGTGGCGAGGGAATGGGCGGAAGAATGAGTGGTTCCATTTTTGCAACAGGGTTGATAAATGCTCGCCGTCGAGTGAGTATGCCATAGTGGCTGCGAGGGTGGGTTTTCGCTTCCTCTGATGAAGAGTTGGGAAGGGGCCAATGCGCTTTGGGTAGCACTAGCGGAATCGAGTTGCAGGCAGGCTGACAACAGTGGCAAAGGAATGGGATTTTTATGGAAGAATTCTCAAGGCAGTGAAGTAGAGGAGAACCTGGCTAGGTGGGAGTTAGGGTATGGGGTGTTGCTGGGGAGGTGCAGATGTGATCTCATTCACTCTCCTGATTCAGATACTCTGACCTGATGTCAGCAACCGACGGCGTTGGTATACGACAGTTGAGAACAATGACGCGATCGCCAAACACCCATGAAAGCCCCTGCGATGATGTGCATGTTCCAAAAGTACATACGAGGGCCTCTACGGAAGGACCAAGCAAAGCAAGCGCACTGACATGTACATGGTAAGATCACAAATGAATGGTACGAGAGGTACTGATGATGTCGCATCGCTCGGTCCGGATGTCCCATACTGTCTTGGTGATCCTCCCGTACTGATTTCAAGTCTTGGGAATAGGATGTGTGTTGTGCGATCAAATTCTATGAACTAGCGATGTGGTAATCCGGCGGTGTTCTCGGAAACTTACAGGCTTCTATTCAGCTTCGATACGATAGCAAAGCTTGCAGAGTAGGACCAGCGAGTGTGGCTCTTCTACCGTTCAATCAAACGTTGGTCGACACTGTCCCTCTCATCCCCCCTCCCAAAGCTGTGCATCTACCAATCATCATCACTATCGTCTTCGCCAATCTCGGCCCCCTTAACCCTGTCCACGACCCTCTTCACGCCCTTCTCCACACTTTCCCCCTCAATCGATACTCCCTCGTGCCACTCAATCGGATCCTGGACGCCATCCTGGAACCAATACAGCGTCGGCACAAAACTCACATCCAGTAATGCACCCAGTTCCGGTAATGAGTACATGTCGAAGCAGTAGATGTCTACTACGTTGTACTTTTCGTATTCGGATGCGGGGAGCAATTTCTGCAGCGCAGCAACCGCTTCGTTTGACATGGCATCTTCGGGCCAATAGGCTAGGAGCAATGTCTTCCCGGCCGTACTCTTGATGCATGCGGCGAACTCAATCATGTTCGTTATCTGGGTAAGATGTGCCATGATGGCGGGTTTAGGTGACAGCTGTCTGTCGCGATGACGGAATTTTCGATGACAAGTGCGATGGAAAATCTGACAGTCCTCTGGACTTGAATGTAGATGGTTTTTCAGTGACGCGTTGATGAGGTGATGCAGGCTGATATGATGTTTTGTTGGGGGATGGGGGGCTAACCCGTACGAAGCGGGACGGCGAAGTTCTTACGCACAGGCCTGGAGTCGGGCGCGCGGAAAATGGTCGACTACTAAATACGCAAAGTCTACGGAGGTGCCTTTCAAAAGTTATTGCTAGCGCGGTAGATCTATCGGCCCGATATTTCTTGGCACAGTCAGAGTTTTTGAAGCTGAAGATAGCAGTATCTTCGCTTTCTTTGGTGTTTCTCAAAGGTTAGTTATACTAGTAATGGCTCCTCGTTCTCACACAGACTCATTCACACGTGCTATAATTGTTACTTTAAAGTCCCGCTTTGTGGGCAAATCAACGAGCCAGATCAGCGAGATCCTGGGTATTTCCCCACGCACTATCGACGCTATCTTCAGCCGAGCCTGCCTTCGAGGCTTTGAGCCAAATGGACCAACCCTAAAGGTTCTTCCTGAACACCTTGAAGATGCTCCTCGCTCAGGCCGCCCACGTAAACAAGAGGCTATCCATGAACCTACTGTTGACAAAGTACGCCGTGACCGTTATGGACGAGAGAAGAGCTGTGCTGACATAGCTGGTGATCTTAGTCTCTACGGTTACGACGTCTCTCCTACCACGGTGTGGAGAGTCCTCAAGGCAGCAGGATACAAGAAGACGAAGCCGACGAGGAAGCCTGGGTTGACGAAGAAGATGAGACAAGATAGACTTACCTGGTGTCTCGCTCGTCAGCACTGGACTCTTGAGGACTGGAAGAACGTTATCTGGTCAGATGAGACCTCTGTCGTACTGAACCACCGCCGTGGTGGGTATCGGGTGTGGAGAAAGGCAGATGAGGCTCTTACAAGATCTGTGATACGAGAGAGGTGGAAGGGATACTCTGAGTTTATGTTCTGGGGCTGCTTCACGTATAATTACAAAGGTCCCTTTCATGTATGGAGGCCAGAGACAGCCCAAGAGAAGAGAGAAGCAGCTCTTAAGATTGAAGAGATGAATAAGATCCTAGAGCCTATTATGAGAGAGGAGTGGGAGCTTACTATAGGCATGAAGAGGATAGGCTTAAGGAATAAGCCTGGTAGAGCTCCTCAATGGAGATGGACTAAGGAGAATGGGAAGCTCACTCGTGGTAATGATAAAGGTGGCATTGATTGGTGGCGGTATCAGACTGAGGTTCTTCTCCCGAAGCTTATCCCCTTTGCTAAGGAGTGTATGAGAGAGAGGCCAGGTACTCTTGTTCAAGAAGATAAGGCTCCCTCTCATGCTCACCAGGCCCAGAATATTATCTATCAACGAGAGAGTGTGGAGAAGCTCTTCTGGTGTGGTAACTCACCTGATCTCAACGCTATTGAGCCAGCCTGGCCATGGTTAAAGAGAAGAACTACCAAGAAAGGAGCTCCAAAGAGTAGAGGAGAGGCCACAAAAGCATGGGAGCAGGCCTGGAGTGATCTCCCACAGTCACAGATTCAGGCATGGATAGAGAGAATTCCTATCCATGTTCAAAAGATTATTGAACTTGAAGGTGGGAATGAGTACAAGGAAGGCAGAGGCCTGCCAAGAGTTCGTGGAGACTGATCTGTCTGTATTTCGGTAGTTTCTCGGTCAAATAGGAGACCCCCCTGTCAGCAATAACTTTTGAAAGGCACCTCTGTATATGCCATCACTTTTGGGCTCGTAGCGAAACCGATTCAAATCAATGCATAGATGGTGTACTCTTATTTCAGACGTTGTAAATCGGTTGCTATACTACCAGCATTGAATGCTCTCAACCCAGTCGTCCCGGCGCCGAGAATAGATCGTATCCGGATGACTGGGATAACAGGATATACTTACACGCCTCCTTTTCTGGGCAATCCGCCTTATCCTTAGCATTACCCCTATGTCTCTCGAGGTTTGTATCCAGCGTCGCTTCTATCACGATCGCGAATAACATTGAAGCAAAATGCAGGCGACACAAAAAAGGTAAAAGCACAAACATCCAAGTCTCGTACGATTCGTCAGATAGTTAGGCGCTATCTTGCAAAGGGTATCGCCCAGCCAAGGAAATGTTAGCTGACACAATCGATCGCAGATACATAGCATTCATTGCCGCCCTTGTCGTCCCATCTTTTCTATTATTCCAATTCCACGACACAATACCACTATCCATTGCCCAACACCGAGATGATGCACCGGCCGTAGCGACAGTACCGATAAGAACGAACAACGACGTACATCAGCCGGGCTATTTCAAATACCAACCAGAATGGAATTGGGAGGCTCCGGCGGATGAAAGCTGGAGAGGGAATGCGCGGAAGCTGCAGAACGATGAGATAGTCGTCCTGACCGCTAGCGACGGCTTAGGACATAATAGCGCAGTTCCAAACATATTGGAGAGAGTGCTAGGCGACAGGGAAAAGTACTGTGCGAAGCATGGGTACACCAATCTTTGGTTGAACACCAGTAGATATGATATTGGGGAGGCACACAGAGTAAGATTGTCAAACGACTCGACGTTAGCAATGACTAACTTCGGCAGACATGGTCCAAGATTCCTGCAGTCGCCGAAGCCTTCTACCTACTGCCAAAGGCAAAATGGGTCTGGCTGGTCGACACCGATATCATAATCATGTCACCTTCCACGTCGCTCGCCTCCGACATTCTTAGCCCCTCTGCTATCAAGCACGGAATAATGCGCGATACCCCCATCCTTGACGGCATGCTCGACGAGAACCCCACGCACATTAACACGCCGCGCGAGTACCGCGTCCAAGACATAGATATCCTCGCGACCCAAGACCACCAGTCTGTAAACAGCGGATCCATCTTCTTTCGCCGCTCCACCTTCACCCGTATGCTACTGGAGATGATGACGGACCACACAATGTTGATGGGACAAGAGCGTCTAGGAGCTGAACAAGATGCGCTCAAACACCTGATGTTGGAGCATGAGCTGGTCAGAAAGCATGTGGGCATATATCCACAGCGCAAGTTCAATGCTTATGTCCAAGGTGGACCGAATATGGGCTACCGGGATGGCGACCTGGCTGTGCATCTCGCGGGCTGCTGGGTCACCAACAGTTGCAAGGATTGGTTTGAAGAATTTTGGGGCAAGAGGGGACACACGGATGTGTGGAAACCCGATGAGGCCAGGTGAAGAGCGTAATTGAACAACTTAATTTGATGTAGGGTCTCTCTACATTGCTGCTATCATACTGCGTTGGGATAATCTGTTGCGAAGCGCTGCTACCACTTACATAGATTCCAAAAAACTACTTTCTATAGACTCCTAGAGACGACAACTTTGTTTCACCATTCTTCGACCTTGCTATGCCGCGCCAATCGTCCTCGTAGTAGTGCTGGTAACTGTAGCCGTCGTGACAACTGCACTGCTCTGCGTCCTGGTAACTGTCGTGCTCGCCGGCCCACTGGTAATGAGGCACGAGCAGGCCGAGGAAATGCCTTTTGGACCAAGGTTAAGAGAAATGTTGATGCCGCCGGGCTGACCAAGCGTGATGTCAAGTTGAGGGGAGCGCTTGCCGACGGGGACTCCAGACGGGCACGAAGCGTCGTAGAATGTGTAGGGAGAGGTAGGGTTGAGGTTTGTGTTATCTGCACTGGGGGGATGTCAGTGAAATGACGGGCAAGAAAGAGACATGAAGAAACAAGGGGCAACGTACGCAGCGACGTCAAACAGCATGCAATTCGCCTCGCCATAGCCAAACGACTTGCATTTTGTGTCTGCTTTGCAGAGTGCACTGCAGGCAGCAAATGTGTTCTTCGTTCCGCTCGACTCGAAGTAGTATGCCGCTGTCGTCTTGACATAGCCGGCGATACCACAGCTTGGGCTACCAGTGGGTGTGCTGTTGTAGAGTTAGCAGAGGGTCAATTAGGCTTGTTTTGTGCTTAGATCACTTACGGAGATGGACTGGATACGAGTGTTGAGGACACGAGAGTGGAGGATGGCTGTACAGGAGTGGGAGATGAAGATGGCTTGGGTACTGAGGAAGATGACGGTGGTGGCGGGGGCACAGAGGAAGAAGATGGCGGGGGCTTGGGAGTGGATGATGATGGAGGCGGCGGTGGGGGTGCCGAAGAAGAGGGCGGGGGCTTGGGAGTAGAAGACGATGGAGGGGGTGGTGGAGGTGTCGTCGAAGAACTCGGATTTGAAATCGGTGTTGATGTCAGAGTAGAAGTTAGAGTGGGAGTCGGTGTAGGGGTTGGTGTCGTTCTGATGGTGATGGTAGTCTTCTTGGTAGTAGTCGTGGTAGTAGTATAGCTCTTGATAACCGTCGCAGTGGCGGTTCCAGATTTCAAGATGTTGCTGCAGAAGAGCAATGCCTCTGACGTGTGCCCTTGAAATGCATCAAGATCGCAGTCGGATACTGCCAATCATGTTAGTTATGCGCTCTGTGACAGGTTGGGACATGAATCGTGTACCATCTGGATATCCATCTTGCCTCCTTTCAAAAGCAGCTGCCTCTATGCTCGCAGCAAGAGCGGCAACGCAGACGAACGAAAGTCTCATATCGTCTTTCTATCAGGGGAAACTTTGCAAAGAATGGCACTAGAATGAACGTTGGATGGTAGTTTCAGACAGCGGATATTTTGTATTCATACGTTTTCTTTCCATAATGCCGTTGTGGAGAAGGCGGCTGAACTGTATGCGCATCGTGCATTTCATTTGGAAAATATATGAGTACCGACGCTTCGAGAGTTCGTTTATTCTGGCGTTGAGTGCAATGGGCTAGAACATACTACACTACTGTCGCCCATAGTATATTGAACACGAAGTACAGGGGCGCCTCCCGGCGGTAGATCTCGTTTGACGAACATATCCCGACCAGAATCTTGCGCTTCATCACCTTGTGGCTGAACCAATACAATGGGCAGGTATTTGGATGACCAATTAAATATACGTGTGATATTGGCATTGAAATATCGAAATCTCCACATAGTATACGAAGGTCGCGTCTGCCGTTGTTGGAATCTTTATCCCTATATATCCCGGTCTCCGGCAAAATCGAGGTACAGATGCGACTGCGACGAAAATAGTAGCAATAACTTCTATACCCCGGAGGTTTACGAAAATTGCATAACTTGATCTTGATGGGTTCTATACAGGTGTGAGGCAGTTTAGAGACCTCAGCCGATCTCTGCATGTGCCAAGCTGGATAACCAGTCGTCAGCTCTGCCGAGTTTTGTAATCTTTCGATTGTTCGAGAACAGCGCACATTTGGTGTGACGTCGGCTACTGCTAATCAATGCGAACGGCGAACGAGAGACGACAGGCATCATCTTTCTTCAGGACCAGTTTGCCAGTGGGAAGTAGTCCAAACCATGTTTTGACTATGAAACTGACACCCATTTCGTCGCCGATATCCTTCCACATCTTGTTGAAGCTCTCTACATTGTGCATGAACATAATGCCAACACCAGCAGGGCCTTGTGTCTCAGAGGCTTGCGGAGCTCCGATTTGACGGCCCAGAATCATCGAACCGGACTGAGGGCGCAATAGGGCAGCAACACGTTTGCAAACCTCGACCTGTTTTACGTAGCCCCACAGATGGAAGAAGTCGCCAGCAAATACCATGTCCATTTGACCCTTGAGCTCTGTCAACACCGAATTTGAATCGAAGACATCTGCCGTAAGGAACTTGGTCTTGAGCGTATCGCGATCTCTGAAGAGTTTGTATCCAACCTCGATATATTCTGGATGAAGGTCGCAGCCGTAGATCTGTTCTGATGGTGCCCCGCCATTTACTAAGTAACGAATAGTCTGTCCAACACAACAGGCCATATCCAGTAGCTTCTGGCCTTGGCAGAGGCGTTGAATCACCTCGTTGTATTCGTCTTCAAGACCCTTGAAGTTGTTTTGCAAGAAAAGGAATCGGCCGATGCACGGAAACGGATGTATAGCCCAGGCCTCTTCGCGGATTTTGACAACATGATCGAGCAGCTCATCCGCCGGAATACCGCTGTACGATTGGAGAAGCCGCCGAAAATCAGGGGAGATGACGTCTATCGTTGGATCTGGGTTGAACCAACTTGGTCTTTCAGAAGACTCTCTCTGGGAATGTTGACGAGCAAGGTCGTTACTAACGGCTGCCATGATAGTATTGGAAGTATGTATGATGGGAAATTTGGCTGTTTTCCAAAGTCTGAAAGGTAACAGTGCCCTCTCCCCGACGATCAAATAGGACTGAATGATGTCACAAGGCTTGCATGTAGTGGAGATGGGCAAAAATGGTATGAATCAGTTCTTCGACGACATAGCTGCCTTTATGGGTGTGTCATTAAGGGGAAACGGGGTTATTGCGGTCCGTTGGCGTGTGCTTACCTTTCCCCGCTCGGTTCTCACGATTGCGTGAACATCTGGGGTCTGGCAGAACGGCAAGCGAGCTGCGTTAATCATACCGGAACAACGAAACATTATGATTACTGAATGTGCTGGCACAGGAAAACTATGGATTATGCCAGGTGGCCCCTGCTCGAATGACGGGAGCCGGTGTGCCAAGGTGGATCAGGTACATAACCGCTTCAAGAATCGCATGGAGCCTCTCTTCTACTTCACTCGAAAGCGGAAACTATTCACACAGCTGAACTACTCACACAGATAAATCAACTAGTGCAGAGCATATCGCTTCTTTGTGGCTTTTCTTTGCCGCTTCCTTCGGGTAGTTAACACTCGCCATTGCATATCGCCGACCCTCCGCTTCCCAGTTTGACAAGGTTTCCGGTACTTCCGGAACATACCATGCCCTAGGAAGCCTGGCCAGTACAGAGCCAACCGGTGCGGCAGATGACAAGAGTGAGGCTATGTGTACGTGACCTCGAAGGCTGGAAGAAGACAATCGGTGTAGAGAGGTTTTTCGAAGGTGAGGAATAGCATGTGAAAGAATGAAGCATAAACAACAAAGAAAGTAAGTATGCAAAACGTAGTTAGTAGTTCTTGGGAAGAAAATTGTTAGAAAGCTAATGAACGACCACGGGCGGCGTCTGCTACTACGCGCATCTTGTTAATCTTTAGGGCGACGGAACTACTGATGAGGTAGAGACACATCACGGATATTCTTTGTATGCAAGACGGGGTGGAAGAAAGGTGGAAAGACGCGTTGCCGAGCTCGCAACTGCTTGGTCAGATCTGACCAAGCAGTCGAAGAGCGGGGCCACTGCACGATACGCACCTTCTCTTCTCCTCCGGCATCGCTCTAATGTATCCTTGAGCAGTCATAGACACGCATGCGCTGTGAAATGGCTGCTCAACCGCCATTGAAGCTCTTCACATCTAAGAATAGATTTCTCGAATCTCAGTAAAAGCATACGGTCCACACCGGACAGTGTGACGAGCATGCTTCTCCACATAACTCTTGTAACACGTCGTTGCCGGTTCTATAGGCTCGTGTAAATACGTCAATTTCGCAGTTTACCAAGCGAAGCCTTGTGTGAGCTGCCGCCTTGCAAGACGATGCCGAGAGTCGACCGGTGAGCCCAGTTTCGGCCCCTAGTATTGGTAGCCTTGCGCTCTGATAACTGCAGCCTTTCGTATTTCGCCCCTCAATGCGGTATGACGTTGAATTATCGGCGAGGATAGTGTCTCAAGATCTAAACAACTTGGAATGCGCAATCCCATCTGTGTTCTAGCCTGTCTCATCTATGCGATGTAGGCGATTTCAAGGCTGTGCCACTTGTATGTCTGCCTTGGTCGCCTCATGATGAAACGGTCTGTAACTGGAGGAAAATGCGGGACAACATGGGCTAATGGATCCTATTGGGGCAGTGACAATGTGCACATGTAGCGTATATACTCAGGGAGGTGACACTCATCGTGGCTTCCTTTCCATTTCTTTTTCTCATTCCAAAACATTCGAACACACCACGAGATAGCCATCTTTTACCCTTCAGTACATTTTTACTCAGCATGGCAATTGCAAACCCACTCCTCAGCTTCGTCGTTCGCGGCTTACAGGCTGTCTTTGGCATTGTCGTACTCGGTATCTCTGTATCACTTGTACGAGGTCATCACTGGGGCAGTCTCCCTGCCACTCTGGGATTCTCAGCTTTTGTAGGCGGCATCACAATTCTTGGTGCTGCGCTTGGAGTAGCGGGCATCTTCCTTGGCTTCTTGGATGGCACGATTGCTATCGTCGTTGATGCAGTCATTGCCCTCATCAACCTAGCCTGTGGAGTTGTAAGCGTTGCTGGACTGCCGCAGTCTCGTTCCATCTTGACGTATAATTGCCCTGCTAATAGGAGAGACAGTTACTTGCTATCAAGGTCTCTGGCGCCGACTGTGACATGAATACAGCAAAGGACGCAGACATGGTTATACATAACAACATCTTCAATGGCGGCTGTCGCAAGGATGGTCTTTGTTGGTGCTGGAATACAAGTGGCTTGGATACAATGAAATCGAGGTGCATATCGACCAAAGCGGACTGCGCATTTATGTTTCTTACAGTCGTCGTCATTGCCGTAGCGGCAATGCTGGTCTTTCTGCGTACGAGGAAGTGATAGCAGGTTTATATTCATGTAAGTACTTAAATTTTAGCTGTTTTTATGGAGTTCTCGCTGACGACGTAGCGACACTGAGAGACTGAGTTAGTAGGTACATACGTGAGGCTGTGGAGAGACATAGCGCGAGCGACAATGTAATTAGAAGCAAGTAAGTGTGAGTTTGTAATAACGGAGTGTTCAGAGCGCAAATGTGTTATTCGAAAGACGGACCCTATTTTTGAGTTTGGTAGTGATTGGATGCTCAGTGCCCTACCCATCTTTTTTATCTCCATTCATTCTAGTGCATTTCTTCCACAGCCATATGTTATACATGCCTCATTTCAGGCAAGCCAGACGCCATCCATGAACACGATGTGACAACGCAAATTTATGTACCTGCCTTGTACCCGTATCCGTGTACCTTAGATTGGAGTCACGTCGCTGATTTTGGTAAGGGCGGGAGGTGACACCACCACAAAAGCTCGTTGCAACCCTCCTCTCCTCCCAAGCATCTACTTCCCTTCCATCAAGATTCAACCACCTGCAGCCGCTCCTTTACCCTTACGCGCCCCACAATAAAATATTACGCCGATCCTTGCAATCGAAAATGGTTCTCATACCCTCGTCTGTTCCTATCTTGATCGCACGCGCCTTTCAAGTGCTTTTTAGTGTTGCGGTCATCAAACTATCTTTTATCCTAATCAGGGCCAGAAAACGGACCCAATGCCTTCTGTTCTGGTTGCCCCTGTCGCAGTAGGCCTATCGACCCTTATAGCTGCAGTCTTACTCGCGGCAGCAGACGTCTGGAATTTTATGCATCCGTGGATTGGGCACTGTATTGATGGGGGAATTTTACTATTGAATGTGGCCATTGGCGTGGTATGTCTAATTTGCCATAGCATAGATGTAACGAACGTAGATAAACTTACTAACCAATGGAATTTCGCAGGAAATATCATCAGAACTGCGAGGTTACAACTGCGATATCCAGGCCGACATGCCCACGTTTGAAGCAAGCGACATATTCTGCGGTGGCATGAACTCACGATCTGGCAACAATACCAGAAGCTCTTCTAATGGTGGAGTAGACTACACCGCCTTTATCATGACTACATCTGGCTGCAAAGATGCTACTACTATAAACCATACAGCTACGATGCTCTATGGAATCGATGTGTTATTGGGACTTCAAATGGAGCGTTACTATTTACCACAGCGATCATCGTATTGTCCGTTTCAGCCTTGAACTATTTCAAGACGGAAGATGGATGGAAGATTGGCAGGTGGCGAATAGAGAAAGTGAGGACCAGCGACGCGTAGACACATCGTCACAAGATTAGAGGATTTGAGATTTTAAAATTGATCTGACTACAACTAGCACCTGGGTGACATGAGATACTCGACGCCTTAGTATACAGAAGCTATTGTAGGCGCTAGATACGCCTGTTAGGAGTAGGATACTAGGGTTTACCAATAGTTTCGATGTCTTGTATTCCATGTCACCCAGATGCTAGAATAAGGAGAATTCTATCCATAGGCATAGTACAAATTCACCGTTCCTGTATTTGTGTAAGCGGGAAGATACATCCTCACAGGGTGATTGTACGACACCTTCTGATCCCGCAGAGATACACATAGCCTCATTCGTGCAAAACATGCTTCACAGCCCCCTTCCATATCTATATCTTTCCAGAATAACCCCTCGAGACCTATAGCATTTTCATTTCCACCGCATCCGAAACAAGCTCTCATATACCCTTAGCATGCCTCATCTCAAGTCTCTCCTCCCAGCCACTTTTCTCCGCGCCTTACAACTCCTCCTCGGAATCATCACCCTAGGCCTTTCAGTAACCTTGTTAAACAGATGGGCACCATCTGAATCGCACTTGCCCGGCCCTCCTATCCTCCTTCCCCTCTCTGCCGGCATCGGCGGTGTGACGCTCATTGGCGCAATTCTGGGGCTTATATTAGCATGGACTGAACTCCTGCTTGGATATTTCCAAGTATCAATCGATATCGTTGTTCTTTTGGCTAATGTAGTCGGTGGCGTGGTAAGTACCTGCTCTCTGACTGATTTCCAAGCTATGGACAGGGAATATGCTGATAGGTATGGATACCTAGTTACTGGCCATGCGACTTCAGGGCAAGAACTGCTTCGATACCAGCAGGAAGAATAAGTGGGGTAGTGGGGAGTTTCCATTCAAGGGATCGCTTGCAGGTATTGATATTCTGAACGGCGGGTGTGATGACGAGTATTGCTACTATGTCACTGAGGATGGGAAGCATCTCAACACGCGATGCAAGCAAAGCCAGGCGGATTCAGTATTCATGTTTTTGACAGCTGTTCTATTATTTGGGGTGCTTACGTTAGCTTATAGGAGGATGAAGAGAGGCTAGAGATGGATGAAGGCATCGTAGTGAACATCTGGAAAGCTGAACGGGGCATAGCTGTAGCCATTTCTGAGACCTTCATAGTCAGAAGTTTGGTTGCTTCGCTGTTGGTGTTTACAGGGGAGTTTACAAGTTGTTCGTGAAGTCACAGCACCTAGTTTAGCATGTAATAGCAGGGGAAAAGCAGTAACAGTATCATAGACGGCTTTCGATTTTCAATTCACTCGAAGCACTAGTCACCAAATTCATCCCAATCCGCCACTATCCACAGTTATACCAACCCCATATCACGCCTTTCGTAAACAACCCCTGGGTATCGTCCTCATTCAACCTCGCCCTCTACGTCAACCCATGCAAATGATCCGATTCTGTTTTAGACCGGGCAAGACTGCGATGAACATTAGTCTCATTCTGGCGATAAATTCACATATTTATCAAATAGCCTTCAATAACTTACGCTGCCGCACGAGCCACATGTCTTAGCATCGCCGCTGATAGTGGCGCTGCACTTGGGGCAGCTGCTGTGGTTGGAGTTGACAAGAACGGTTGTAGACTGCATTTTTGCGGAGAAGTTGTTGGTTTGTTTGGAAAAGAAGTTATTTGAAGTGATTTGCGGTCGTGAAGTGAGGGTAAGCTGATAGCTGAGTTGTTGGAGGGGTAAAGTGGGGTTGATATACCGAGCTTGTGCAGGGCAGGCAGCTACGGCAAGCTTGGGACACTAATCCCGGTACTGTCAGATGACTAGTACAGCGGTAAAAGCGTCGACACTTGCTATTGGAGGTAGATGGGAAGCGCGTGGGAGACGCGGTTCACATGCATCATCCCATGTGCGGGGACGAGCAGGGAGATCGTGGGAGACGCGGGTCACGAAGGTAAGAGACGGTGTAAGAGAAACAGGCCGGCTGAGACAAGACCACAAACGGGTTTCGTGACCTATAGCCTACTTCACATGGCAGATGATTTGCCCGTTGATAACAGCGAACCAGCCATCTTCCTTCTTCTCCATCTCTCTCCAAGTCGTAGCGATCTCTTCCAAATCCTGTTTCGTCGCGTATCCGCTGTCCAACGCTCTTTGCCTGTAATCGCTCTTGACTGTCCTCTCGGCCCAGAGCCCACACCAGAATTCTCTCTCTTCTGGCGTACTAAACGTCCACGCTGCCACACTAGCCTCTATGTCGTTCCTTGGGAAGCCTGCCTCCATAGCTACCGCATGCAGTCGCTTTCCAATATTCGGGTGTGCCTTCAGACCGAGCGCGATCTTCATGTATAGATCCTTCCACTTCTGCATGACCGGATGCTCCGGATACCAGTCCATTGCACTGTAGTTGCAATCTCGTATCGCAAGAAGACCGCCAGGTTTGGCTAGACGCTTCATCGCCTTCATCGCGCCTAGTGGGTCTTGTAGATGCTGCAGTACTTGATGCGCATGCACAACATCGAAGCCTGCCTCTTCTAATCCCACAAGCTTGTTCCACTCAAATATATCGCCGACTTCAAACCGGACGTTGGTGACGCCCTTCTCCTCTGCGTGTTTTCGTGCCTTCTCGATGACTTCGGCGGAGGGATCGATAGCGTAGACGAAGCCCTGTGGAACGCGTGTGGCGAGATCAACGCTTATGGTACCAGGACCACAGCCGACGTCGAGAATCTTTAGCGAAGGGTTGCTGAGGTAGGGTAGTAGGTGAGGACAGGAGTTCTCGACGGTGCGCCAGCTGTGTGATCGGAGGACCGATGCATGGTGACCGTGAAGGTACGGTCCAGACATTCCCATATATCGCGTATGAGTCTATATGGTGAGTGGGTGGGTCATAGATGTGTGCAATTGAATAGCGGAAAACGAAAAGGGTACATGTTATAGTCGTAGCTATGGCGGAGTTAGACACGGGGTTAGCTGGAAATAAATGTTGCAAAGAAGTCGGACCGCTCTGCCCCGAAGTCGCTGTTACATCATGGAGACGATAGTGCTTATCCGGATGTTGGATAGTTGAGGGGTCGATGTCTATTGAGGGGATGGATGAAGCAGCCTCGTCTCCAAAGTCCGAGAATCGGCCTTGGTGTTATTGCTTAGTCAGCATTGTCAATGTCGGTACCATGCGGAAACCAACACGAGTCATCTTGAGCAGTGTGCGAGATATGTGCTGTTGGATATATCCATACATTTCACGTGAAAGCTTGGGAGTTACTAAATTACGGGCCAACAAGGCTCCAGTTGGTGCCAGGCTTAGCTTAGGCTGTACCCCCTCTCTTCTCTCCCTATCAACTGAGCTTTTACATCGCACTCATCAAGAGCCTGCCGCATGTAGTTGCAATAAACTTAACTATCACACATGAGGGAACTGGGTCCCCTTCTAACACATGAACTATCGCGTCCACACATTTCCCAGCATAACCCCCACACTGCAAACTGCCATACAAGCACCGGTATATTGCACGGCACATACCGCCCCTAGCCCATCACCCTCACACACGCACAGCCTTCTAAATCCCTACCCGTCATTACTTCCCTATCCAGCAATCCCGTAAATTACTAATCTTCTCAAGTTCCTCCAGGGCCACCACATCCGTCCCACTAGTCTCAAAACAGGCAATGGTCTCGCCCTTCACTCTTCCCGCGCTATCATCCCCAATCCTCCTCATCTCATCCTCCCTCGTTCCACAACTTCTCTTCCAGCACCATCCGCATCCGCATCTGCAACCTGAATATCCACACATGCATCACGTTGCCCTACCTACATACGCACAACCTGCTTTTTGCACTCCTCATGAACCTTACTGCCGGGTCGTAATCCACTACATGAATCATGTTTCTACCGTTTAGAGTAATTATGCAGGATAGGTGTGGATTGTAGATACTCTGCATTGTCCTGTTTGGGGTTGAAGTTGTGTCGCGTCGTGTCGTGTTGTGCTGCAGGGCGGAGCGGGGCGGTTGCAGTTGTTTGGTGTTGTGGGAAGACCGGATGTTGGGGACGTGCTGCGAAGGGGGTGGGTGAGTATAGGTTTAGGAGGAGCTGAATGTATATGTTGAATGATGATGTATTTGTACATGTTTCTACTGCTAATGGTATGAGGGAAATACGTATATATCTTAGACCCAAAACAACATGCAATCGCAGCGCCCGTCCGTCCGTCCATTGAGCCTATGTTTTGACCTCCAAAATCAGACCGCAATGCCAATTTATCGCCTACTAGACCTCATGTCAAAAATGTCAATCTCCCTTTCGTACCCTCCACCTAAACTTCTTCGTCTCCTCGCAGACGCCACACTAGCACTCCTACGACTACGACTACCCCTCATAGAGCCATGCCTACTAATACCACTATCCCGCCTGTTATCTGGCTTCTCAATGACCTCGACGATGTCCTCTTCATGCTTGAGCTCGCGGACTTCGTGGTCATCAGAAAGGTGTTTGACTAGTGCCTTGACATCGCCACAGATGGTGTCTGACTCTGCGTACTTTGAGCAAATGACGCAACAGTATTGGCCGTCAGGCCCGTCACGGTGACATTTGACCACGAAGCGATTTTGGACTTGAAAGGTACGTTCGGTGTCACCGGCCCATTTGCATATCTCCCATGCTTTGCCGGGTGAAAGGTGCAGTCCACCTTGGCAATGCGGACAGTATGGGTCGCGTTCGGACAGGATGTTGTTGGATAGGGGTTGCGTAGGGTTACGCTGGAGGTCGTAGGCATATGCGCAGTATAAGTTGTTGGCTGCTGGCTCTGTGGCGTAAGAGCTTCGCCCCGACATTGAGGTGTTTTCTGTGTACGCATTTTCTGACTGAAGATTGCTCCGCCATTCCAGAACAGTAGTATTGACCGGGCTAATACTTCTCAATTGGGTATTCCGCGATGATGGCTCCTGGTACTTCATAAGTGCTGTAGATGTCGAGCTACCTGCGCCACTGGGCGGAGGTAGTAAGGCACGAGAAGGTGCTTGGGATTGAGATTGCGCGCGAGATCGCACGCCAGATGTGGCGCGGGATGGCGTATGAGATGGCGCATATGAAGAATGGTGGGACGGTGCATGGCTTGGTGCATGAGATGGCGCATGAGATGGCGCATGGGATGGGCTTGAGCGAGCTGTGAAAGAGTGGAGCGACCGTGGGGTAGGTGGTCGTTCATCTAGTAGACGCTCTTGGTACGTGGCCAAGATCTCAATCGCTGTTGCAGCAGCTACTCTCGATGCCGCATTCATATTGGCCAGTTGATGTGCAACAGGATCGTTCGATGTGGGTCCGTAGAGGAACGTAGTCACTAGGACATTTTGGAGAGTAATGATCTGTGCCTGCAGGGCCGCATGCACAGTGACTAGTATGTTTCGTTAGCAAAATTACTGGATATAGATATAAGCTGAACAGGTTTTGATGAAAGCATAGCGATACTGGGTGCAACAGAGAGCCCATTTTGTGTAAGTGTATGGAAGAGAAGTGCATACCATCGCCCATGGCAAATTCAGCGCCTAGTGCCTGGTATCCAATATCAAACTGTCTTGTGACTGCCGCTTTATCCGTGGCAAAAGCTTCATCGTTGCCCAGTCGTTCATCATTCACGTACTCGGCCCTCCTCGACACAGGGTACCCTTTGGCTCGCAGGTTCTGCTCATAGTCCCTCTGCTCCTTAGTCGTCAAAGTATGGTACAAGTCTCTTGTGGAATCGAAAACACCCAGGAGAGTGCATACGAGCGCTTGTACAACACTTGCAGGATCGGCTGGAGGATTCTGAGGGCATTAGCATAACCATAATCACTCGCTTCAGAACGGACAGAATGCTTACAACAACGCCCATTTTCAATCGTGATCTCGCTTCTTGTGGTGCTGCTCCCCAGATATAGGATCCAAATGACTCGCAAGGAAAGAGGAACGGGCTAGATAGCTTGAAGAAATGAAGCTATGGAGCCCTACTCTAGGCACCGAGCTTGAGTAGCACCGCCCCACGCTCACCCGCAGATTCTCCATAAGCGCCGATACTATGTCTCCTCCCATATGAGCCCTACTCTCGTGAGTTGCCTCATGCTTGATGATGGCTTGTACAGCTGGCAGGGTGCCATTGGTGCCCGTATGGTTTTCTGATTGGAGTACCGACGGTTACGGGCCGCGCCAGGAACGTGCCCGCATGGAGCTTGACGTCATTGTCAGGTGTAGCGCCGTCGGGAGGAATCGAGTGCGAGGGGTCTAGTTGCATACAGCCCGCGCGGCGGATGTGTTGTATTGCTTCTCTGGGCGAGGCGGGTATGCTTAACGCGCCGAATTTGGGTATGACGGCCTGTCTGATACCCAAAGGGTCCACATACCCTAGTGGGTGACATCCACAAATCTAGATGACAGGACTCTCCCAGCCTCATACATCCCGGTAGAAGCGGTCAGGCAGTGATTGTCCAAAGTGACTGTATCGTGCATGTCACATCGTCGCTTATTGGCATGGAACTCGAGAATGCGGTGTCGATACCTGGGCATCACGTCATAGTAGCTCAAACAGCGCAGAAGCAACATCCATGGGAGGCGCTGCTCGGGTAAAACAATACAGCTCCGCTGATCGAGGAGGCGTTGTTTCGCGGGCCATCGTGTGATCTTTCGTGAGAGTGAATAAGTGACCGGTTGGAGATCGCAGGTTCTCGGCCGTGGCTAGCGCGGGACTAGTACCGCCTCGCCGTCCACCAAGGCACAAGGTTCATCGCACAACGTTAGCTATGCATGGAGACATGACGACGGTATCAAAAGCACGGTGTAGCAAAGCTCGGGGTAGGCGTTACAGTCGCGTACAGGCCAACGGTCTTCGTGTTCCCAGATGCAATCAATTGTTACCTCAACGACAAGCACAATACAGCGAGAGGATAGTATGTTCTTCACCTAGAGGCTCCTTTTACAACTACTGTTGTTAGACTACTATGCTATGTTGTCATATATTACAAGCATTACCGTAGTACTACATCATGTCTGCACACCGCGTATAGTTGAGCCGGCTCCGCATCTGTTGAGATAGACTGGATACCCTGGTACCTCTGTCTCTTACCAAGCAGCCGGACCTGAACGAGTACCAACAAGAGCTAAGATCAGGAGTCAAGTCGGAGGTAACTCCGAAGCGTAGTTTCACTCTCCAACCTCCTCCGCTTCATCACTTGGCATCTTCCTATCCTCCAAGCTCTTCTCCTTGATGAACCAGGCAAAAATTGCACTGCCTGCCACTAGCACAATCCCCACACCGATTGCCGCCCTAGTAGCCTTGCCATAGCAATCCCTTACAATACTCTTGAGCTCTGGATCAAGGCCTCTGTAATATTCCAGGCCAGCTCTCACACGTTCGGCAATCTCCGCGGCATTCTTGTCGCCTTGGAGCGCTTTTTGCAGAGACTTGCGCAGTGTTTGGTTGAAAGCGGTTGCACACATGGAGACGCCAAAGACGGAGCCAAGTGAGCGAAAGAGGTAGGAACAAGCGGTTGCGACTGCTTGGTCGGCGTGTGAGGCATTTGCAATTAGTCCAATAAGTGTGGTTGTTACGCCTATGCCATTGTGGAAAGCGCATATGCATGTTCCCATAACCATGATAGGTATGCTTTGCATTATCGTGCCTGCAAAGAGCAGAATGATTGAAAGCCCAGCAACCAGATTGGTATAAGCAATGACAGTGATCCAGTAGTATTTCGCTGTACGCTTCATGTAAACGCCACCGAGTAGTGAGCCGCTAACTCCGCAGATGATAGATGGTACCAGGAATAGCCCGGCCTGGGATGCGCCATAATCGCCGATGACTTGCCAGTATAGTGGTATGAAGAACAGGACTGCAAGCCAACCTCCAAAGGAGAAGAAGTTGCAGAGATAGCATGCGAAGAGTGTTTTGTTGAGGATGATCCGCCCTGGTGCAAAAGGATTGGCTGCCACGTATTTCTCCACGAGAACAAAGACGATGAACAAGGGCGTGGTAGCAAGACCGGCAATGGTGACTGGGTTGCTCCAGGAGATATTCGAGCCGCGATCGAGACCTGTGAGGATTCCTAAGACCGCGAGTGCAAGGATTATCGCTCCCAGGAAGTCGATCTTCTTCATCTTCGCTTTCCAGTGCGAGTCCTCCTGCTTTGGCATGTTGAGTGTCAATGCCACGGCAGTGAATGCCAACGCACACATTGGTCCCTGCGCGAGAAATGCTACTCTCCAGCCGATGGAGTCTGCGAGGAGGCCGCCCAATGGAGCCCCACAAGAAGCACCCACAGCATAGATCATGTTGACATAGCCCTGCCACTGCCCTCTCTCCCTTAATCCCACAATGTCACTCAGCAATACGCTAGTGACGACACTCATGCCTCCGCCGCCTATGCCTGCGAAGGCTCGCGCGGCAATCAACTCGCTCATGTTTCTTGCCAACCCACACCCCATCGAGCCGATGCCGAAGATGAGATACGCGGAAAGAAGGCATTGTTTCCTCCCGAAGATATCCGAGAGCTTGCCGTAGAGGGGCTGAAACGCCGACAGCGTAAGGAAATAGCCTGTTGCTATCCATGATGTGGACGAAAGGGCGTGCAGGTCGGTTCCGATCGTGCCATAGGTGGTTACCACGAGGGTTTGGTCAGCCGATGATAGGAAAACCTGAAATACATTGTTAGATTCGTTGTAAAAAACTACATGGTATATATAAGTTATTGGGATAGCATACTCCGATCGCTATTGCGGGAAATATATACTTCATCCGTTTCTTGAGCTCGGGCATGCCCTGGTGTTTGAACGTATCCCCATTGTGGCTGATCTGTCGCTCAACATCTCCTCCATCTTCTATGTTGGCACTCTCGTTTCCAGTAGTGATTCCACTGTCTGTAGCGATTGCCTGCAGGTCGTCATGAGGTTTGCGGAGCAGAGGCGATGTCTCGTTCGGAGCTTGGTCCTGCGCCATGGCGGTAACACACGGGCATGCAACGTCAAGATCTGACAGCCTTCAATCTGTAGGGACAAGAGAATGCACCACGATGTAGTTGGGCGCTTTAAACCGCCATTTTTCTCAGGCCCCCAACCGTCCAAAGAAGTTACTTAGACGACGTGCTTAGGCAACAATTGTCCAAAGAAGTTACTTCGACGACGGGCTTAGGCAACAAAGGTCTAGGAATCTTATTATAAACAGCGTTATCTCCGCATGTGGAGCCAGGCTGCGATAGGAAAGCCACTGATAGAGCCAGACTGCGATAGGAAGGTCACTGATAAACTTTTGCAAAAAATCGCGTTTTGAACGCGTCTATTATGGACTTGTGCAGAATACATCGAGGTCATATTATGCATATTAGGCTGTATGAATTCGGCAAACCGCCCGACACATGAAGATGCAGTGGAGTACTATATAAACCCAATGCTTTGAAACAGGCATCAGTCGAGATAACTTTACAAGTTCGCATGAATAGCACTAGGCAGGCTGATATCTCCTCAACTGTTATGGTGTTAGCACATGGTCTGTGAGGGATGTTTGGGTGGAAGCAACTTACATCCAGGCTGAGGTATTTGCTCGTCATTTGGCCCTGGTCCCGCATCACACCAACCAACGTCTCACTTTCCTGGAAGAAGCCTGCCTTGAGTGAAATGACGATGAACTGCATGCCCGGACTAGCATGCTCGCGCACGTATTTCGCAACACGGCCAACATTGACGTTGTCCAGTGCCGCATCGACTTCGTCGAGAACGAAGAAAGGTGAAGGCTGGTAGCTATGGATTGCGAAAAGCAGAGCCAACGCAGCAATGGTCTTCTCACCACCGGACAGATGTTCCATGTCACGGAAACGCTTTAGTGGTGGCATAGCGTGGTACTTGAGACCAGCAAGATACGGTTCCGTGCTGTCCTCCATATCCAGATACGCCTGTCCACCCAATGGAAACTCTGGTGACTTGGTCAGGTCTTTGTACGTACCACCGATGTTTTCGGAGATGTGGTTGAACGCTTTCATAAAGAGATCATAACGTCGGGTTTTGACTTCCTCAAAAGCTTTCTTTGCTGCCGCCGCGCGCTTCTTAGTCTCGGCAAATGCTTCATCAATAGCTTTTAGACGTGTTTCTGTTGCGGCGAGACGTTCAGCAGCTCGCATGTTGGGCGCTGCTTTGTTGATATCGGTTTCAAGGTTGGTGATGATGTCGGTCAGTTTGGATTCGGCGGCTTTGAGAAGGGTTCCGGCTTGTGACCGAACGCGCTCATCGCTGTCATCCTCCTGAAAGACATTAGTGGAGTTCAACATAGTGATAGATGGGGTATACATACATTCTCAAGGATCTCAACAATCTCCGTCTTCAATTCATCGTCCAGCTCCTCAAAGTCAACCTCGATGCCGTAGTCGTCAACCTCTACGGCCTGGATTTGGGTCGAATCGGGGTCCTCATCGACGTCCATGGCATCTACATCTGGTCGTGGCATATCGGTCATTGGCAAGGAAGTCAGTGGCTTCGAGTCTGACGTAAGCGGTATCTTGATTTCGTTCACTCGGCACTCCTTGAGCACGTTGTATCGGTTCGTCGCACTTGACTTGATCTTGGCCTCTTCTTCATCAACTTCCTTGAGCACGTTCTTGACCTTTTCGTTTCGGTGATCTAGAGTTCGTCGTGCTTCCTTTACAGCTGTGACTCGTTCAGCGAGTTTCTGCTCCAAAGCCTTTCGCTTTTCCTGCAGTGTCTCAAGCTCGGCCTGGAGGACATCCCTGGCGCTTTGTAACTCTTCTTGCTTGGCTTCCAGCTCGCTAATGTCGTCCGCTTTGCGCTTGATTTCCTCTTCTGCTTGCTTGAGACGTTCCTCAACACCTCTAAGTGATGAGTCGACTTGCTTCATCAGATACTGGAGCCTGCTGCGTTGTTTGCTGAATTCAAGGCGCTTCTCGGCAGCTTCATGTTGGACAGTACCTTGCTGAGCTTCATAGTCGCGAATAGACTCGTAGCCCAGCCGTTGGCAGAAGGCGGAGAAGACTTGGTCATTGACCTGGTTCACTCTGTCTTGGTAGCTCTTGAGTTCGTCTTCGCGATCTTGCAGTCTTTGTGCTTGCTTCTCGTAGTTGGGACGAACTCCCTTTAGTTCGTTCTTGTGGTGTGCCAGCTCCTTTTTAACGCTCTCGATGTTGCGGCCAAGTGCCCTGGATTCATCTTTCGTGCGAGCTATTTGCTCCTGAAGATCCAAAAGCTCGACTTCGAGAGCTTGTTCCTGGGTGTACTGCCGATCCTGCTTGGGAAGCGCACGAAGCTCCTCTTCGTATCGATTCTTCTTGTCTAGTAATGTTTGGTAGGACCGCTCATCCCATTGTTGCTCGCTCGAATCATCATCCCGATCCAGCTCACCACCTGTTTGTGTACCACCCTTGCCGATAACACGACCGTCCAGGGTGACTGCCTTGACCTCAACTCGCCTCACATATCGCAGCTCCTTGGCAAGCTTTTCTGTATTACAGATCATAGTATTGCCGCACGCCGCTGTCATGGCACGTTCATGCTTCGGTTCGTAGTTGATGCAGTCTATGGCGAGACGCATGCCCTCATGCATGCCCTTCAATTGCGGATCAACGGCTTGAATCTGTATTGAGTCGAGCGGGTTAAAAGACATGACACCGATGCGCTCTGCTTTGAGATAGTCGATGCATGATTTGGCGGTGGCTTCCGTGTCAACAATGACGGTATCCATCTGATGTCCAAGGACTCGGCCTATGGCCTTGCGGTACTTTTGCATCTTGGGGGTGATTAGATCCTTGTACCTTCCATGTACCTTTTCCGATCCAAAACGAGTCTTGAGGCGATCGATGGTTCTACGAGCTTCTTGCTGCTTTCTTGACTCGCGACGACTGCCTTCGACAATGCTAAGTTGCTTCAGAACCTCCTGTAATAACTGATTCTTCTCGTAGTATTGCATCTCGATTTGCTTGCGGTCAGATCGTAATCTGTCAAGCTCCTGTTGTTTAGCGGCTCTCGCAGTCTCAAGTTCTTTGACCTGGGTCTTGGAGGCCTGCTGGCGCTCCTCGAGCTGGCTGATGGTTGCGTTTAATTTCTCAACCTCCTTCTCGTGGCTGTCGACGCTCTGTTGCAGGTTTTTGACGTGATCTCTGTCTGTTTCCACTTCGCGTTTGAGTTTGTCTATTTGCATCTGATCTCCGTGGGTTCGCTTGGTGACGTCGCTGCGCAGACGGCCGTATTCCTGGAGGTCCTGCTCCGACAGCTCACGACCTTGTCTTTGAGCGGCTGCTTTGAAGTCATCCTCCCACTTTTTCTCGGCCTTTTGTACCAAATCAAGGTCCTTCTGGCATTTCTCGACCGCCTTCTTCTCGTTGTCTCGCTTCTTCCGGAGTTCCTCCAGTTTGCTCTCGTACTTTCGGCGAGTCTCGTTGGAGAGGCGAATTTTTTCTTCGATTGGCGCAAGCTCGTTTGACGCATCCTCTATCTCCTTCTCCTTTGCTTTGGTATTGCGGTCGGTCTTGGTGAGATCGCGCCTAATCTTGGCCTCGGCCTGCCTTTCCGCATCGTGTCGCTGGTGGTACTTTTCGACGCTGCGCTTGTGCTCCTTGAGCTCTTCTTGGTGGCTGGCAATCTTGTTGCGTGCCTTTTCCATGACCTGTTGGTATAGGTAGAGTTTCCACAGGTTCTTGGTAACGACAGCGTCATCTCGCTCGGCGAGCTTCTTCTCGTACTCGTCGGCTTCGGCCTTTTGGTCCTGGTACGTCTTGAGCTCTCCGTTAATACCACGACGCTCGTGGAGGTGCTTGGCATTGTCCTCGGTCGCAGCCTCAGATTCCTCCTTGAGGCGGTCGTACTCGGCCTTTTGCTCCAAGCTACCAGAGATGCGCTCGACTTGTAATGTGAGCTGCTCCGGTGCGGTTGTAGCAAGCTTCTCAACGTCACCCTGGAAGACGAGGAAATTCCTCGCTTTTACCAGGATGCTGTGCTCTTCAAGGGCCTCGCCGTACTGCTTCTGTGTCACGACGCGGTTGTTGATGCGGTACTCGCTCGAACCGGAGCTGGTGATGGCCCGCTGCCACTCGTGCTCTTGCTCTGCGTCGTCCTCGAAGACTGCCTTGACCCATGCGTTCTGAGGGTCGTTGCGTGGGCCACTGGGCTGGGGCTCGCCGTTTTCTGCTGCGTCGCCATTCGCATGCCCGTTTGCGTCGCCATTTGCATCGCCGTCAGCTTCGGTCACAGTGCCATCGGCATTGACTCTCGCTTCCTGGATGATCCTGCCACGGTAGACCATGTCCTTCAACTTCTCAGATCGCAGGTGGGACGATCGGACTCCCAGGACAAAGGAGATGGCGTCCATACTGTTCGACTTGCCAGAGCCATTGGGACCGATGATGGAGGTGAAGTATGAGTCACCAAAGAGAAGAGTGTGACGGCCGCGATAAGACTTGAAGTCTGCTCGAGTTAGCGAATGACTGCAATTGCGCGTAAAGAGGCCATACTATAAATCTCCAGCCGCACGAGCTTTCCCATGATTGCGGTTGCGTTGCGCGACACCTTAAATGGCGATTGCGCTGTGAATGGCCCAGGTGTGGTTGCGCAGGGAAGCTTGTCGCGGGGGTGGGTTGGTCGTGGTCACGGTGAAGCGCGTTCGCGTCGCCAGGCGGAACAAACGCCCGCCGTAGTTAGTGCCATGTATCGATGCATGCCCACCGCCCAGCTGGGCCCGCCATGACGAAACCCTAGCGCTGTGCGTATGCTTGCTGTGTATCTTCTTAGTACTCTGCATACAGTCTATGCAAATAAGACAATCTCATATCCAAACGACTCGACATCTTATCACGCTCTCGTTATCAACCCTCTTACACAGAAACTGTCTGCCCTCGTGACACTTCTCAGCTTTATCTCTTTACTGGGGTTGCCGATGACGTGGTGAAGCCAATCATCACCGTTCATCAAGCAGCGTGCTTTCACCGACGACTTTTGGAGACGTTTGCGGCTACACCACCCAGAACCCTGCATAACACTTGTCTCTTAGACTTGTCATGAGAACGTAAAGTCTGACTGAAGCCTGTCTAAGCTGTTTACTACCACGGTACGCACTTGCCCTTTATTCCGCTGCCTCCCTCGACTATGCAACACGGACCGAGAGTCACCACTTTGAACCTCAACAGCTAATAGCCATGACAGCCCCGACATCTCCTCCGCGTCTGAAGCGACCCCTCCATCGCCGAACCCCGTCTAGTCTCGAGAGCGTCCAGGAAGAAGTGACGGCCATGTCGTCTCCCGAGGATGCGGGCGGTGTGCCCAAGTCCAAGTCGGAACCGGAGCTGGGAGTCTCTGGCCTCTCTGTGCCTGGCAACTCGCCACATGCCGCCTCTTCCCTACTCGAAGAACCGACTGCTTCGTCCACTGATGGACAACCACCGCTCACCACGCCTGGTCTCTCGCGCTCCGCCTCCTTCTCCAACAGCTCCTACCAAGATGAGTCCGACTTTGAGGATACCGCCTTCTTCCCACCTGTCGAGAAGCTCACCATGTTTGACTTTGTCGAGAACCTCGCTCTCTCGCAGCGTATCGAGAAGATTCAGAACTCCATCGCCTCGCAGACGGAGAAGATTAAGAACCAAGCGAAGAACCGGGGCATAACTAGGGACCGTGTAGTCGAGGAGTGGCGCCGCAGAGTGCCCACGGAAGCAGAGCAGCTCGATAAATACAAGAAGCGCATGCTCCATTCTGTGGACCGTCTGAACAGACGCTGGAAGGAATCACTAACAGTGACGGCGCGCGAAAAGGCCTCCTTCATCGCCGCTGTTATGAACATCTTCGTCTCGGGCTACTTGGTTGGCTGCCATCCAGACTGGTTCCCCCACTGGTATACTGCCCAGCTGCTCTACTTTATGCCGATCCGCTTCATCACCTACCACAAGAAGGGCTACCACTACTTCCTGGCCGATCTATGCTACTTTGTCAATATCCTCATGGTTATGAGCATCTACATCTTTCCTCAGTCTAAACGCCTGTTCATCGCGACATATTGCCTCTGTATGGGTAACAACGCCATCGCCATTGTCATGTGGCGGAACTCGCTCGTCTTCCACAGCATGGACAAGGTGGTCAGGTAACATTTACACACCCACGCATTCGACCACATACTAACCTGCCTAGTCTGTTCATCCACATGATGCCCTGCGTAACGCTACACTGCCTCGTCCACTTGCTATCCCCAGAATATCAACAAGAACACTATCCCGCCATCTACAACATTCGTCATTCCGACCCGACTTCTCCCCACCACTATAGCCTTCCACAGATGATGTTATGGGCGACCTGTCCGTATGCCTTCTGGCAACTGAGCTATCACTTCCTCATTACGGTGCGCCGCCGCGAACAGATCGCCGCGGGTCGACCTACCAGCTTCACTTGGCTGCGAAAGTCGTATGCCAAAACCTGGATCGGCAAAATTGTCCTCGCGCTTCCCGACTTCCTTCAAGAGCCCGCCTTTATGTTCATCCAGTACAGTTATGCTGTTCTCACCATGCTTCCCTGCCCTGTTTGGTTTTGGTACCGCTGGCCTAGCGGTCTATTCCTTACCATCGTCTTCATCTGGAGTGTTTACAACGGTGCCACCTACTACATTGACGTCTTTGGCAATCGCTTCCAGAAAGAGTTGGAACAGTTGAAGAAGGACATGGCAAAGTGGCAGGCCTCACCAGAAGGCGCCTTCACCCCCTTCACACCAATGGGTGACGGAGCAGATGGAGCAGAGAAGCAATTAGGTTACATCTCTCCACTTGAGGGCAGCACCAGTGTGAAGCCTGTGGACAATACTACAAGAGAGAGAAAGTAGCGCGCTGACGTTGTATCGTGTTGCAGTTTTATAACAAGTACATAGTGACGTTGGCCAGCGGTCTCATGTTGTCTATTCCATTTCAGAAGGAGGGTTCATCTAGGCGTTGTTTTGCGTGCTGCGCGTTCCCTTCTTGTGCATCATTTAGCTACGTTCACGCATTACATTCGCATTGGACTTTTCTGCGTTGTCTAGACCGCTGATTGAATATACCCATTTCCTTCGCTAAGTCTATGTCATTATTGTTTTTAGTCTACTTGTAATGCTCAAATCTTCACGGTTTCGCACCGCAACCCCATGTTTGAAGATTTCGTAGTTTATTTATTGCTATTGAGAAGGATATGATACACCAATGTATACTTGCTGAGCCACTATCAGAACCGGCAATTCCAGCCCCTCCTCACCCTCCTTCCTTATCAACTTCTGTCCCGAATTCACCCCCTGCGGATACCGACACCGCTCAGCAGGCACACTATGATACCTGTCCCATGCCTCCCTTGAATCCCACCCAGCCTCCGCTTGCGGCCGACTTAGTCCAAATATGTCTTGGTACCAGTGACAGATTCCTTGCACTCTTTCGAACTCACGGTTTTGCTGCATAACCGCTTGCTGGTGGATGTAGCTTAGGAGGCACCATCTGTGTCTAACGAAGAAGGCGTGTCTATTGAGGGTGGTGGTGGTAGTTGCCTGTGATGTGGCTGGGGAGCGGGTTTGGGTTTGCGAGGGGGAAGCGGAGTCGCCTGGGTGCTGTTCGGGCTGCTGCTGCGGGATTGCAGGAGCCCCTGTAGTCTCCTCGGTGGTTGTTTCTGAAAAACTTTCCGTGTCTTCTTGCCCGGATGCTTGATGTATATGCAAGATATGGTAAGATATCTCTGCAGAAGTGGAAGGAGACATGTGCATGTTGGCTGGCATGGTGGTTGCTTTGGGTTTTGGATTTGAGAATGTAAAAATGAGTGAATGCAAGAAGCTGCTTTTCGAGAACTTTGTAGTATATGCGTTGAAATATACATAATACAGAGCAAGGAATTATGCTAGTGTATTTGGGTGTAGTGTGGTTTGTAGGAGCAGGAATACAGGAGCGAACCATGAGATTTGTTCATTTTCCCAACTGGACATCTCTATCCTATCGCTTGACTGCGGTTCAGTTCTCGGATACCAGTGTTAATATGAGATTATTTCAAGGTAATGACTGGATACAATACCAAGCGAGAGATCTGGGTTTGGATTCTTGATTTCCATGGTTCCTAGAAACAACTAGCTCCAATTTCAAAATCTTCTGACGTGAACTTTTTCCAACCACAAAGACGTTAACATTACTTTTACAACACTGAACGCTTGATAACATATAACAACAGCGATTAAAAGGTAGATTAATATATTGTTCCTCCGAATGGCAAAGATCATCATCAAGTCCTCATCCACTGCCAACACCCATTTTCCTACCTACCATGTTATCTAGTACCTGCATCAGTAGGGAAGGCCATCTTTACCGGCTCTCCCTGCACATCGTTCTCCTCTCTCCACTGCCTTCTCTCCACCTCACTAACTCCTGGTCCTCTATATACACTCCCATACAGCCCACTCGCCCACTCACTTCCCGGCCCCTCCTTGTTCTTCTTCGTCGCTCTTCTGCGATACCATTTCCCATATGCAAGCAAGTAGTACAGCCTAAAGCTCAAGAACGCAAACTTGTCACGTTCCAAGTCCTCGGGATAATCCGCACCCAAGTCAACGGCAGCAGCAATACCGCTCATAACCGCGACTTCATGCGCATTTATCAGCGTCCATGCCGCTGCGAAGCGTGTATGTTTGCGTCCTTGTAGCGCCCACATCCAGGGGACTACAAAGAGGTAATGTGTCCAAGAGTGGCAAAGCTGGTGCCACCAGTCTTTTCTGATGATTTTGTCTTTGTCAATCTCATCGATACTCCACAGATGGCCATCTCTTTCCTTGTTGAGATAAATCGTTTGGAACACATGCTTGTCAAAGGGAACATCAGGTGGGAACTGGGACTGGTAGTTGGTGCAGTCGAAACACATTTCGAGTTTAGACAGGTCCTGTGGGTACATTTTGATGTAGTACATTGGCTTGAAGTTCTTCTCTGCGAAATCGTTGCGCGAGGTTTGCGAGACGGAAGATAGCGAAGAGACGGCTTTGGCGGGGTCGTAGAAGTTTTCGTAGTGTTTTTCCATGTAGGCCGTGTCCCAGTGCGTGACGGTGATATCGTCGGAAAACTTGGCGGAGCCGAGGACTTGCTTTTCGCGGAAAGAGGCTGTGGGTGCTAGGATGCGTTTTGCGGTGTCGGCACTGTCAGGGGTCAGCTCACGAATAGCGATATCATTGTGGGTTTACTTGCAGTACGCAAAGGATCAACTCGTCGTAGTGCTCTTCTTTCTCTTCAGCATCAGAATCGGCATTGTGCTCGTTATCGTAGGGAACGTGGACGCTATTGGGATTATGCGCATCGGGCTTGAGCGTGCGCTTGATCAATCGAACAGTGACACCAGTCTGATCCCGCTTCACCACTCTCGTGATTTCCGTTGAAAGTCTAACAGTCACACCTCTCTTGAGTAGATCCTGCCTCCAGCGCTCGTAGAACTCGCTAAACTTTGGAAACACGACCATGGGCGGCAGATTGCTAACAACGCTGTGCTTATCTGCCGGATACCACATGCCATACGTAGGGCTCGTACAAAGCCTCTCGAGAATGATACTGGGTACATTGGGCGTTTCGTTGCCTGTGCCGAGGAAAAGCGCTATCATGGGCATGGCGACAGTATTGGTGAATTCCTCGGAAAAGAAAAACATCTTGAAGAGGATCTTGATCGGTATCAATGCGAAAAAGAGCTCGAACCACCGCACTATCTTGAGCATGGTGTTGAACCGCCTAATTTCTTTCTGATGCCGTGCGAGAAGTTCGGTTGGGAATACATTTGTCCAAAAGATGTCGTCTTTCCCAAAAGATACTTGGAGATTAACGGGATCCGCGTGGTGGCCCTGTCGCGCAAACATAGTCATGGTATGGTGGAAGATGTAACTTCCACCTTGCACACCTTGGTTGAGCCACTCTGCTCCATGCCGTTCCTTGTCGAGTCCAATAGAAAAAGCTTGGCCTCCGCAGTAATCTACTGCATCGATGAGAGTAACATCAAATTTGTCCGGGTGTTCAGAAAGATGGTGAGCACATGACATTCCTGCATCTCGTAAGCAACCCCACATCTCAGCAGATTCGATTCATCGTACCTGCTGCCCCAGCTCCAACAACGAGCACTCTCTTCTTCTTCCCGTCTTTGTTATTGCCACCCGCCATGTTTGTGGTAGGCAAAATTGGGTCAGTGTCACGATAGCGTCGCATTGAAAGCAAATCTCAGCACTTGTGCAGCATCCTGCGGAAGAGGAGCTACTACGGTCCTATTTGTTTGCAGCCGTCACGATATAGACTTTAAACGAATGCGTCATGAGATCCAAAAGCGGTTTAGACAGATCTAGGTCGGTTATCGGTCGATCTTCCACTAGCCATCGCCAAGCGCTTGCTGCTGCCCAAGTGGCATTCAACACCACTCTCAGACCATGACGTCGCTGATCTCGCGAATACTTCATGACGGCAGCATTAATGCTGCCTCGCCAATAGTTCGTATTACACAAGTCCACGGTATCATTATTCTGGATTAACTTTCCGTTTTCCCTAATCGTACAATTTTGTGTCATAACAAATGAAGTCGTCACCGACTCGTTGCGTGATCTCGTGTCTAAATCGTGTGCATCCCTCTTATCGTCCTCGCCGTCCAGTCATCTACCGCATCAGTTGTTGGGTCGCCTATAGTTGCAGCATGAGAAATAGGATCTGTAGGCGGGAATGTCATCGCTGGGTTCGAATGGCTCAAGTCGAAAAAGTCTAGCCCTAGGTCCGTTGTCGCATTGGTGAACCAGTCCTCCCCCAGATCTGATATCTCGACTAGGTGATCCATGCTCCAGTCGTCTACCATCGCTCCTGCGGGCTCCATCAGCGGCGGCTCTTGTTGCGTTTCCACTGGAATTGGTGGTTTCTTGTCTTCCGTAACGCCGGTTATAGTGGCAAACTGCAGCGCAATCTGGCTAAGGGTCTTGTATGTAGGCGCAAGCCTGTGCATGCCGCGTACCTGATCAAGCACCATACGCACCGTCGTTTTGCGCTCGGTATCCTTCGCCGAATCTATTTGCTCCCTCGGTCGCGCAAGGAAGTCTGCGCATACGATCAGAACAGCGTGGAAGACGTAGAAAAAGTCCAACCAGGAGTAGCCGATGATGCCAAGATCGATCCCAATCGTAATGTATTGGAGGCTTCTATGCACCGATTCTACGCAGTCTTCCGCCAAAATGAGCGTTGTTTGCCAATCCTCCGTGATTGGAAATGGCTTCCCTTCCATGTAGCTTATATTGCTGTCGACTTTGTGGACGAGGAAGTCTCGTGTTATGATGCAACGTGTGTAGTAATAGTAAATATGCAGTAACAGAATTGTTGGCTTTTCATCTTGGGCTGATGAGTACTCTACTAGCATGTGCGGCGGTATGCTTGCAAAGAAATTGTCGCACTGGCGAAGTAAAGATTTTGCGACAGCGAGGGTAGGTGAGCGTTCTTCGGCTGAAGTATAATCAAAGTAGGCATGCTGTCGGATGGTGTAGGACATGCGGACAAGTTCGAAGCCGAGACTCATAAATGTGGCAGTGGCGCCGGTCTGCTCAAGTGTTGGTGATTCGGGGATGTGCATCGACATCTCTCGATCGTCGATTGCTGTTGGTCGTCCCAGAATACTACACAGCGTCTTCTCGAAGATATAAATGGTCCACCAGACCTGACGGCGCATATCTCGTTCGATTGGGTCGAAGTCTAGGTTTGAACTATCGCGATGCATGCCCATGGTAATTGACTATGATTGAAAGGTTAGTGCAACACCGATCCAAATCGAAACATGACTTGCCATGCGCGCAGCAAGACCTATGAGAAGCCATGAGCTACTCTTTTGTCCTATATTATGATGGTGCAAGTTGTGCAGAACGAGAGCCTGGACGTTGTCCAAGCACGTTGTTGTCAAGAGTTGTCGAAAGTAGCCTTTGGCGAAAACAAGGTACTTGAGGCGAAGTTCATGCGTCTGCTCTGCATCAAGTGCTCGAACCTGCTGGCATCCAAAGGCGAAGACCAAGGCCAATATCACCAACCACCCCGGCTGCTTAGAGTCCTCCAGGGGTTGCAAGTGCCGAGAATATGTTTCCTCCAGTCGATTCTGAAACACGCTTCTATTGAAAAGAGGCATGTAGGTGTGAACATGGTCGAAATAGGCAGCGGTCAGTGCATCCGCAATGTGTTTCTCCGGTAAAAAGTCACCGATGGTTTCGGCAATGGGGCCTGGGTCTCGTGGTAGCGACTGATCACTCGAGGACTCTACCTGTGATCTGGATCTCTTGCGACTTCTGCTAGTTGGGATTGGTAGCCAGTTAGTTCTGGGCATGGCGTAGTCATCTTCGGATGCGTTTGTGCTGCTGCGATTGATAGACGCGCCGGATCCAGAGCCATATAAGGGGATGCAGGGAAAGTCTGCGCCAGACGCAGCTTTCCATCGTGCTGCCAAGCTTCGTATTGTAGTTGCGAGTCGGAAACTACTCGAGGGGCCGAAGTAGTGTGAGGAGCCGTGGGCGGCACGAACGTCGGCTGATGGTCGTCGCGCTTCAGTAACAGCAGGGGTAGGTTGATGGTGTTTGGGTGTAGTAGACGCGACAGATGTGCTTTGAGTAGATTGACTAGGAGTAACAGCCATGCCTGAGCGAAGGAGGTTTGGCGAAGGCTCCTGTCGCTGCCCACCCGGCGTCGGTGCTTCTCGCTCATTTTTGTTGAAGATATCGGCTGGGGTGAAGTCGTCACTGGCAGGCATGGATATATTCCTTGCCGCCGCCAGCTTGAACAGTGTCTCGGTGTCCTGAACATTTTCATTGGGAAACAGGCCCTTGACTAGCGACTCAAGAGCTCTGTAGCGCAGGCTCAAGGTTTCCACACTACCGTATACTCGTTGCTTACGAGGCAGTTTGGATTCGCATTGCACGCCAGCTGCCTTGCAGTCGGCGCATGGCACGTCTGCGTTGTCGCGAATACATCGCGCTCGCCGGATCTTGCAACGGTCGCAACTGACGAGTGCTCGTTTCCGAGACGGACCTGCTTTAGCCGGGCGTTCCGCCATGATCATCGATGTTGGTGCGAAGACGACTAAAAGCGCCTTCCGAGGGTTCGCTTCGGTGGGTTTGTGGAGTTCCGACGATCGCCGCTACGCGTTTCGATCATGTGGAGGAAGAGGGCAAGGAGCAGTGTTGCTCGCGAGCAGAGGATGGTGCGCTCTTGTCATCAGTCTATCGGAGTATTTTCCGCAAGGACGGCCAATAGGCTTGGCTGACCACGGATCCCATAGAAGGGCCGGTGCAATGCTTTTTCAAATTAACGCGTCTGTCACTATAGGACCCTTAATTCGTCCGCCGATCGACTATTGTCATAACCTCTCCATTGGTAATTGCTGTCAAACTCTCTCTTCATATCGTCCCCTCTAGATACACCGGGATCCCATACACTACAGCTGCAGCTCCATTCAGGTATCTTAACACACACGCGCTCCTTGCATCCCTTATGGCCTCGTCCAACCCAACTCCCCTACCGCTCTCCCCTTCAACACTCACATCCTCATCAGCCGTCTTTGCCGTCTTCTTCCCCTTCTTCACACTTCCCAAACTTCTAACCCCCTCGACGTCATCCACCAACTGACCAACCCGGCCTTTGCCCTTTGACTTCTTCGCGGCTGGCTTGGCAGGCGTCTTTGGCGGAAGAGCATCTTCTTGTGCCTCGGGCCAGAGGCCCCATAGTTCGCCTGCTCTGACAGCGAGACGATCGCAGTCCTTGTCTGTAACGTCCCAGAGCATGCCGACAACTGCAGGTGCGCCCGCAGTAAGGTAGGAAGCGAGCATGCCAGAAGGCTCAAAGATACCGTTTTCGGTAAGATGTACAGACGAGCAGCCGAAAAGAAGCGTCGTTGCACAGCCTGGCTTTCTCCCATTTGCGTCTTGTGGGCCGGGGTAGAGGCGTCGAACCGATTTTGATTTGACGTATTGTGCTCCACAGCCGTGGCCAAAGTAAAGGACCAGATTCTTCTCCCGCAGCGCCTCCTCAAATTCTTTCTCCGACGGCGCTCGGTTTCTGATGTGATTCCAAGGTCCTTGGAGTTCGTCAAGGTGGGGCTTGATTGTTTTGGATGTGTGAGCCAAGTCACCCGAAGGATTAAGCATGCTTGTGCCTCCTGCGTCGGGGCATATGTAATGACCGGGAGCGGCGTCTGGGTGAGCTGTCGAAGACCGCGCGGAGAGCAGTCGCTCGCGAAGGGCCGCAAGCGAAGGCAGCCTTGAGATAGACAGCTGCTCTAGACATGGAAGGGACTCCCAGGGGAATGCATGTAGGTTGTTATCCAAGATCAGTATAGTGTGCCGAGTAGCAGTGTCCGGTTTCTGAGATGCGCTATGGTAGGCGCGCAAAGCTTCGTACGTTTCGACCACCATGGCATCAAAGTCGAGTTCGTCGTACGCATTGCACTCACCGTTGAACTGAAGAACGTCGACCACAAAATAGATCAAATCCATTAGAGATTCGTCCAAATCGAGATCCTGATTGGTAGCATCGCCTAGTCCAATGAACAACTCCAGAACTCGTGTATCCAAAACCGGTCGCTTTTGTTGACTCTTCTTCCGACGAGACGGCAAATGATCGTTGAGTATACTTTCGAACGCTTTCCGGAAGCGAGCAAGAAGAGTTGGCTGTCTTTCGTATTGTGAAAAGACACCCTTGAAGCCGCCAAGCCATATGTTCTCCATGTTGATGAGAAGCTCATGAAGCCTGGTGTCAAGGGCTTCACGTTCAGCCCACCACTGCTGTCTTGCTTCTCTCGAGGTCATGTCCTTCGCGGATCGCGTACTAAAGTCGCTGAGCTCAATAATCTCATCAAAGTCCCTTTTGCCATCCGCAAAAGAAAACTCTTCCTCATCCATCTCACGGGAAGCGTGGCGAGCTAGGGGCAAGCGCAATACGAAGGGCGACAATCCACTTTCAAACCGGGTAATGAAGAGTTCATCGCGTTCCTCACTAAGTTCGAGCGATACAGCGGTCCATGTATCCGGAATGATGTCAATATAGTCCTTCTGGAAGTCCGAGATTGAGCCCAAGGTAAAGCGAGAGGGATCCGAGACTGGCCATTGCAGACATTCATCCCGTGACATTTGCTCCTTTTCTCCTTCAGTCGACTCTTGCACGAGCCTCAACGCATTCACCTTTGGTACTTCTGCAAAATGTCAGCACAGTTGCTGTATTACTCAATCCTGTACATACCACTCATGTAGGCTGCATATAGGGGGTGAAGCGAGCCAGGTAGCTCACTGCCACACACGGCAGACATCAACACAGTGACGTGACCTAGCGCTATGGAAGTCTGACGGAACAAGTGATTGGAGCCGTTAGTAGCACAAAGGCTATGCGCTTCTACAAGTCTCTCGCGTGCCTCCCGAAGCGTGTCCATGAAGTCTTCTTTCGACCGCTTCTTGGTTCGGCCGCCTTTTGTTGGTACGATGGTGCCTTTCTTAGAAATTGCCGTTTCAGAGAGTGTGCTTTCTTTAAGACCAAAAGCAGGAAACGCAATGGTCGACTCTGGCAAGGTATTCACGGTAAAATCTTCTGCGATCTGCTTTGTGCTTTGCGCAAGCCTCGCTTTGAAAGTAGCCCACATGTGCGAAACTTCTTGACCCAAACCAGTCTGCAACTCTTCTGCTTGTCCAAGAAGATCCAAGGCCTTAGTGAGGTCATCGTGTAATATGTTTGCAAGTATGGCTCGATCTCTCATGCTTGCTTGCAGAATCTGCAACGCAGAGCATTGGTCGGCAATACTGGACGCCTCCGGAACTATGGGAGACCTAGCTTGGCGTGTAGTCTTGGGGACAGCCTTAGCAGTGGCTGCTGCAGTGGTCCTAGTACGTGCGTTGGTTACTGGCTTCGGCACCGCTTTTGCGGCAGCTTTCACTACGGGTTTACGACCTCTTGCACCCGCCGCTCTGGCCTTGGAAGAGGCTGGAGGTTGCAACGCCAAGGATGAAATCTGCTCTGCAAGCGCGTCGACTGAAGGTGAGAAAGTCTCTAAACTTCTGATGTAACAAGGGGAACTCAGTTCTGTGATGAGCTGCTCCATGCGGGAGTAAGATTCTATCTCTTCTCCATATCGGCTGTTCCAGTGGTGTGTCCTGGCGATAGCAGAATGGTATCCCGCGGTTGATAGGCACTTTCGCGAAGAAGCTAAGCTAAGTGTATCAAGGGTGCTTTCGGCCTTGTCAGGTCTGCCGCTCTGGGCCCAACAATCAGCACGCCAGCTGGCATTGTCGATCATGAGTGTAGCTGATCCTGTAGAGGAAGCAATCTTCTCAGCTTGTTCAGCGACGTAGATGGCCTCATGCAACAGTCCCTGGTGGGCGAAGATCTGTGATTGTTGCATCAATGCCCGATACAAGGCGGGGACCAAAGACCAAAAGTCGGGGCCGCTGAGGGCATCGTGCGTTACAGACATGACCAGTGGCATCCCTTTGTCATTGCGCACCGAACTTAGCGGGTCAAACGCCGCTCCTGCTTCGGATTCCATATCATCTGCAGCAGCCATTTTTCTTGCGTTGGCTCTTGACTCCAAAGCAGCCCAAATACGGCGATTGAGCGTGACACATTGTCTAGCATGTCGAGCGGCTTGTCGATACGATCCAGTAGAGGTAGCGAGAAGTGATTGAACATAAGAGGCATCCGCTACGATTCGGTTGAATCGCAATCTGCCAGAGAGTGTCGTAGTGGGTTTCGCTAGATTCATAAACTGGTTGTCTGCGAGTGCAATGGATTGAGCGTTCGACATTATGTTCGAACTCGTGAGCGTTAGCGTCTGGTATGACCGTGGCTATATGAATCACTTACCATTTTGCAGTATTCCCAATCCCTAGAAGGTACTCTGCATAGGCCAGGTGCCATTGCAGTCTGGCCTCCACAGAGCAGGTTCGGCGTTGAACCAAAGCTTCAGCTTTGGCCAGAGACAGGCCTGCTTTTCCGGTGTATCCAAGATGGAGAAATTGCAGACCAAGGGTAGATACGGTGGTGATGAGCTCAGAGGCGTCCGAATCTTTCCGAAGCTCAAGTGTCGCGACCAGAAGGTGAAGGAGTGGCAATGCAAGGTACTCCTCTCCTTTTGCATTTAGGAACTCGAGGCATGCTTGAAGGTCTTGTAGCCATGTCTCAGTATTGTCTATGCGATCGTCTAGAGCAGCCCATGAAGTTGCAGAATCGACCAAGGATTCCCACGTTGCAAAACACTGCTGAAGGGTGGAAGTAGGAGGGGATTGATCCTGCATTGATGACTTGAGGGTGTAAAGTGCTTTCAGGTGACTTTCGTGGTTATTCAAGGCTTCATCCCGAGACCCCGACACTCTTGCGCTGTCGTCATTTGCTAGATCGGAGGGAGAAAGCTGCTCAGAAACAACATGTAGATCATGCTGAGAAAGCTGAAGAAGCGTAACGGACAATCTTAGATGCCGAATGGGGTATGTTTGTGGCGCATAAAGCTGTTGGAGTCGCTCTGTGAGGATACATATCGACTTGTTCAAAGTAAAGTCCCATTGTCGATTCTTGGACAGCGTCCGTAGGAAAAAGCCAGTTTGCACTTCCAAGAGTGCTCCTCTAGCGCCTGGGTCTAGCTCTTCATTGTCATAGAAAGCTACCTCGTTCTGTTGCTGAAGACCGAATTTGATGAATGAGTGGTGGTATGCTTTCAGCACCCTAGCCAAAACACTAAACGCCTCACCATTACTGAAGATTGCGTTGACAGAAGATCGTGCAGCAGCTTCAGAGAGCTGTTGCAACACATCCTCACTAAGATGGCTGTCCAGACATCGTCGATAAGCATTGCGAGAACGCTCGCTCTGTTTCATGTCTTCAAAAGCTTCGCCCAATTGCTCAAGTTTCATCGGAAGAAGGCCGCTCACTTGCTCAGATGAGGATCTCGATTCTAAGAGATCGATTGAACGCTGCATGGCTACAACTAGGTGTTCGAGATTGCAATGCGCCTTCCGTAGTTGTAGATACAGTGCCCAGTATGCGTTGGATATTTTGACTGTATATGAGCCAACAAGAACAGCGCCCTCTCCGCTAGAGAATGTGCCATGTTCAAATTCTTCACTGAATCGATGGAGGATGTGCGAGCATTCTTGTAGTACGGCATCCACCTCTTTCCATTCCTCCTGCGTCCGTATGTTTTGTTTGCAACATGTCATGACAGAGTCAAGCGTACTCTTCAAACACTTCCATGCAACTGTTATTCGTTCGCGATGTCGGGTTTTCGTCTTTGCGTCGGCTTCATCGGGAACTCTAGTGCCGAGGAACCTCGCTGAGAAATGTACGCTTGCTGCTATTATGGGTACTGCATATCGTTCAATAGCAGAGGGCTCTGCAACGGCGGATCTCGAGAGACTTGCTACAAGTAATCTTGTCGCTGTACGACGCAGAGAGTTTACTTCTGCAAAGAGCGTTTCCAGATCTGCCGTTGATCCACCTAAACTCCCATGTAGGGTCTCAAGTGCAGTGATGATAGTCTCCTCTAGATCAGGCTTCTTGTCGCCTTTCAGATATGCTTCTAGAGTAATGATAGCTATCCGTATCGTCCGCGCGGTCTGCTTAGCCGCAGACGCGTTGGAGGCCGAAGACGTCTTTGATGAGCCTAGCCATCGAAGAGCCTGATCAGATAGACCAGCAGCTTGAGCAAGTGAAGACAAAGCCTTGTTGGCGGTTGCAGACGAAGCGGTACTATTCTCCGAGGCAGCAAAGTCGTCTGGCAGTCCTACCAAGTCAGCGTACAAGGTCTCGGCTAACTTGTACTTCTTACTTGGAATGAGCTGTGATCTGCGGGCGAAAGCGACCAGACACTTGGCAAACGGTTCGGCCAGCTCTTGATCCTCGTTCCCTTGATGCTTGACAAGACCCCACCATTGCTTTCGGATATTGAAGGCTAAGTGCTGTAGAAGAAGTACAGTCTCTGGGGACGGCTGTAGCGTGTTGGCGTCGTCTGCGCTGGAGATACTGGGGCATAAAGAGAGGACGGTCTGCGCCAGGGACTCTAGTTGTCTTGCTGCTTTAGCTTGACTGCTCGGAGTCTTGGCGGTGTGCCAGAGCAAGTTTGCGGGCGATGAAGGGTTCGACATTTTCAGGTAGTCCCAAGTGGTTTCGACAATTCGTGGTCTTCGTAGCTTCGCAATGATGCGCAATGTGTATGATTGAAAACTTGCAACGAGTGGCACAGCAGGGCTCTTGGAGTCGATAGCCGCAAAGTCCAAGAGGGATGCAAGGCTATCCTTCTCCGTAGTCCCAGTGGATTGTGGACCACCCCTTGCTATCTCTTTTCCAGCGTCTCGAATAAGGTATCGATCCAATCTCTTCTTCAAGTTCCTCAGCTCCTTGATAGCCAAGTTGTCCAGGCCAAGTGCAACAAGCTTCCCGATGAGCACAAGCACACCATTCTCGTACTGCAGCTCCTGTGAGTCCTTTCCCAGGACTTTCAGTGCCTCCGGGGTACCCAGATATGCAAACGCTGTCCTTGCACATTCGGCCATCGCCACGAGCCCAGGATCGGGGCCAGGGGAGAGAAACGAAGAGTATGACGATGAACGGCGTGGCGCGCGTTTCTGGGGCGAATTGTTGATCTGGGAGACGGATCGCTCCCTGAGAGGCTTCTGTGAGGTTGAACAAGTCTTAGTGTGTCCGGGTCGCGGTCGTGCAGGTTTACGCGCATCTTCGGCGGTCGCAGGCTTCGATTTCGCGGAGGCAATTGTGAGAGGCGGGTTCTTCAGCGCATCTGCGAGCGTCTGAAGCGTTTTGTTGGCGACTTCAGTTGCAAGTATGTATCTCTCTCTCGGCGCAAGAGTACCGCACTTTTGCTTTGTAACCTCAGCCGTTGCCGCAGCCGTTGCTGTGCCAGCTCTCCTCCGCGCCGCAGCTGTCGCCTGAACCTTGGCCCTGACATTCTCCTTTTGGGTCGTAACCTCCTCTTTCTTCAGTAGTAGTTCCTCGAGCGCAGCAACCGTGGCGCTGGTACATGTCGAAGTTGAGAGCAGGTCGGCTTTGATGTTATCGATGCGCGCGCGCGCTGTTTCGTCCTTTGCCGCCATTTTGCCAAGATTTTGGGGGTATTTTCGGATGCGTCGCGTTTTACAGATTCCGTAGATTATACATTACTAAGAAGACGGGCGCTCTGGTAGCTATGTTGTACAGTGTTGTCGGGGTTAGGACTCAACACCGCGGCCAAACACCGTTCCACAACACGGTACCGTATCCGGTTAGCGTTGGGTCGTGCCAGCAGACGCGACCCTGCACTGCGCCTACCTACACCACGAATGCAGCAACCTCGTCTATCTACCCGTTCCAAACTTGTTCAAGATACCTGGCTCGCTTCCAATAAACATGTTGCTGCACGATGCCACCCAAGTTGCCAGATGAACTCGCTATATCACAATTACGGCGGAACAATCTCACCAAGTTTCCACTAGAGTGGTATTGACAAACTTGCGATTGCTAGAAAGCAGGCGCGAATGGAGTACTGTATATGGAGCGCATTTACAGTGGCTTGTGTGACCAAGCAGTGACTGTGGCGTGGCCAAAAGACTTGGTTGTCTAACTAACGTGCAGCAGCCCAGCGTTTCGAACCGAACTTTCGTCCTCTTTCGCTCTCTGTGCTTGATGCGGGATTCGTTCGGTCATAATTCGCAACGATTGTCACTGAGTAAATGAGCATACGAATTGACATCCTATCACACTGATGAAAGCTAATCATGAAAGTTACACAAATACGATGGCTGTTTAAGATTCAAACCCCTGATGATGGTGCCCAGCCATCATCATGGCGGCGTGTGCCTGATAACATGCTTTTCAATGACCGAAAAGAGGGAGGTGGTAAGGTCAAGAGGGAGAGGGGCTAACAAGAAACGCTGGGCTGGATCTCGGGTATCGTAGCACTATAAACATCTGCCGTGGGTTAATGTTTGTCTATGGGGTTTTTACCTCTTTTGTATACATAGTCCGCTGCTCTGGAGAGCTAGCTACGCCTTATAGCTGACGGGATTATTTGTCACGGCCTACCGGTACACTTCTGGATTGCGGCGAGCCGAGGCTCTGGGAAGCTGCCTGGCGCTGTTGTTGGATGAGATGGAGGGTCTGGACATGTCGATGCCATGCCCCTGCTTGATGGCGCATGGAGAAGCATTGGCGGACTGGAAAAACTAGGAAGCCGGCTAATCTTGTGACATGCTGGGAACTACATATCTTCTGTGTACGAATCAGTACAGATTTGACCTTATCTACTTCTGAGTTGGGACAGACAATATTGTTGTTGTGTTGATCCCAATGTCTGTATTCCCGGACCATAATCAGCCCTCCTGTTCGCATCTCCAAAGCGCGGACTTATCCGCTGATTCCCAGTGACATACGAACTATAAAGCCCGACAGTATACCCGTAATGAGGATGTGACAGGGCAGGTCAAACGCTTGTCTTTACGACGCACTAGCACAAACGAGGTCTCGTCGCTGCTGCACTGTGACCTGCGGGGTAAGTGGTACGTACCAGTACGGTACTTCATGCAGTACCTCAAGGTTCTCGATCCTACGCCATATGGTACTTATTGACAGTTACCGACGCCGTGGTTCGTTTAGAACGGCCCTCGGATATAGGACGTAACACGTCATTCAAGTTCCAACACCAAGACCCTTTCTGAGAATAAGTGGCGCGTTGGTTGGCAGAAAGCTAAGTCCGGGGTACCGTTGGTTGACCCCTTGCTCTACTACTGTACTTACAGCGGGTTACCAATCGGCAAGAGGGCCGTCAGGAACCCGTTAGTCATACGATGCAGTACTTCTCTCGGCCAAGCCATAGGTTCTCACCGATTTTAATGCGCCGGCTGGTGAACAAGCATGCGTTGTGTAAACTTGATGCGCAATTCTGCCGAAGATGACGATACTAGTTCAACACGCCCTGGTAACTTAGCCGCGTGCTGCAAGGCGGCCAGGGTCTATGCAGCAACAATATCAATGTTTCACGCCGGCGAAACAAGCGCACGTGGTGATTGAGCAGCAAGTATCTCGACCAACAACAGAGGAGCGCCACGATTTGTAAGGCTTCTTGAATGCATCGTGACGGGTCGATTCTATTCTGAATTGGCCCACAAATTGAGAGATTGGACATGACGGCGCTTACGGCCGTAGTCTAGATGTGGTTAGATAAGTCAGCTGAACTGAGACGAAGTCACTCCTTCAAAGCTTGATCGCTATCTCGCCGTGCCTAGAAGCCAGGGGTTGTGTTCTAGGAAAGAATGGAAAGCGTTCATGGGCAGCAGCACTCCAAACCTTCAGCGGTACCTTAGCTTGGCTTTACTTGTTTACGTTCGCAGGCTATGCTAAATTTAGTAGAGCTTATTCCCGGTGAGGAAAGGCTGCACAGACAGAGTGTAATTACACACACAAGTATGTACGTACTGTACAAGTCCCTGTCATTTTGCATATGACGATGGCCGGGATGGTGCAAGCACTTCGGACTTCCCGAGATCTTTGCTTGTCTATGGCAAAGTTTAACAACAGGCCGTGGTTTGGGGACGGCATCCCCATCCGTGTGGCGGGAGTGTCCTATCGTAACGTAACGGTAAATATGTTGATTAGGCCCATGCAAAGCGCATAAAGGGACGTAATTCAGGCCGCGCAACAACTGCCCAGGTGCTCATCGGGGTCGCTCGTTACTGGCCACCCCTGAGCGAGGGAAGCAGCATCTAGGCCACGAATGGCTAGCGCCTCGCATCCTCCACAGTTCCAAAGTCGCCTAACAGCAGACTATCCCCCGCAAACCGACGACAGCAATATATAGGGACGGCTGAAGGAGAGGGCAGGTCGCGCTCCTCCAGGACACCGGACCGAACAAGCTGCGGCGTAGTTCGCAATAGCAAACACACCAACAAGAAAATACCAACATGAGCGTTCAGGGCTGTGATTGCACGACTCTCGTGAACGTATGTAAGTAAGTACATACGACCCGGCGATTACCGTAGTTGGCACCACTTTATGCGTACCGCAAATCATCGTCGCTATTGGAACTGCATGCACAGACAGTGTTGATCCTGAGACAGCGGTCCTGAGGCATCGTCCAGGGCCGTGCACCACGTGGAGGCTTCGTTGATGTTGTTTTCCTCGATCCGAAGTGGCTTGAAACTCGCACGCGACATCTGCTCCAACATTCCGCCACACTTCTCCCCTCTTGAATTTCTTATTCGCCTCAGAGTGAAGCCTGCTTTTTGGTCAACGAAAGATTTTTTCAAGTTCCCACAAATGTCAGACAGGCAGCTCTTCGTCCCACCCTCTCGTATCCAAGGGATGACCGACTCGGTAGTATTGGACATTGCTCGATTCGCAATACGCTAGCTCAACGACAGGGAGCGGATGCTAGGGGGGCACGCAGGAGCGCAAGACGCCAAACTGTAACTTACTTCCACTAACCCTGTCAACGTGGCGCACTCCAGTGCTTTAGCGATCGTCTGGCACCCGTCTATGCCGTCTAACATGCCGCGGCTGGTGCACCTGCATCTCCGTTTTACCTGGTACAGTAGTCTGTTGGGCGATCTCCTTCTGGCCATAAGCATCTATGTCCATATTAGGCCCTCTGGTCCACCGGATTATTTATCGGATCCCGCCCTGTTGAGATCATCCATATATCCTTCACATTGACCACTCTTCCCAGGACGTTTTGGCGGAGAAGATACCGAGTATTGACCACGTTCTCTGTTTATCAACAACCCGCACCGCAAACCATTCCATCTACTCGACTTTGTCTCACTGACCAACAAAGAGTCTTTGCCTGGCACCCCTTGATTGGCCCAGAGACCGTGGACCTGTTTCCTGGATATTCAGACGGCACGGAGCCGGCTTCGCTTCGTCCCTAAAATAATTTGCCCATTGCCGCTCTTCCAAAACATGGCGTCTTGATGAGTTTGCAACACTATCACTTCCCTACCTACTCTCGAGCCGTCCCGCTTTCGAATTCGACTGCACAGACGCGTCGTCTGCTGCAACCATGGCACCCTACGATATGAGCTCAATTCTGGATTCGAGGACAGTTGATGAGCAATATTTCCAACCCCCTGACAGTATGGATCCACTCACGCCTGCCTACAAGGCAGGCATGGTCCCGCTAGCTGTGTGTGCAATGCTGAGTTTATTCTCTGTCGCTGCATTACTGGGCTTCATCACACAACGAATGATATCATGGCGAAGGCATTACAGACAATACGTCGGATACAACCAATACGTAATCCTTATCTTCAATCTCCTCATTGCCGATCTTCAACAATCAATTGCATTCTCGATATCCTTCCATTGGCTTAGACTCAACAAGATTCTGGCACCAACCGGAGCGTGTTTTATTCAGGCCTGGTTCTTGCAAATCGGAGATGTTGCAAGTGGCTTCTTCGTGCTTGCAATTGGAATACACACATGGTTGGGCGTGGTCAAAGGATACAAGCTGCCTTATCTGTGGTTCGTGGTGGCGATTCTATCGATATGGTTCTTCGCTCTATTTCTCACAGTCTTGGGGCCGGCAATGCATCGGGATAGATACTTTGCTCGTGCAGCAGCTTGGGTAAGCCACTCATCATAGACAGATGTGACATTTTAAGACTAACATCAAATAGTGCTGGGTCTCGAGTGAATACCAGGGAGAACGACTCTGGCTCCACTACCTCTGGATATTCATTGTTGAGTTCGGCACAATCATCATTTACGCACACATCTTCTTCCACCTCCGCCATCGTATTCGAAACATCGTCGCAAACGACACCAGAAAGCTCACACGCGCGAATAAATTCATGGTCATGTATCCGGCTGTCTACGTGATCTTGACACTACCTATCGCCGTGGGCCGCATGGTGGCTATGACAGGGGAACCCATGTCTGAGAACTTTTACATCATTGCCGGCTGCCTACTCACCTCCTGCGGGTGGATCGACGCACTCCTATACACCTTGACGAGACGTGTACTAGTTTCCGGAGACCTGAGCGCAGGACACTACAACCAAACACTCACCGCCAACCTGACCAACGCGGCGCGCCCCGGCGACACCGAACAAGGCCACTTTGGCCTCCAGTCTGTCGGTAAAAACGACGGAATCACAACCAACGCACGCACCGTCACCATCACAGGCGGCACCAAACGGTCATCACACTTAAGCGAGCATCGCCGGGGCCGCAGTCACATGATTGAGACGCAGCGCAGCAGCACAATAAACGAGGAGAGTCCTACGCGAACAGGATCACAAGACTCCATCATCAGAACCAAAGATACTGGCATTAGTATCGTAACAGAGACGAGCGTCCAAGTCGAGACGTCGGACGAAAAGGAAATGGACGCGGGGATACCGCTAATAAAGGACTAGAGCTTCCAAGTAATATCAGCAGAAAGGAAAACATATATTTCCATAATCAGAGTTAGGAACTACAGCGGCCTTGGCCTCGAAAAAACCATCACAACATCAACCACTACACAAATATCTTCCATGTATACCCATTTCTTTTTGTTGTTCTTCATCCTCATTCGATATACCAAAAAGCGTAGGCGTTGTTGGAATCCAGTGCAGCAAACCGTTCCATCTCATTTCATCTCATTTCATCTCATTTCAATTTTTCTTTTCTTTTGTCATTCCCAAAGGAGATATATTTGTACTACAAACTTCCGTCTGCGAGAAGTTCCTTCTTTTCTTTCCTGTTCATGTAGCCTCGTCTATTGGCTCGGAAGTAACATCTCCCAATGACCAGATTCAGATCTCAGATACCCGAAATACCAATATCAATCCACATATCCAAAATTACCGTCAAGGTTCCTTGCATAAAAGCAACAATAGTTGTCTCAGATACTTCGGGAACACCGTATGGAAGGCAAAGGGGTCTAGAGCCGGCGATTACTGTGGAGAACCGGTACGCCCCTGCCCCTCCCCCGGTTGTTACTTTTTTTCGTCTTTTCCCTCTGGCCTGTCATTTCAAGGCAGGTGTGGAAATCGGGAAGGTATGGCTGCTTCCCCGATTGGGACGCCAAATACCAACGGAGTACTAGTGGATTAGTAATTGTGTAAACGGCGACTTTGGCGACATTCTTCTTTTTTTCTTGCTGAACTAAATTCTATTTCATGTACACTTTGTGGGTCGGGTATCATATGTGAGTTGCGTAGGAATATTGTACAGTAAATTGGGACATGATGCGTTGACGGCGTGAAGTGAAATATGCTCGAGATTCTTCAGGGGAGGACAGCGCGAGTAGTCACACGGGGATTGTACCAACACTTCAGGCCAAGTCGGCGGAAGAGGTCGGTGTGTATTGATGTGGTTGCGGTATTCGTCGGCAACATGATTCCGATCTTCAGCCACGCCGTGGGCCTTGGTTTGAACGTAGCTTGCCTCTGGTTGGTAGCTGAATGCGAGACCGAAGGCTCTGGAGGGCGTCTGGTGGAGATATGTCGCCGAGGTCGTGGCCAGGGGATGTATCACCATCCGATAGATCGTACTGCGGGTTTGACATGGCAGTTCCTTGATCAAGTCGAGGCTCGTGAGGAGATGGTGCGTTGTACTCTTCCACACCCACATCGCGATGACTAGGCACGCGCTTAGACGGAGGACGTCCGGTAGCCTGAGCGAGCTTCTGTTCTAGAAGCCAAGCCTTTCGTTTGTACCGTAACAACTCTTCTTGCTGTTGAAGGGCCCGTTCTCGTGCCTCGATATCTGCAATCTTTGAAGTAGAGTCATCATCAATGTGTGCACTAGTTGGTCGTTGTCTTCGATGGTCGTGTTGAGTATTATACTCTCGTGGCGGGGATCGTACGGGTCGGTCCCGACGGGATAGAGATCGTTGGCTCCGCACAGTCTGAAGCAGAAGCCGCTGCTGTATCTGTAAAAGTTCTCGCTCTCTTTCGGCTATTTGAGCCTCCCGGCGCTCGAGGTCGCGTGAACGTGGAAGTAGTCGAGACGGAGATCGGGTTAGAAGCCGGGGCCTGTCTGATTCCGGGGCCAGTGGGCGCTTCCGCGAGGAACGCACGTCTGACTGGGACAACGGCTTCTCAAGTGGTTCTGGAGGTGGAGCCACACCTTTTGGTCGTTTAGTAGCTTTCGTGCCCCTCTCTGTGCTTTCTGGGTCCAAGAAGTCGTAGTTGTTCGACAGGCGCAGGCCGTTTCCCAGGCGCACGTTTGGCTGCAAAACACCGTCGATAAGTGTGCCTCTAAACGTTTCTAGTGCTTCGCTGTTCCGCGCCCTATGTTTCTGTTTGAATGGCATCGCGTCGCTGAAGCGTGCGGAGACTGGTCGACTTCCTGTGGGATCAAGTTGGAGTTGGACGTTTTCGAAAGGCGAATCGGCTACAGAAAGACTTTGTAAGTCTTGTGCGTTGCGGGCAACGAGGCGATATATGTTTTCGCGCACCTCCCTCCCGTTCTTGCTAACAAAGCTGTTAGGACGCATGGGTGGACAGCGAGGTCGGCTCACTTACTTGATTATGATGCAGCGCTTTCGCCGCTGATCATTGTGCCTCATCTCCTGCATCTTGGGTGTCGGCTCGCTCACAAAATGGGCAGCAATTTTCATGCGGGCCTCGAACACATCATGAGGCAACCATCTGGCTGGAAGTATGAAGACGGAGCCATCGTCAAAATAAGCCCATCCTGGCGGGGTCAGAGACCTGCTGGATGCGTATAGGTTGCCCAGATTTACAGTATTACGCGACCTGACTAAGCCACGGGAAGGTGTGATAGCGTATGGTGGCATGCTGTACAGTCTGCCCAGATTGACATAATTACGGTATGCTCGTGGCACAGACATGGCAGGCGGACAAGGTGAGCCAGACGCTATGTACCTTTGGTCTTATAGTGGTTCGCATGCGAAGTGCACACTGGTTGCGGGGATGGCGACTCAGACTCGTGGGACGTTTGGGGTTTGCAGGCGACACAGCCATGGCAAATCCTGATAGCGCGCGGATAGGACCAAGTTAGGCGCGGCTATGGCAAAGTGCATGACAGGCGGCGGCGTGGACCTAGACGATATGATTAGCTTCGCCCTGTACAAAAGCGGACATGGAATGCGGTGGGCGCTTGCCGAATCACTCTACTCACATGCCTTGTGGTCGCTGCAAGAAAGCTTTGGTACCGTTGCCGTGGCTCTGGAGGGAATTGACGATGCAGCACACAGCTGCGCACGAGCCCCGTCCGCGGCAGTACCGACCCGCCACTACCCAAGTACCCTCTGTTGATCGACAGACATCTTAATTGCACCTCACATCATGTGTCGCTCGCTTGCTGAACCTAACCTCATACATTGCCTGGTCGCGGGATTGCTATTGCTACTTAAGTGACGACTGCCCACTGTGCTCCCCATGTCTTCTCCCAGCACCACACATGGCATGCCCACTACTAAGCGCTTGAGGCTGCCTGCCTCGCCACTGTATTGCATCCACTTATCCATGACGCGAACGTACACAACAGAACACAAGCTTTTAAGACAGAGCCTCGCCCCCTCAACACATGCATTTGAGATTTCAGCGTTGATCTTGGTCGCCGTCTGACGCTTCGCTCGCAGATCATGACCGTCGTGGTACACTATCCACAAACCCCCAAAGCCCCTCACGCCTTCAACGCCAAAACACTTTTGCCCAAATGCGCAACCTCCATATTGAGCCGAAGAGAGGCCTGGTGTTTCCATGCACCTTCCAGCAGACGAGTGCGAACATGCAGAAGATTACGGCCGTCTTGCACCCTCGTCTCGCTCGCTGAGTGAGACAGTCACTGTGTCAGGGAACACCAATAGTGCCAGAAGACTCGAGCCTCGCGAGAACATTCCGTGAGTGTGCTTCCGGCAAGCCATAGTCCAAATCGCAGAACAGATACAACTCCAGACCCTTCCGGCAGCGTCCCGCCTAGTGTGGGTTTTGTGCTCAGGACGCGTCCATTTTGTCCACAATGCTGTCTATGGCCATCGAACGGGTAGACGGCGTAGTCGGTGTCGGCGGTGCTTTCCCTTCGGTTTTGATCGAGGCAGTCGGCTGCTGCAACTGCGGTGGCACTGTTCGAGGTGGAGATAGGGACGAGCTTGCTACGTCCGCCTCTCCCGAGTCGTTGTCGTCCCCCAGGGTCTCGTCGACCTCTCGTAGCCAGTTGGCTTTTAGCACATCCATGGGAGGATCCAAGTCACCTGGTTTGCCGCCGCGCCGAGCTTCTGCAGCAGTCATCTTTCTCTCGCCGCGTTTGTGGGGATGGAAATGCATGCGGCGGAGATGACTTGCAGCATTGTAGCATTCGTTGTACCTCTTCCCAGTCTGGCATGCTTTGCAGTTGGCAAGGAACGACTTGTCTGGCGAAGTGTCGATGGTCACCCATACCTTCCGCGTCTTCTTATGCACGCGGTTGGTATGACGTCGTAGCTCATGCTCACTGCGGAAGCCATCGGGATAGTCAGAACAGACGGGACACTTCAGTCGCAAGACTCTGCGCGACGGAGCTTTTGAATTTGCCTCTGATGTTGGCGAGGATTTGGATGTGGTTTCAACGCTAGGAGCTGTCACAACGGTTGCTCTTGGAGCTGGAGGCGGCTCTAATGGCTCGCTAACTTGGGTAGTGGTAACCGTCGGGGTTTTGGCCGCGCCTTCTCTCATTCTGGCTCTGGACCTCGTCGGAGGCATGTATTTGATGGTAAGTGATAATCCAAGCGTCTGAAAAGGCTGGGATACGGCGGCTTTGTCCGGTTCCGTCCCAGGTGAGTCGAGTCAAGACTTGGCAGGATGTACTGGTGGGGCGTGTAGTTCAGCTTCAGCGGCAGCTAGATGCGACGGGCCTAGAGGATAGCACGAGTGCCGCTTGGGGTACTAGGAAGGTGTCGTGTGTTTCCAGGTCGATCTGGGGGAGCGCGGGGGGCCAGGCTACAAGATATCCCGATTTTTGCTGGGTCCAGTCGAGGTGCGCACGAGGCTGGAATGGCGCAGTCAGCCTCGTCTCCCATCATGAGTGGGCGAACCTGGAGCTGCAAGCCACGCTATAAGCGGCAGGCTGGCGAGCTGAGTGCTTATTGGAGCATCTGCCTCAGGCTGAACGACGTCCATGGGAGCCAGGGCGAATCACATGGGGACGCCGCGTATAGAGAGACCGGTTTCCAGGCCACTCGGCCAGATAATAAAAAAGAAACGAAGGATGCCGTCAAACCCTGGCTCGGATCATGCCGCCATGGTGACGAACTGCAAGTCTAAGAGAACAGAGGGCTGCGAGCTTGCTAGCGCGAGCATGGCTGCTGTGGTCGTCGTGCCTTTCCTATTCCGGCCTGCTGGCGGTCGCAAGTCGGTCTGGAGAGCTACACAATCAACGTGACGACTTGGGCTCGCATCACAAACCCCAAACTCGACCCATCTCATCATTGCTTCTTACGGGCATCAGCGGCGGGCAGCCGTCGCAGTTCCCCCTCCCCACCCTCGTGCTCGTGCCTTTTGCCGTCTTCAGCCTTACTGCGACTAAGTTCCGGAACAGTCCGCCTTTCTGTTGGCCCAAGCGGAGCCGAGGTCATGGGCGAATCAGCGCATCGAGACACATTTTTTTGTTTTACGAAGAGTCGCCGATTTGCAACCCAATTGGTCTTTTGTCCAAGCCTCGAGTCCAGCTGCACTGCAAACCGATGGTCTGCTTGGCCTGCATTTGGAAAGCACAACATGGCTGCCATCCTTCATCGACGCCAGCCTCAATTCACCTGGCTCCCGCTGCTTCTCTGGTCCGAGCTGGCCATGTCTCAGGTGAGGCGCAATACGAATGTATGAAGACATTACGGGCACAACTCTCACCCTGACCCTTGACGTCCGCCTCGCCAACCCCAGCCCAAGCTTGGCCCTTCACTTTCGATAGACGGCAAATGGGCGTCGGGCGTAAGATCGGTGGCCATGGGTCCGAAGCTGACATCAAGCTGCCACGAAACCTTATTTACCGTTTGGAAGTTTGGAACCGACGCCGAGGGAAGCCTACCAAGGGTATGGTACTCTTCTTGGCCCCTATGACATTGTGCATCGCGCCATATCCACAATATGTACTGCGTCGTATCAGGGCCACCTGCGGCCCCGTTTCTGCACGAGGCATGCCATTGATGACATTCATCTGACGATGCTACAACACTTCTGCGACGTGACCTGGACATGCTCCGCCCGCTACATGTCAGCCTTCCGTCTGCCGCTGCCCCATATGCTCTGCCCAGGCAAACGACACGAAAGCATGCTTATCGATTCGTAAGCTTTCTAGCCGGCGCTGGCATGGACCCGTGTTCCATGTCTCAAGCATGCCCAACGGCTTGCAAAGTGCGGTATACGTCGGTTCATACGGTTGGTTGCGGACCGGGAGGGGTGGGGTGCAACGGCTTCACCGCAAGACAAGTACTGGTGTTGGTATAGACTCTGGGCCCATACTTGCTCTGCATCCTCTCCGCTTGGCTCGCACTTGATTCCTGATTCCGACTGTCACCATACACGACTAATACAAACGCAGTCCTACACATCTCAGGCGACGGCGCTCATGGGCATCCAGTTCGTTGCCAGAACGCAGTGTGACAGACGGTCAGTTTTTCGGGAGACGAGCTGAAGATGTGACACGCCTCTTTGGATTGAGCCCCTCTCAACATGGCTTGTACTTGGACGTGTAGAAACCGGAGTAGATCGGAGTTCCCGAAAGGGCTAGTAATGGATTTCACATGTCTTGGAAGTAGAAGCCGATGATGCAGTAATGCTTCCCAACAAATACCATTGTAGGACAGGGCTGCGTGTCTGACTTAAAGTACCCTACGAGTGTCCTGGTGCGAAGTGAATAAGGGCCGACTAGACGGCAATGACCCAACAGACAAGAGCCGTCTTACCACAAACAAGCCTCGTGCAGCATTTCGAACGCTGGAGAGTGAGCGGTATATATGCCAACTGGACGTACACGGCAGCACTTGGCGAACAAAACACGCTTGTTGCACATGGGCTTGAGCCACTTTGAGCTACGCTGCAGAGTGCGGATGCGTGGAGTACTGTTTTGCACGGGAGATGCTCAGACTAAAGGATACAGAGTTGTGGGGCAAGGCGGGAACACGTGATGCTTCAACGAATGGGTATTTGACAGCGCAGCATGGCCGCAAGCCTGCAGACGATGCATTGTGCGCATCTCTAGTGCATCTTCGGGGCTTACGTACAGACAGTAATGCCGAAATTCAAAGCGTTGTTGAGGCTTCGAAGCGAGGTCAAAAGGCTTGATAGACCCCTGGCCTGGTTTTCAGGCAAAGATCAACGCAACGCCGGTCCTCCAGCTTGGTAAGTACGTGACTTACCTAGTCTACAGCTCAAGACAGGCTTACCAGATAAAGAGTTTGTTAGTGCATTCCTAGGAACTGGCCTGTCAGTCTTGGAAGCTATCGTCTGTTGAGGGTATGACACGATGAAGGGTTCAATGAATTTGGGGTACCGGACATGTGGTTTGTTTGTTTGTTATTATTATTATTGTTGTTATTATTATTATTGTTGTTGTTGTTGTTATTGTTGTTGTTGCTTGATATGTTAATCTCTTTGGTGAACAAGCAAATTGTTTGCAAATGGTGTTGTAGACACGGACCCACTGTTGGCGGTTCGGGCAGAAACAGGGGTACAAACGGCAATTGGCAGTCATACACTCCGACGCTGCATTCAACGCCTTCGTCACAACATCGAAGTTGGAGTTGATACAAACCACGCCCACATATGAAAGCATATGCTGGCCACCGTACGACGTAGTATGTATACCTGAAGGTAGCGACTGACGAAATCCCGCCCCACGCGCCAGCTCCCCTGCTTCGCGCAGCCTTTTACCTTATCGCCATGCGACCCCCTAGCCTTTCGAGGTGACCAAGCCGCAATCACGAGACATGTCGGCTCCTTCCAGCGATAGCCGACGCTCAGGCGACTCTGATGGCTGGACCGCATCTTCGCACACGTACATCGCAAGGAACTCTGGCGTCTATACAGACAATGGCGAGGGTGGCTCTTCCCCGCGGCGAAGCCAAGACTCAAGGCCCGACACAGGCGCAACCAACGGCGCAACGACTCTAGGATCGGTACACACACTGACTAGGGAATCCGTGCAAGAGGAAGACGTCGCCCGTCGTAAGCAACGCGTTCGCCGATCTGGCGCCTTCCTTCTCGACTCCACCTTTGCCAGCGGGCCGCGACAGCGTCATGCCTACCAAGACGCCCGCACCGAAGACCTAAAGGGTAAGCGCAGCTCGCGGAAGGAAGGACGGCAGGAGCGGGTCCCCAGAACGCGGCAGTCGCCTCCCAGCTCACCTGGCGCATCTGGCATGGACTTGGTCAACTCCCAGGAAATGGACAGCAACCGCATTCATGTAGCCAGGGCCAGGCAGAGCGCATACGAAATGCACTCTCCGCCCATTGATCCAAACCAGCTAGTACACATGGCGCTGAACTTGAGTGAGAGTCGGAGGAGACATGTCAATGCAGGCCAGCTCATGGCCTCGCAACCACGTGCTGCGTCTGGCACGCAGCGAGAAGCCAGCTTCTCAAACTACGGCGCAGGAGGCAGTCTAAGACAGTACCTGAATGAACAACGGCGAGCCTCTCGTAACATATCTCCAATGGGCAAGAGCTCTCCCACCCGCCACATGTCTACCTCGATACAGAGAAGCGGATCCATCCCTTTTCTGTCTTCTCAGACCATCAACCCTTCAGCTGCTACGCTCGCACGAGTGGATAAAGCTCGTGCATATATCGAGCTTCAAATCGAATATCTGCGATTGCTCGAATATCTACCACCTCTGAAACCAGACGCTAACGCCCCAGGCAACTTTGTTGTGTCCTCTAATAACGTCCCAGGCAGCCCACAAGCCCAGCTCACCCGTGTGCCATCGTACGCTGGCAAACAACACCAACTGGGCCGTCCTTACAACCCCCTACAATATATCCGGAACCGACGGAGCAGGGCTCGCGAACGCCTGGCACTCGATCACCCGCCGGAAGAATTCGAGCATGTTGAGCATGTACACGAATGGGTGGATCGAGTTGAGCAGTATGCCAAACATGCTACCTACCGTCGAGATGATGCCGTACAGCTACCCAAGCTTCACCCCGACCATGACATAGTCCCTGCACCACCCAACAAACCTGCGAGACCTCACAAGGGCTGGCTCTTCACCCCACAAGAACTGCTAGCAGATGCGCACTGGCTGGAGCAAGGTGACAACAAGATGCTAGTCGAGAATCGCCATGGCCGAAAGATCTTCCCGCCGAGAGAAGTGCAGCAGAAAGACCTACTTCATCCACGTGCAAGCATCGAGACTTCAGACAAGCGAAGAAAGAGCTGGATTGACGGCTTGCCCAGCATCGCATTGGATCCCACCACAGGAGATGAGAGTGACAAAGGCAGCGAACGCGGACGCAAGCGAAGACTACTACCAGCGCTGCGTACTGATAGCCCCAGGGGTGGCAAACATTCTAGACGAGGCTCCCGACTGCGGACACATGACGATTCTGATAGTTCCGATTCAGAGCCTGATACGAGGAAACGCAAGATCCGTGTTATAACTGACCCCGAGCACAACACCGGCCCACTCGCTCTGCTCCTCGAACAACAAGCCAAACAATACCAAGACAAATCTCCCGCCTTCATCTCACCCGATACACCAAACAAGTGGGGCCGCGACGAAGACATCACATCCGACGGCAAACCTTCTCGAGATTCACTAGAAGTCCCACGTCCCACGAATGGTTTCGCGTATATCAAAGACCATGCCAACTTCAAGAAACCGCCGAAGCCGCGGCCAAAGTCTAGTCTAACTATTGACAACATTGAGCCCCGATCGTCCCTCGACAATCAGGACAGTACAGCTCCAAGTACCCCACATGCCAAACAGTTTGGACATGTTGGTAGTGATCTTTCGTCACCTGCAAGTCGGTCAGGTTCGCAGACAAGAAAGTCGAAGCGAAGCAAATTCAACAACATCTTTCATTCGCACGAACATAGCGAAGAGCACAAGCATGAGCTGCGCCCAGATACGGCCGAAACAGACAAGAAAGGCAGGTCACGGCAAACCAGTGAAGAGACATCTGACGAGAAACACATCGGGACAGCAATACTAGCAGCTCCTGGTGCAGTAATGAACCTACTCGGTCACCGTAAGAACGATAGTGTCAGCAGCTTGCCTAGCCCTGAGAAGTTGCGTCGAAGAGAGACCCAAGAGCCACATTCAGCTGTTACGCGATTCTTCAAGGGTGTCAAGAACGAGGGTACGAAAGTCGGTGACATCATCTTCAGACGAGATCGGGCAGACGACTCCGACTCTGACACCATGTCGGATCGCAATTCCGTGGAATTTGACGATGATGTTGCTACGAAAGCGAAAAGTGTCAAACGACCAACGATTAATCGCATCTCTACTACAGATACAGAAGGTAGCGTAACCTCTCTGCATAAAGACCGCAATCATCTTGATCTGCCTTCGTTCCGTCCTATTCATTCAATTGATGACGAGAATTCGGACCAAGAGCACCACATTTCGCGCCAGACCCGAGAGCGAAAGGACAGTCGATCGCCTCGTCTCGACCGGCTCCTGCCGCCACGCATGGATCTTGGTACCATTTCAGGCAACTCGTCTCAGGCATCACTTAGTTCCATTCACAGCAACAGTCAAGATCGAATGAACCAAGTTCTCGCTCGGCCTGGTGTTACCGGCGAGAGCCTCCCACCTACTGGACTTCGGAACGCACAGGCAGCGAGCAGGCAGCGCAGTGGCTCTCGACCAGGACCCACCGGAAGGCATTGGAGTATTACCGATAATGGTGACCATGATGGTGACCGCAAAAACAACGCGAATATGGTTACACAATCAGATATTGCCCGTGTTCGCGCACTATTCCTCTGCTCTGGCGTCAAGGCAAAAGAAATCGTCCGTCGTGCACAAGCCCAGCGAAACCCGCCCGAATTCCTTTTACGCGCTGCTGCTACATCGAAGATACAGCTCTATCCCGTTTCCACCAAGGAAGAGCATGTGCTGGCTGCACGTATATTGGTCAAAGATCTTGAGTCATCTACAAGAGCTTTGCAGTCGACTCTTGAATCCTTCCGCGACAAAGCCATTCAACAACTCACAAACCAAATCTCAAGTCTGCAATCCACAGTCGATTCCGACCTGATGCCGCGTATCTTGGAGGGCGGGGACGAGGCTGTGCGTATCACAAGTGAAGTTTCCGGCAGAGGGCCCCTACAAGTCAAGCAGATCACCGATGATATTGATCGCATGATCCGGGCACGGAGACGCAGAATGAGGTGGGTACGGAGCTTCGGCTGGATGTTGGTTGAATGGGGCCTTGTTGCTGTTATGTGGTGTGTATGGCTCATAGTGGTGCTTGTTGGCTCGGTGAAGAGGGTGTTTGGGATGGGGTTGGGAGTCATCCGATGGCTGCTGTGGCTCTAGTTTCGCCCTGCAGTATATTATATTGGCCCGTGTTATGGTTTTGCGGCATGTCCGCATATGGCGTTTAGGTAGTCGGTGTTTGGACGGGTTGGATACCGCGATACCAGGATGCACAAAGTGTTGTATGATCACAAACTGCAAGTTTCTTATGTACATGTTAGTATAGCTCTGTAATGAACATCTTGAATACTTCTAACACAATCCAAGTACTTGGTGTGAACAGATTGTGAATCACTAGATGCAGAAACCTTAAAGTTTTTGTTGGTTCGATGTTTGGTGCTCAAAGTTAACTGCACGTGCCTTGACCGCGCCGCCAGCGCCACGCGTCTACGTCATCTGTTCGTCGCGACCGGCTTCACCCTTCTGCACTCAACAACACTAGGCAACACACGTGCAGGACTGTGCAAAGGCTCTCTAGCGCACCAAATCATCTCCCGCTCGTCAAACTCGATCCCCCACACAACATCCAGAATGAGGCATTGTTGATCTTCTTGAATTCAACTGTAGCCAGTCGAAATGGATCTCCAGACGGCGTTCGTGGCCAGCGGCCATGACAGCATCGGCGCTCTGTCGGTACGTACCTGCATTACACCCAGCCTTACCCAATGTATATTCACTAACATATTTCGGCATCAAGTCTCCCGGACCGTCGTCTTTCGCCGCTCTCGCTGCGGCTTTCATTCCGACGGCCGTGATTGCGACTTTGTACATTCTCGCATTCGTCCTCATCAGACCAAAGTTCCCTAACATCTATTCTCCGAGAACGTACATTGGCACAGTCGAGGAAAAGAATCGCACGCCATGTCCGAAATCACCAGGTTACTTTGGCTGGGTCCACACGATAAGGACCGTCCCTGATAAATTCATGCTTTATCATCACTCGCTCGACTCATACTTGTTTCTTCGCTTTCTCAGGACCTTGATCTTCATCTGCATCGTGGGTGCCGTGATAACCTGGCCGATCCTCATGCCAGTCAACTGGACAGGTGGCGGCAGGTCCAGGGAGCTAAATCGCATTGCAATCGGCAATGTGAAGAAGAAGAACCATCTTTATGCTCATGCTGTTGTTTCTTGGGTTTTCTTCAGCTTCGTCATGTTCACAGTCGCGCGTGAACGGCTTTGGCTCATTGGACTGCGACAGGCGTGGAAGCTATCCAAGACAAACGCGAAGAGATTGTCCTCGCGCACTGTTCTCTATCTCTCGGCACCTATCGCAGCTCTTGACGAGAGCAACATGCATAGATTCTTCGGCGACGACGCAGTCAGGATATGGCCAGTCACCAAGGGCGATAAGCTGGTATCCCTCGTCTCAGAAAGGGACTCGAAAGTTGAAAAGCTGGAGAGTGCCGAAATGACATTGATCCTAAATGTTCATAAAGAAGTGGGGAAGAGCCACAACCGGAACATCAAATACGAGCAGCTACCGAAGCAAATGAAGAAGTCATTACGTCCGACCCACAAGTCGAAGACGCCAGTTGTTGGAAAGGAAGTCGACAGCATCAATTACTACCGCGACCAAATCAAAGAGAAGGAGGGTGAAATTGAAAAAGCCCGCGAATCAAACGAGACAGTCGAAAGCCGTAATGGCGCAGCAGCGGTATTTGTGGAATACCGCACGCAGCCTGCGGCTCAGCGAGCTTACCAACAAGTCGCGTCCTCAGATGTGCTGGCTCTTGCACCCCGCTTCTTAGGGCACACACCGAGCGATATCGTCTGGAAGAATCTGAATCTGCCACCAGCACGCCGTATATCGCAAAGTGGTGTCGCGATCTCCCTCGTGGTCGCTACCATCATATTCTGGTCAATTCCCGTCTCTGTAGTTGGTGCCGTCTCAAACGTTCAGTATCTTGCCGAGAACTTCGAGTGGCTTTCGTTCCTCAATAAGCTTCCGCCTACGTTGATGAACTTGCTGAGTGGTCTGCTACCTCCGCTTCTGCTGAGTGCATTAGCTAGTTATGTGCCGAACATCTTCAGATGTAAGTATACTTCATTAGTACACTCCGAATTGAACATGGCTTATCAGCGCAGATATATTCACGAAATTTGGAGACCCTACAAAGACCGTCATCGAGTTGAAGGTACTGAGGTGGTACTACGTCTTCCAAGTGCTGCAGGTCTTTCTCGTCACTACGCTATCATCCGGAGCTGCGGCTGTGGCGTCTCAAATCGCCCAAGACCCAAGCTCAGTACCTCAACTTCTTGCGGAGCGTCTGCCACGAGCATCAAACACCTATCTCACCTACTTTGTTGTCCAGGCATTAACCAATGCTCCGAGCAATATTCTGAATTACACCGATGTTCTGTTCTATGTCTTTTATGACATATTCTGGGACAAGACACCTCGCCAAAAGTACAAGACATACACCTCAATGAGAGGTATGTCCTGGGGCAAATTGTTTCCAAAGTACGGCAACTTTGCTATTATCGGTAAGTCATGTTGGTACCTTCAAGAGGTAACAGTACTAAATTCTCCCAGCGATCGCCTACGCATGCATTGCACCACTTGTTCTTGGCTTTGCTGCCATCGGTCTTGTGATCTTCTACTGGAGCTATCGATACCAACTACTATACACCTCGCAACCTAAGATTGACACCAAAGGCCACGCCTATACGCTTGCTCTTCAGCAGATTCTCACTGGCATCTACATTGCCGAGCTCTGCCTCATCGGTTTATTTAGCCTACGCAACGCCACCGGACCCTTAATTATGCTTGTTATCCTCTTCCTTGCCACAGCTATCTTTAACTACACTATGAATCGCTACCTCGCTCCGCTTGAAGAGTACATGCCTGCAGATCTTGCACCCAAGTCGGAAGACGACGAACAAGCACCTTTCCTCTTGTCAGCCGAAGAAGGCGAGTCTGACGCTCTGCGTCATGCAGAGGAGAGGATCGACCGCGTCAGCGAGCGGACACACGTCCCAGCAAAGGTCATCTCGCCCTTAGCTCGCTTCTTGCAGCCACACGTGTTTGCTAGCCATGCGGCGATGAAGCAATGGCTACGCGACGGCGACTTTGACGAAGACGATGAGCCGCAGTACAAGGAAGAGGACTTGAAGAAGGCATATTTGAACCCAGCGTTTGCGAGCAAGACGCCTATTGTGTGGTTGGCTAGGGACAGTATTGGTGTGAGTAAAGATGAGATTAGCGAGAATGAAAAGGTAGACTTGAAGACTACGGACCAGGGGGCGTGGATCACGGGGGATGGCAAGCTAAAGTGGAGTGTTGATAACTTTGAGGAAGTGCCTGTGTTTAAGCAGGATGCTAAATGGTAGAAAAATATTTGTACTTGGGGCATTTCATTGGGATTGGATTGGTATTGAAATTGAAAGACTGAGCGGGCGATAACTTTTTTAAGCACCAATTTTCCCTTTCGAGTGATGGGACTACTGATTGTGCGAGTATAATCGTGTCGCCTCTCTTCTATTCCACGCAGGAAAGAAACCTGCTCTTCTACTCCACCCATCCTTTCTTGCACTCCTCTGATTCCCTCTTCTGCTCATCGAATCTTCTCCCAATATCCCTCAATCTGCTCTCCCGCTCCTCGAATAGCTGCTCTCCCATTTTCAGGAGCAACAATTCATCGAAATCGCACAGCTTATCTCCGCCAGCCAGTACAGCCATTTTCCTGTACCCCAGTAGCTTGACCTCACTTTCCTTGTACACCTTCATCCTGACACCATATGCAACAGTCTTAAGAAAGAAGGGCAGACAATCCCATTCTTGACCCGTGATGTCGTACTTAACACGGCCGTCCCTTCGATTGATAGATATCGTCGGTTCTTCGTTGAGCCTGCCGTCCGTGGTGTCCAAGGTAAGTGAGTGTGTCCTGGTGTATTCGGCCCACCTCTCCTCTGGCGTCTCCTCTTTCTCAGGGGTTCCATGTTCCGACGATGTATCCTCGTCTGAATGCCTAAACGGCTCTTAGTCCTTCACCTCCAGCTTGTTGAATAGGTTCATTTTTTTGCCGTACATTGGACTCTTCTTCTCGAAATGCAAGAGGGTGACTAGATCGGCGGGCTTGAGGCCGTAGTGCTTAACACTGTCTGTTTGGGTAATGCCTTCGTCTTTTGCGGGCTCGCTGGGCAAGAGCATGCCTTCATGGTCATTTTCTTCAACCCAGGCTTCCCAGTTCTTCTTGGCTGCTGCTTTGGCCTCTTTTCTTTCGGCCTTGTGGCGGGCTTCGATGATTGCAGGGTCTTCTTTCTGGCGCTTAGTTAGGGGCAGAGGGCTTGAGGGTTCGCCAGATGCAGCGCGCTTCTTCTTGATTAGTATAGGTTTGTCCAAGTTTTCATTCTTACGTTTGGGGCGGCTTGATGGCATGGTGGGCTGGATGTATGCTTGTCGTAGCTGTGGTTATGTAATGTTGTGGATAGGCCTGCTTGATGACGAGAGAGAGAAAGAGACCAGATACAGATGTTGATGTTGCAAGGCAGATTTAAAAGTACAGGAAAGTTTCTTTCGTTTATAGGGCGTCCAAGGTTCCTTGTGCCTTGCGATCAAAGACAAAGCAGGTTTCATGTTGCTGCCCTCTCGGTACCGGAGTCGACTGCAAACGGATCAAAGAACACATGCGCCTGGGTAACTTGGAATAGTTGACACCTTGGTATGCAAAAGCTACTGTAGGCGCCAGAAACGCCTATTAGGAATGAAATAGTGTCGCTTTCAAGTATTCCATGTCACCCAGGTGCATGGGCTTACGTGGAAGGACCTTGTATGGGATTGGCCTGCTACGTCATTTTATCGACAACACGCCCAAAGCATCTCTTTACGTTGGGAGGCATATTCCGGGGGCTGAGATGGGAAGGTACAAGACTGTGGCAGTTCTGTAGTCTTATCGTAAATCAGACGTGCAGGTGCCGCATGCGGCAAGGGGATGCTGCTGACATGGTAAAGGGCGGCACTCGTAGTGACAAACTCTCCACAAAGGCCATGAAGACCATGAGGGCGCATCCAGGCTCTTTATGACCAAGGTTCACGAAAAGTAATGTTTGACGACACTCGGTGTTGCTCTACTCAGCAGTTAGCATGTCCGACGGCTAGTCTAGCACAGACCCCTGCTAAGTTAAGTTAGAAACGCGGGTCGCGGGCTCCACCAAAATTTCCAGAGCTTCGAACTTTCAGTCTCGCGACAAGACGACAACTCTGACAAACACGCCCGGCTATGCTCACCGAACAATTCGTGGCCGCCATTTCGGCGTCAACCAAGCCAAACACCGGCGTCACCAAAGATGCCGGCATTTTCATCCACGAGTTCCAGCCATTGGTTGCGCAGAGACAAGTGTTTAAGAAGAGCGCAACTGCGCCAAATGGCGTCGCTGTGAGCAGCTCGCATATTTTCGCCGCTCAGTCGGAAAAGGCGATTGTTCATGTGTATAGCAGAGAAAAGGGCAACCAGGAGGCTTTGGTACCGTTTCCAGAGCGGATACATAGCATCGCCCTCGCGGCGCAGGACAGCGTGCTGCTGCTGGGAACCGAGAGTGGACGAATATTGGCGTGGGAGGTCAGTTATAGCCCAAATGCGGTAGCCGCAGCGAGGAAACATGCTGATGTATATATTTTAGATCTGCTCCGGTCGCCTCGTCTCTACATCTACATCCCACCTGCAGCCAGTAACATGTATTGTCGTCGACCCCTCGTCCAACTTCTTCCTATCTGGCTCCTCGGATGCCATGATACACGTATGGGCGCTGCCATCGATACTTTCCTTCTCGCCTGACGCCTCACGCTCGCCTTTACATACACTTTCAACCCACCGTGGCCCTATATCGTCCATCGCCTGCGGGCATAGTTGGAGCAGTGCCAACATTGCCGTTTCGATTTCGGGGGACAAGTCGGCCATAGTTTGGGACTACCATAACGGCCAAGCGCTGAGGACATATCTGCTGCAAGAGGCACCCACTGCAGTCACTCTTGATCCGGCAGACCGGGCCTTCTACGTTGCTTATGCCGACGGCAGCCTACAGACCATCGACTTCTACGATGAGGTGCAGAAGCACACGTTGCTCGACCTTCTCCGTGATAGTGCATCGTCTCACCGCCCTATTCAACCGTCACCAAAGACCCGGTTCAGTGCCGACTCGCAGAAGCTGGGTGGTGCGCTCAGTCTGAGTTTGAGCTGGGATGGTACAACATTGTTATCTGGCCATGCAAGCGGTAAGATTGCGACTTGGGACATTGCAAAGGCCAATTATCTCTCTACACCTGCCAATCTGCCAGGCCCTGTTTCAAACCTTCGCTTTCTACCACCTGTAGGCTTCCCCAATACACGGGAGCCAACCTTTAAGATCCAGACTATTGTCAAACCGAAACAGGATGCTGGAATGACAAGCAGCGGGAATGGCCTGATCCCACCAAACTATACCTTGAACATGCAGCTGACAGGCCGGCTGCACATTCCTCACTTGTCTGCCACTGAGAACAAGTCTACGAGGAAGAGTGCATTCAAAGAGGCTCTCACCCACCCCTGCTTTCCTACCGACATGCTGGAAGAGAGCTTAGCCGAATTGGACTCATGGAACGCCCAGAACAAAGGCGGCTCTGCTCCAGCGGCCGACTTCATGGCACTCGATGAAGATAGTACTAGTGGGTCCATATCAGCAGGTGATGCTCAGCAAGCAGAAGTCAAAGAGTTGAAGAAGCAGCTAGCCAGTCTGCAACGCATTCAAAAGGTCACTTTCTCGCAATTAGCAGAATTGCGCCAGGAAAAGGACTACTTTGTTCGCCAAGCAAAGAAGAGGGCTGACCGTGCCAAAGTTCGTGCGAAAAATAATATGGGCCTAGCCCACAATGGCGCAAACGATAGTCATGCAGGCGGCGACGTGGAGATGAACGACTGCACTGACGCCACCTCCGAGTCAGAATCAGACGATATTGATGCGGCTGACGAGTCTTGAACCGCCGGCAACGTTGGAACCGTAGGCACTATGTTGCCGATCTCGAGTCCAGGCAGCCGGGCGGACCCTGCGACGCAGAAGAAGTAATTGATGTCGCGCATGCTTCCCGCCGTACCCGGGCGTGTCGGCTCCGAGACGCTTCGTACACAGTCTGGATCTGTGATACCTCTCCGCGTAAAACTGCTTCATTTATTGCCTAGTCCGTACATCACGACAGGCCTGCGTATCCGAAACTTGATCAATAATACATACGAATCCACCGTTACAAACCTGCCCGCCCACGTTTCCCAGCCGGCGAGCCCCGACAATAGCCCATTCCACCATATCCCGGGCATTCTCGTATCCAACGGACTTGGGACTCTATCGCGAGAACTCTCAAGACGCTGCAGCAAGACTCTTGACCACAAAATGAAGCCCTTTGCAAGCCTGCCATGTCACAGAGCGGGGTAGCTCGTGCAGCCTTTCTCCCTCGCAATTGTACGACTATTGACGAGCTTGCTTGTACCCGCGGAACCAGCAGTACGCCGTGTCTTTCATGTTGCGCTCGGATCAGCGTCAGCTGCACTGCGGGATGAAAAACCAAGTGTGCAGAAGCGGGGGCCGGTTTCGATCACGCAGCTCTTTCCACCCGTCCTGCCGTGTTACTTCGCGGCTTGCGCGGTGGACTCACGGTTCGTGCTGTGGTGCTCCGCACAGAAGGGCGCTTGACAAGAGAAGGGGGAGGAGTAGTGGGCAACATGGTCTAAGGATGCGGGTGCTGCGACAACGACAACTGACAAAGAGCATAGTAAGCTGCGTATGTGAGCTTCTCGGATCGAGGGAAAGGGAGCTTCCATGCTGAGGCGAAACATGTGGACTGAGGGATCAACACAAGATGTCTTGAGCGGTGTGAGTTCACTCGCATATGGTACGACTCGTCCGGCCCCCCGTGGCTATAACGGCCCGTCAAGTATAGTCCTCACAGCAGGGCGTCATGTTCCCCGGGCTGCGCGCTCCTGACTCGCTCAGACGGCAGAGGAGAGGGGGGAAGAAAAGAAAAGACACTAAAATCGTATTCAACGTTACCCGATCCTGCGAACAGCCGTTCGAAAGATGTTGCGCCAATGCAACCGTATGCTCCATGACAAGTTTCCTCACTTAATCGCTGTTTCTCTTCTTATTTTTTTCCCGGGCGTGCACAGAAAATACGGTGAACGAATGGCGTTGTTGCGGAGAGCAGGCTTTTTTTTTCTCGTCGTCTCTGCATGCTCAGGATGACGCCGGTATGTAGCCGCAGCAGGACAACAATGTCTCGTAGACGGGGGGGAATGAAAACAAGAATCCAAGCAATTTTGCCATCAAAGTAGGTTACGTACTGAACCTTGGTCATCGTGTCGAATCTACATACCCACACTATCTCTCCATGTACCTTGGTCCCTCTCAGCCCCCAGCCGAGACAGCCTCCAAGCCTCCACAAACGAGCAAATAGCAAAGAAAATGTGGGGATGAGTGTTTTATTTTTCCTTCCTTCACCGTTCTGACAGCCTCATAATCCGATCCGGCGGCCCCCTCCCATCCATCCCCCATCCCCATGTCCTTCCCTGCCATGCAGGTGACCGACATGAACGTACGGCACGCAACGCACCCAACATGCAACACGCAACATGTATTATGCGAGAGCGGCAAAAAGCAAAGCGGAGCCTAACCACCATCACGGAATATTTACTGCTTCGCGATCTAGATTCATGTAATCTACTATCCATGTGTGTGTGCATGCAATCCACTACTTCCCGCTTGCCTTTGATCCCGTTGCAAGATTCAAACGTCGTGTGCGCCATCGCTTGCACGTCGCCGCACGCCGATTACTAATGTGGTCAGACACCCTGGTCGGCCCGTCTATACTTACACTTTTTACAACATGCTGGCTGGGGATCCGTGCCCGTACTTTAATGCTGATGATGAGATAATTCTTCACGTATGCGTTGCATCAGGCTAGTGATTTGGGGGATACCTAGTTTTGTATTGTTTGTTTGTTTTTGTCTGTCTTTCTTATCTACCGCGTGATTGAATCCCACGAGCCTGTCCTCCTGTAACAGAGGAAGGGCCTTGTTTTCGGCTATCACCCTGTGAAGGATCCGGAACTTCCCGTCCTGCAGGGGATCGACAATTCGCACACCCTTGTTTGCTAAGTGTCGTGTCGTGCACAGATGTTGTCGGGAATAGATACGGATGGGTCCGTTGGCCCAAGTTTGAGCTGATGTTTGATGCCGAGGAGCAAGCGGCATGAGCCATAGAGAGACAGCGCATACCGAATAGTGATTTTCATTAGATGGAGGAAAGGTGTAAGGTTAAGATATGCCGGGATGGTGTGTGATCGCCGATAATCGTATGGAAAGTAGAAGAACAAAAACCACCATAAAGATGTTCAACTCTAAGGTCGATCACCCTGAGGCAGATAGTCTTGGTATTCGTCACGGTCGTGTATCCTTGCGGAGTTGACTTGTAGGGAAGAAGAGATGGTACAGTACTCCACCCTCGCTGGAAGGGAGATGTGTCGTAGATGATGCTGAGGTAAAACCAAATGCGTACCGCCGAATGAACCCGAATGCAGGCACTTGTCGTACCATTGCTTTTCCATATATAAGGAACTGAGTTGTATCGGCCGTGAATCATGGTCAGTATGGTGAGGCCGTGGAGACGACGATGCAAGTTGCGAGGAAAGCAGAGCAAGCTCGAGAAACGCCACGCTAGTACTCGCTAAGATGTTTAAAAGAAGCCACCAGATGAAGGTAGATAGACCGAAAGTTTTGAAGGAAAGGTGTCAGGAAGAGTGCGACTTGTGCCGACCTTTATTTCCCGTAGCGTACTCGCCGTCCGGATTCCATTGCTCAGGCGAGAAATCCGGATTCATAAAGTGTGCGGTATTGAAATGTGAACTTGCTCATGTTAGTTGAGGAAGAGTTGCGGATTTTGAGCGTGCTTACTTGCGGAATATAGCCGTCTGGAACTGTTGGACCTGCATTGACGATCCGAAGCCTGGCTCCAGCTCGTACATTGAAGGCCGGAAAGGACCACCCCTCTCAACACCTACGGGAGCTGCCCTTTCGATGCTCACGGGTGGTGGGGGGTGTATAGGAAGTGACACAGGAGGTTGTTCGAGGTGGATGCTGTGATGACTTGGCGGGTTGTACTGGCTCGTGCTGACAGAGTGGATAGATGTAACAAAGTCCATATGAGAGGCGCTAACTGGTGTTACAGGCGTTGGCGCTGGGGCATATGGCTGGACAGGAGTAACCTGGGGGAGGGAAGCGGGGGTTGGGCTAAAGTCGTACGAAAGCGAAAGCGAAGGCCACCGCTGACCCAGACCGACACCAGAGGGATACATTCCTGGGATCATGTTCATGACATCACCAACATTGGTTGCAGTCGGTAGGAAGTCGTCGGTGTAGTTGGCTAGAGCAACGTGCAGCGGCTGCTGTGGCGGGACGGGCTGGTGTTGAACCTGGGGGACATCTTCCGCCTTGTAAAGGATATCGTAGTGGCCGCTAGCTCTGGTTAGCATGGGGGACGAAACAGTAGAGTATATGATAAACTTACGGTCTGTAGAGCAGTCTTAGCATAGGGGCGCCGACAATGGGTCGATGATGTGCATCGGTTGGCTCCAGATAGAAGCTGCGATTGATCTCTTCCCCTGGTGAGCGGTCCAGATACCATACCTCAAGACCGAAGCCAGCAGGCTTGACAAGCGCTTCGGCAAGGGCAGCGACGCCGATGTTGTCGGCTTCGCATTGTGTAGGTTCAATGAAGTTAGCACAGTAGCCCTTGACGTCGCCACTGTCGATGAAATGCCTGAAGTTGTCTGCGTGAGTCTGTATCCAGGCACTTGCGAGGAGCTAGATTTGCTATTAGCTCTTGAATGCCACAGAGAAGATGGGGGTTGCCCACCTTGACGTAAGTGATGATTGCCATGGACTCGCCCATGCTGTTGAAGGTGTTGAGGAGGATGTCGGCAGTTTGGCCATCCATGTTGCGTAGCGAGTTGGCAAGCTTGTGCAAGAGCTCAAAGGCCTCCTCGGCAAAATCAATCCAGATGTCGCGCGAGTAGCCAATGTGCTCGAGCAGGTTGCCCAGCGAGTTGAGGCGGGCTTCTTCCTCGGCAAACTTGTTCACGTCGGCCAGACGCACTAGGGCCTCAAAGTAGGTGAAGGCGATTGCTGTTCATTTTAGCACCGGCAAACAAACTACGACAGGTTCAAAACTCACCCCGCCATCCACAATGACCGTCGCCGCGACAGGTGCGGAAGTAGGCGTATTTGGCAGGCAGTGCAGCCGTCTTGACTTGGAAGACGGGATCTGCGGTGGCATATTGTGTCGTGATGGCAGCGCTGCTTTGGCGTTGGCCAACCAGTGGGCCCTGGGGCAGTCAGCGCGGTCCCCGTCAAAAGGTCAAGCTCATGTGGCAAGCTCATTAAACTCACCGTTACCTCTGGCTCGAAGTCGCTCGAGAGCTTCTGCAGCTGAGCCAACTCGTCGTCGGATGGGTATGCGGCCATGTTGAGGTGGGGATTGCGGTGCTGGTGGCCTGGGTGATGGCCGTGGCCAGTGTGATGATTAAAGCTCCCGGGAGGAAGGACCGGGGCGCGGATAGCGAACGCCAACCCGCTTTGGTAGTGGCTCTGAGCCGGAACTCGATAGTGGCCCTGGTGTAGATGCGAGTGCGGGTACTGGTGCCCGTGAAAGCCCGCCATAACCGACTGCCTGCTCATCTCGTCCAAGAAGGCCAGTGTGTGTGTGTGTGTGTGTATGTGTGTGTGCGGGTGAGTGAATGTATGCGTATGCGTGTGCGCGGGGGCAGTTGCGACGTTCTCGATGTGCACTCAATTGCCTCCCTTGGTGGCCTTTGTGGGCGTGACTGGCGGCAATGGCTAGCAATTGGATGAAAAGATTCCACAACAGATTCGGCAACGCGCAATCGATCTCAGCAACAATTCGTCGACGAGCAGCTGGGGAGGGCAGCAGTGTCTTTAGTAGGCGCAGAGACCCGCCGTCGTGGGCTGGAAGCTGTGTCGTTGCTGTGATACCCACAGGCGTCCAGGGGCACAGCGCCAATATATGGCAGAGACAAGGAGGAGATGTTGGACGTGCCAGTGGATTTCCAGATGCCAGGTACCAAGGCAAGTTGCAACACTTTCGTCCAGGCGCGTTGGAACGGCCGGTCTCTGTAGCACCGGGCACCTGGGAGGGAGAGAGGGCGGAACGTGACGGCGTACAAGAGGGAGGCACTCGACACAATCAGCGCCAGGAAGAGGCATTCAGCAAAAGCAACTACTATCGAGGCCAAAGACGAGGGCGCATCACTCGAGGCAAATGGCCCAGTCGATGCGCAACCACGGCTGGGGTGGAGCGTATCGATTCTGGAGCCGACTAGGCTTGAAGAGCTCACATGAGGAAATTGAAGTGCACTCTGACTCTGTTTCCCTTGTGGACATAGATTACATCAAACATGGAGTCGCCGAGCATAGAACCGCGGGACACTGACTATCACGAGACGGCTACCATGACAGAATGGGGGAACCCCCCTCCCCCTGGAGGCTCCGGCAGGCGTAGCACTCGAGCAGCCCCGCCAACCGGAATAATGACGGAGTCTTTAGGCTTTGTGGTGCATGCATGCAATCGACGAGGAACGCCGTGTGACGCGGTGGAATGCACTCGCAGCATGCCTTGGACTAGGTTAGTAGATGGCGTCGAAAGAAAAAGAGCGTCGCCTCTCGCGTCTGAACAGGCTTGTCACAGAGGCAGGCTGCATTGCATGATTCGCTCAGCGTGGGCGTGGCGCTGATGCAACAGAAAAAAACAACTTCAACGCACCCGAGATGAGCTCGCAGCTCCAAGGAACTTGAACACACCAAGCACGAGTCAGGACTGGCCCGCTGCGCGAAGGGGGCCGTCATTAGCTGAGCGGCTTCGCTTGCGACAACCTTCATCGTCCGTGCCCGCTTCCCCGGAGTCTAGTAGTATCGGTGTCGGTAGCATATTGTAGATGCAGCTCTAACACGAACACCCACCTTCGCATTCGCAAAACACTGAGACCGGCATCGATGACCTTGCAGGTGCAGCCAACCCAAAAGCCTTCAGTCGCTGCGTCACCATCCACCACTCATGGCCAGCATCATGTCAAGGCGCACGGGGGCCTGCAGGCTTCCGCGATGACCGCGCAATCGGGACCTTGGCGGGTTGCAGCAAGAAAACGAGGCCATGTTACATAGATACGACTTAGACCGCTACTGCCCTGTGGCTAATTGCACTCTGTTGCGTGACCGAACATGTCCACCGCCCCATCTACTATGTTGAGACGCCTACTGTCCATGTGCAAGGCAACTCTTGCCCGGTGCTACCCGACTGTCCAACCCTCGCCAGTCGTTTCGAGCAACCTGACCGCATGTCTCAATTCTTCAGGTAAAAGACGCCTCGGTGACGGTAATGTGCAACTTCCAGTGTCCCCGTGGCCTGCCCGGCAACCCAGTTACAGGTCGTCTTGTGGACCGCGCGTAGATGCTGCAAGTCATCCTTTCCCTACCAGTCCCGACATCCGCCCCGCGCCCTTAACTTTTCCTCGTCCAGACTTGCCGCCCATGGAGCCTTGGCTCCAAACCATGCCTGGGCCCCCTGTATTACCACCATGCGAGCCACTCTCGTCTGATTTGAACCCATCCCCCTCGTTCAACACCGTCTGCCAGAGACATCCAATCGCACTACTCCATTCCTTCATCGCCTGCACCCGATCCATGTCTGTACTACTCTCTATCTCCACCGTTCCATTCTGCTGGTTGATCTTGCCGCGTAGCCGCTTGTCGACGATCAGAAACCCTACGATCTCTTGGACCTCGGAAAGGGAGATCTTAAGCTGTTTCGAGATGAATGCCAGTGTGAACCGGGTGTAGGGTGCAACCAGCTTAACGACCGCCTTGGTGCGCACGTTCCGCGTGACTTCGTCAATGTTCTCGGCAATAAACGGGTCTTCCAGCAGATCCTTGTTGTTCTGCAGAATCTTCTCGTACCCGTGAATGTCTTCGAGCTGGTAGGCGTTGACAAGATCCGTCATGGTAGAGATACGCGGGTCACTCTGGTAGGGTTTGGTCTCTTGCGAGTCAAACGGATTGATATCCGACCCTGACAACATCGTTGCAAGCACCAGATACTTCAGAACCTGGATCCTCTGGAGCGATCCAGCCTCATCGTAGTTCTTGAAACTCTCGAAAAAGTCGCTTTGCGCCCCCTTCCAGTTCTCTGGGACGCGTTAATACTGACTGGGACCTTCACACAGCTGGGTGCTTGCCTTCGCTCATATGCATCTTGCCACCGCATTCCCGGATAATTCCCATAATCTTGGGATGTGGAACCGCCGATTTGACCTTGAGCGCTCGCTGATATAGTGCCTGTCATAGCGTTAGAGATAATGCAGGCAATGTTGAATTCGGACAATCTACTTTTAACCGCTTGTTATTCCTGGTCTCGGCATACATGAGAATCTCCAGCGAGTACACCTCCAATGAATATGTGCCCTTGCTCGGGTCGTCGCTCCCATCCTCGAGTTGACAGGCTTTGTGCAACTCCCGGAGCTTGTCCGTAAGCTGTCGATAGTCCTTCCTGTCCAACCACAGCCGGGCGAGCTTGATGTTGGTCTTCAGCCAAAGCCGCTCGTTATTGGTGCTCTGGAAGATATCAAGGGTAAGAGCATAGAATTTCTCCATGCAGCGGTAGGCATTAACATCTTCTGCAGCCTTTTCTATAAAGTCGAGCATGTTGTTAATCGACTTCTCCGAGTAGTTGCGCGTCACAGCCGACTTGACGTAAGTCAGAAGCTCCTTATAATGCTCTACAGCCTGTTGATCTGTTAGTCAAAGCCCAATCGCATAGGTTGCCATGTCTACCTTGTCGTAGCGCGCGAGCTTAAACTCCAGCTTGATTGCCTGCTTTAGGCCCTTGAAGCCCCTACACATCCGTCAGTCCATTTCCATGACGCCAGATGCTCGTGTTTCGTACCAGTCCGACTTCTCTTCTTCCAGCGCAGGCATACCCAAGAACTCGTCTATGGCTGCCTCGGGATCATCGGCCTTGAGCTGCTTCGCGTTATAATACTTGTTCTCGATGTCGACATCGCCGCTCTGCTCTTCATCGTCGTCTTCATACTCGAAGTCATACCTAGGAATGGTTAGAAATCATATATACTATCTCTATACCACCTTGACTTACTCCTCATCGCCGGAGTCTTGCATAAAGTCGTCATCGTCAGACATGGCTGTGGCGCGGTCGGTGAGTTTGATATGCGTGTCGTTGTATCAATTGTTTGATGATAAATACAAGTGAGATTGCGACTTTATCACGGGTGGAAAAGGTGTTTGCGTGTGTGTGATTGTTCAGCGCTGCCTGCGTGGTTGTTTGGGTACATGAACGGCGGTGGTGCCCGCCGGCGCCCCGCGAAGTGGGGCCCGAGCTTCCTGCATAGGTATACCCACTACTTTCACTCTTACCTTTGCGACGATTGTGAGCCTGTTCAGCAAACAGTAGGTAGTGTGACAATAACTAAGCCTTGCTGCCAGCTTCACTACATGTCATCTTGAGCTCTGCAAGCTTTGCGCTATTTCTTTCTTGGTAGGTACCCATCTGCATGTGTTTTGCGATCCAACTAGTACGATCTCCGTCCGGGTCATGGGGGTATGAAGCTGTAATAACTCCACTCACGATACTTAGTGGTGAGATAAGTGGGTACATGCGCATGTGAAGGGGGTCATATCGTCTCTGCCTTGTCCAGCACCCGGGTGACATACTAGTGTACAAAGGTCACTACTGTAAGCGCCAGACACGCCTATAAGGTGCTTACCCACACGGTCAAGTACGGTATGTACAGTATTCTATGTCACCCAGGTGCCAGCTTATCCAAGTATCCGGAAGACGTTCAAGGTGTTTTTGTAGCAAGGCGTAAGTATTTCGGTTTCGGTTAATGTATCAGCGAGCCATCATGGGAAACACGAGATACGAGCGTCCTCGTACTGGATTGGGTGGGCCTAGATCGAACTGGAAGACATCGGTCGGGCATCTACCAAAATCGACCTTCTTCTTTCGGTCCGGCTTCTCAGCACGTGGAGAACCACATCCATGATTCCATGATGCCCCCAGTCGTTCCTTGGTTGTCGGTGTCGGCTAGCAGATCCCTCAACTTGGGAGGCCCATCACATAAGCTTTTCCGATCAGTTCCCAGCTTTACTGCCGGCATCTCCCTTTCTTTTTCCATCGCTCTTCGTCAGCCCTTCAATCGCCATCACCAACAATCTCCATCGTTGGTAAGTAGACCATTGGGCGCCTCGGTGTGCAAACATATAGTGCCAGGGCGTCCTTGCCACTTGAAAGCATTGGCGTCGAGGCTGTGATGTGATGTGCTAACCGCATTAGGGTTACTCCTTCCCGTGAACATCTCCACTGCATCTTCACACTCCCCGGGGCCATACCTTGCTACCAGCAGCAGCATCTCCACACGGCTTCACCATCCTTAGGATCCTCGCGTGCGACTCCCTCTGTCCTTCCTACCCCGATCGCGACTGCAACCGCGACTGCCACGACCGTCCTCAACGCGCGCGCGTTCTCTCGTCCCTGAGCAAACGGAACGGACCCATCCTAAACATTCACCATGCCCATGTGCGGTGGAACAAAGTCTGTGCAGCGCAAGCTAGTACTACTGTACGTCTGCTTCATGCGGGGAAGCCTCTTTGTTTGGGCGACCCGCCGACAATGCGACGGCACTTGGCTAACGAACTTTGGACAGCGGCGACGGCGCATGCGGCAAGACTTCACTATTGAACGTTTTTACGAGAGGGTATGCCATAGTCTACTTACCCCTTTCACAAGCGCAGCGCTGACTTTCGTATAGATACTTCCCAACAGTATAGTAAGTGACGGGCGCATTTGATGAGGGCGCGACGCTGACCAAACCTTTTCAGTGAGCCCACAGTGTTCGGTAAGACTTCACCCGCGCGCTACCTCTAGAGCCTGCTAACGACTATCACAGAAAACTACGTCCACGGTTTGTGCGCCTATACGCGAAACCGACATGACTAGACTGATCTCGCTCAACAGACATCTACATTGACAACACACACGTCGAGCTTAGCTTATGGGATACTGCGGGTCAAGAGGAATTCGACAGGCTACGGTCACTCAGCTACGATGACACGCATGCGATCATGCTCTGCTTCTCGGTATACTCAGTCCCAATACAATCTCCAGAACGCGACTTACACCCCACAGGTCGACTCTCCCGACTCACTCGAGAACGTAGAAACCAAATGGGTTGGTGAAATAGCAGAAAACTGCCCAGGCGTAAAGCTCGTCCTTGTAGCGCTCAAGTGTGACCTGCGGAAAAAAGAAGACGATGATGCCGACGGCCAGCAGCCAGAAAAGCCATGCATTGACTACAACGAAGGTCTGCGCGTAGCAGAAAAGATCAAGGCGCTGCGATATCTCGGTAAGGTTGCGTGATAAACAACCTTGATGCAATAGTTAACACATGTCCAGAGTGCTCCGCGATGAAGAACCGGGGTGTCAACGAAGCTTTCACCGAAGCTGCCCGTGTTGCTCTGCAAGTCAAGACCAGCAAGGACCAGAGCGGCGGTTGCACGATCCTCTAAGTTGTCCTCACTATTTCTTGCGAACATACTTGCACGCTTCGACATTGTGCGTAAACCCGCGCCTACATTATCAGCTCGCCATATTGAAGCGCGCAGGAGAGTAAAGTCCCTTCGCTGGTGTGTGTGTGGCTTCGCATCGTTCATTCTTCTTTATATCATTCCATTGTTGCCAACTTTACAGGGAAGGTGATCTGCATGATCTTCAGCCAATCTCAGTTGGATAGGATGAAATCAAATTCTGGGATGCAGAATTGACTCAATTATGTCACATATTTCAGTCTGGTTGTGTAGTCTCAGCTTGCGTAGACCTTTCTTTTAGCCTTTCTTATATTGTTTCCGCTCTTATACTTTTATTGTACATGTTGGCGCTAGTCAGGCTTCGGCACTGACTTGCTTTCACTTCTTTTCTTGATTAAGTTTGGTTCTTGTTGGGGGTAGGGGCGGGTACTGACTTGCGTGCCTCCTCAAGTGCTTTTTGGAAACGATGATGGTTGAATACTTTTCAGTGAGGACCCGGTCTTTTTATGTAGAAAAATCATATTCATCATTTTCGTCACGTTTGCTTTTGAACTGAACATAGTGATACTTAAACTCTTTTGCTACAATTGTATATGATCGCTCGATGTTAGGCTTGCTCGGTCGGTTATTTAACTAATCATGTCTACCTTTGACACAAAAAATGTATATAACCAGATCTTATCTTGGTGTATACCATGTCCTCACTTGTTCCCAACAACCCTATCCTCCTCCATTGGCTGTACCTCCTTCACTTTCTTCACAACCCTAGCCGGCTGTCCCATGACGACACAGAAATCCGGCACATTCTTGGTCACAACACTCATGGCACCCACAGTAACCCCCCTCCCTATCGTCACACCAGGTAGGATCACTACGTTTCCGCCAACCCAGCAATCATCGCCAATCACAACCGGACGTCCATATTCAATATTGTCGCGCCGCGACTGCACCTCTGCCTCGTGAGTAGCAGCAAAGATGGATACGTTGGGACCAAACATGCAGCGGTTCCCTATGGTAACGAGGCTGCAGTCTAGTATGGTCAAGTTGAAGTTACTGTAAAAGCGAGAACCGAGTGAGATGTTACAGCCGTAGTCAATGTTGAAGGGTGGTTCGATGAAAATCTCATCATCGGCTATGTGACCGATGATTTGCTTGAGGAGGCCGAGACGCTCGGCTGCGAGCGTGTCAAAGCCTTTGTCTGGGTCGGTGGTGGGGTCGGGGAACCAAGTGTTGTATTTATGGGCGAAGGCGCGGGCTTGGTAGCGGGCTTTGTTTAGTTCTGGACTGAAGGCGTTGTAGCTGGGTGGTTGTTAGTTGTTTGAAGTATGAGGGTGGAGAGAGTGGTTCGAAGTGTCTACATGCACCCAGGTGACACAAAATACTTGACATACTGGTGTACAAAGGACATTGTAGGAGCCAGAGAAGTCTACTAGGTGCTCACCTAAACTGTCAAGTGTTTCCTGTCACCTAGGTGCGTGTTTGATACAGTCATGGGGTACGTGCAGGATGAAGAACATTGAGATGATCAGAGTCAAAGTTTAATGATTGCAGGCAAAGTGGAATCTAGAGTACTCACAGCATTCCTGAGATCATCTTCTCGTACTCTTCGCACCAGGGCACATGGTTTAGCTTCTTTGCCTTCTCTATCTCTTGCATGTTCTTCTCCTGGGCTGCCATCTTGAACTTTTATCTTAGTATGGAAGAGTAGATTGGATTGTTGCTTGTTCTTGTGGTGATTAACTCGAGGTGTAGTACTTATAACCTTCTTGTCGTGTACTCTACCCGGAAAGGACCCATGGACGCTAGTTAAGTGGGGTAAACGGTCAGCAAGGAAGTAGCTCCAGATGCAATGGGCAATACCTCGCACTTTAGCGCCTTGTCATACCCAACCTGAAGCTTTTTGGGACCGCCTCTACTGCAAAATGCACGTTTTGATGGACCCATGATTGTTCTAGGTAAGGACGTGCTGCATATCACGGCACGACTTCTGACTCAGAAGTGTGCCGATCCCCAACAGTAGTTGGAGAGCCGTTCTGTTGTATATGCCCGGAGCCATCACCTACCACCCGACCAGTTTAACGAAAATTACATTGTGGCTCTTTAACTACCTATTGTGTTGATGGGAGAGTTATACAGGTGTCGATTACCCGAAAACTGATGTAATTATGTGTAAATCCTTTCGAAGAGACTTTTGAGAGAAAACCCTTAGAACCCTAAGACGCATCACAATATGTACCCACCTGGGTGGCATAAAGTACTTGACAGACTAGTGTGCAAAGTTTACTGTAGCCGCCAGACACAACTATTACATAAGCGTTCACCTACACTGTTAAGTAGTTTATGACTCAGGTGTAACTATTATCTGGGCCACGTGCATGTGTTGCCGCATTCGAGTGTGCATCGTCATCGACGGTGAGGCACCACTTAATAAGGCATCAACTTATGATTAGCTAGCCTGCCATTAGCTATAGCCCGCGATTTCCTTCACGGTAGCATTCACTGGCCAAAGGTACTTTAACAATTCTCTCGGGGCATCTAGTCCTCGGCATGTCCAATGACGAATTGTCGCATCGCCCGGTGGTGCACATGCGCACATTGTTCGTGGCCGTAAATTATAACTCTTAAAAGATACTATCTGGTCTCCAATTCAGCAATGGCAAGTACATAAATCGTAAAGAAATGCCCTTGCAGCCATGAGAGCGACCTGTCGGCTTGATGAGTGCCAAGACGCTAGCACCGCTAAGCGGGCGACCCATGTTCCACGCACTCACAGAATTCTAATCTCTTCAAGACTCTTGCGGCCCCGACACTCGCGCCCCCGCCATCAACTTCGAGCCTTCCGACACCACAACCAATTCAAGACTCTCATAAACCGTCAAAATGGTGAGTTTTAGCCCCCGGGAGCATTTACGAGGGTGCAGCGGGAGCTTGTGGCAAGCACACGAGACTCTCGGACTTTGCCACAGACGTCGAATTCGCAACGTCGCACGCCTTCGCCCTGCGCAAACCGTATCTCAATGAGAAATTATGGCTAACAGTACCCAAGGTTCTCGCAGTTGACCTTCTCAACCCCACCCCGGCCGCGTACGCATACATCTCCGCCGCTTCGACTTGGACCTGAGACTAACAAGCGTCCAGTGAGGCCCGCAAGCACAAGCTCAAGACCCTCGTGCCCGCCCCCCGCTCCTTCTTCATGGACGTCAAGTGCCCTGGGTGCTTCACCATCACCACCGTCTTCTCGCACGCAAACACAGTCGTCGTCTGCCAGGGCTGCTCGCAGGTCCTGTAAGTCTTGGAGAAATCACACTCTTTTTCGGGCGTGGGCTAATACATACATAGGTGCCAGCCCACTGGTGGCAAGGCGCGGTTGACCGAGGGTTGCTCTTTCCGAAGGAAGTAGACGGTTCGCTATCGCAATGATAGTGGGGAATGATGGATTACGATGATGACTATCATGGCATAGGGGCGTAGATCTCATTGGCGCCAATCGACTCGACCGCAGGATAGAAGAGGGATCTTTCGACTCGAGTCAATGCAAAAAGTCAAAAACGGGAGTTCCGGATATCTCAGCGCTGATGGACAACCCTTTCCTCGAATCTATTTCCTTTTTGTTTGGCATGGTCTTTCAGCTTTCATGTACATGCATGTGGGAGGAGAGATGGCATTTCAGAGCCTTTGGATCAATCGTCCTAGGTGAGGACCGGTTTGCAATCGAGGACACCTACGCATGCTAGCGGTCCTTTGTAAATCAAAACGTCAAATCCTCACATTCTTTTAACATTGTCAGGCATGTGGTGACTTTAACTTGTCGCGATGGTTTCATGACCCGAACACCAGTGAACTAGTCAAGTGCTTATTTGTGTTGTCCACCTCGCAAATGGCGAGATCCCCATAATCTCCACCGTCCAGAAAGAAATAACTGGCGTCGCGACATCCATGCTTAACCTAGAACAGAAGGACCTCACGATTCCCTGCACAATTTCGCTCTCCAAGTGGGGAATGTGGTCACGACCCCATGCCTGTTCAGCACGCACGACGGGCAAAACGCCGACCTCCGCCATCACCATGATATACATATAACACGCATAGCCACAGCACTCAACATCCATTAAAGAGGGAACGCCCTTGCATGCGTTCGCGTACATCCCTGATCATCTGCAGCAATCGGACACGACTCGTAACACAAGCCACCCCACGTCACCACTACGCCCCTACCACCTATCGCGCGGAACTGCAGGGTCTAAAATAGCAAAACCGATAATCCGAAATATCAAAATCACGAGCACCCTTAGCGAACATGTCTACTACATCATCAGCTGGAGCTGCGGCAGGGACTACAAACCCTCACCCTATCCCCCTCACCGAATCTGAAGTCCTGATCCGCGGGTTCCTAGCCGCTAACCCCGATCTTGACAAGGGCCCAATCGAAATGATGACTGATCGGTATACAAATGAGGAGTGGAAGGCGCAGATTGATGAGACGGTCAAGAATGTGTTGAAAGAGGTTGCTAGTGGGGTGAGGGCGAAGAAGGTGTACGAGGGGCCAAGCATGCGAAATGGCGAGGAGGCGTTGAAGCAGTTGGCCAAGACAGTAGATCATACAGTACTCAAGTTGGATGCTACGAGTACTGTGATTGATGGGTTGTGCTCTGAGGCCAGAACTGAAGGGTTCAAGGTATGCTTTATTTTTTATGTTGTTCCGCGCATCGATCGAGAGGAAAACCCACAACTAACACCCACAACAGTCTGTATGCGTGCGACTGAACTGGGTCCAACGCTGCGTCAGCGACCTTAAAGGCTCGGATGTCCTCGTAGCCTGTGTCGTTGGTTTCCATGAAGGAACCCAAGACACGTACTCCAAGTTGCGTGAAGCACGCGCTGCCGTCGCAGTAGGAGCAGCAGAACTAGACGTTGTGCTCAACCACTCTCTGCTCACAAAGCATAACCGTCCTGCTTCCCCCCCCGCAAGAGTCATCACTACCAGGGACTCTGCTATTGACAGCATCACCGCAGCAAACACGGCCATCAACGCCGGCAGCAACAGCGGCAGCGCGAGCGGACCTGATGAAGACGAGATCCCAGACTACAGTGCCATTTATAGGGAGTTGGCAAGCATAAGGAGCCTCTGCCCTGCTCCTACAACGCTTAAACTTATCCTCGAAACTTCACAACTCAACTCATCCCAAATCTTGGCTGCGTCGCACCTCGCTGCCGCCGCGTCATTTGATTTTATCAAGACTTCCACTGGCTTCAATGGCCCTGGTGCTAACTTGCCCAACGTTCAGCTCATGGTCGCTGCGGCAGAATATCTTGCTGCTCAGCGTGTCGGTAACAAGAAGATGGAGGTCAAAGCGAGTGGAGGCGTTAGGGACCTGAGTACCGCGATCAAGATGCTAGAGGCGGGCGCGACGCGATTGGGCACGAGTTCAGGACTCTGGATCATGCAGGAAGCGAGGGCTAAGGTGGGCGAGGACAAGGTTGCAGCTGGGATCGGGTCGGACAAGTCAAGCAGACCATCTCCCGGTACAAGGCTTTACACTGATGATTCGGTGTACTAGAGCTGAGGTCACTGTATCAGCCGCTATAAACCTTCTCTACAAATAAATAATACCATGCGATTCTAAACTCCTACTATCACTTCCTGTGCATACGCAACACTTTTAATAGATAGTGGGTGTTGCCATTATCTGATTGTAAGATTGCTTCCAAGGCTGAACAAATGACCAAGCTTTGTCAAACACAACCAACGACAAAATATATATAGTAATGCACCCCGTATTTCAACACGTTTAGTAGCAACACACAACATAAATCACGTCATAATCGATAGTCAGACACGGGTGAAGGTAATTGAAGATTTTTGGGCACTGGCTACATGAAGTGTATGTAGATCATCACCAGCCAACCCGCAAGGGATATAGTGCATTCAAGGACAGGATAACTGTCAAAGAAAATCATCCCGTCATGCCCAACGCCGATCATCCATGATTCATTCCTTTTGGCGTGTAGTTTACTCCTCGTCCTCCTCGCCGGCATCGTCGTCACCACCCTTCTCGGCGGCCTTGGCCTTCTTCCTCCTGACACGACCAGGGCGACCGCCACCGAATGGCGAGGTCAGAGCGAAGTCGATGTGCTTCTGGGAGTCGAGGCGAACCATGAAGGAGGGGACGTTGACGATCTGCTTGCCGACACTGTGGTATGGTTAGTCGCGCAGTTTTCCAATGCGTAGAAGGATATGCATACCGGATGTGGCGCTGGCGGATGAGAACACGAGCGTGGTGGATGGACTTGGCGAGGCCGAGCTTGTAGACGCAGGTCTGGAGACGGCGCTCCAAGAAGTCCTCAATCTTAAGAGCCAAGACGTAATCGAGCTTCATGCGGGACTCGTCGAGGACACCGACACGCACGAGACGGCGAATGAGGGCGTTACCTTCGAAGAGGCGCTTGGGGTCCTTCTCATCGAGAGTAAGAAGCGAACTGCACATATTAGCATAAGTTCCGCAATTGCGCAATCGATGCAAGTACTTACCGGGCGGCACGACGGATCTTGGACAGAGTCAACTGAACTCGCCAGACCTCGCGCTTGTTGCGGAGACCATACTCGCCGACGAGCTTCAACTCGGTATCACTATCCCAACATTAACCAGTGATTCAGACATAAGCGGAGCACGCTCTCGCTCAGTGGCCTAAGGGTATCACATACAGACGAGCGGACTCGAAAGGACGACGGGGGACGCTGTACGTCTTGGAGTAGGAGCGAGGGGGCGCCATTGTGGTTGTCGATGTCGAAGAAAGTTGTCGAGAGAAGTCAAACTGGATTTGAGATGCGGCGCGTGCACGGACTTCACATTGTGGGATGACTCAGCGCACTAAGTAGCCGGGCGAGACTAACCTAAATAAGCATCTTGGTGTCTGCGACGTTAAGCTTACTCTTGATGTTCAGAGGACTGCAATTAGACTCAGCTAGAGATGCGAAGCTAAGGGAGTGTTGAAATACTATAGATCATGCCTCCATTTTCATAGTCTTCTACCGCTCTGTACAAATGGCAGCCGACCTAGCATGACCACTTCTTGAATATTGCAAGAAATGCCATGGTTATGAATTACAATGAAGGGCATGCGTGCTGTACCAAGTCGTCTATTAAATATGTATTTTCCGAACACGTCGTACTGTGGAAAGAATCTCGCCATCTCGTCCTCCCCAGTGCAAAGCAACCAAAGCCGTCCAGAGTGCATTAGCCGCTTATGGTACAATCAGGTGATAAGTCAGTTCCCATTGCAATTAGAAAATTCAGATCTCAGTGCAACTAACTTTGCGCTGAGCGAAACCAGAATAGATATATCTATGGCAGGCGCTTTTGCTTGGCGCTAGTGATGTGGAAGGTGCACGGGCCCGCCTTCCGCAAGCGAGGCAGCCCACCAATTTTTGATCTGTTCGAATTGTGCATCATCAACTTCACTCGCCGCCAACAACCACCCCAACACATACACAATGGGTCACGCAGCCGGTCTCCGCGCGGGTACGCGCTATGCGTACGTTGTGAATCTCTGGTGCGAGAATGCGACGGTTACTGACGCTGCGGCAGTTTCTCGAGGGATTTCAAGAAGAAGGGTATGATCCCGTTGTCGACCTACCTCAAGCAGTACAAGGTCGGTGATATCGTCGATGTCGTAGCCAACGGTATGAAACCCCCAGACAGCGGAATCGATTGAAGCGGAGGACTCATGCAAAATAGGTGCGGTCCAGAAGGGTATGCCCTACAAGGTCTACCACGGCAAGACTGGTATCGTCTACAACGTCACCAAGTCCGCTGTCGGTGTTATCCTCCAGAAGCAGGTCGGCAACCGATATATGGAGAAGCGCATCAACGTCCGCATCGAGCACGTCCGCCATTCCCGCTCACGAGAGGACTTCCTCAAGCGCGTCAAGCTCAACTTTGCCAAGCAACAGAAGGCTAAGGAGACTGGCGAGCCCCAGCAGATGAAGCGCATGCCCGCACAGCCCCGAGGCGAGTCGATCGTCAGCCTCAAGGACAACAAGCCAGAGAACATTACACCTGTACCTTACGAGACCTACATCTAGACGTGGACAAGGTGGTTCGGATGCGCGGGCTGGCAAAATGGGATACGGATGGTCAACGGCGTGGTTTCTCGGACTTTTCGATTTCTCTCTCTTCTGCACTTTCATACGCATGGAAAGCGGCGATATCACGATGCAGATACGCTGATGTGCCAACATGGCTTTGAGTAACCCCTCACGCCAATAAACTTCATCCTCCAGTCCCTATTCTGCTCGTTCGCGTGCTTGTTCCGGTTGCTTTGTGATTCGTTTAGTTTTCGGCATGTTGACGTTCTGATATGATCCTTGCCGTCGGTTCTAATCGACGTCAACTACAGTGTTGCCTTAGTCAATCATGTGTAATCCTCCGGCAAACTGCCGTTGATCAGCAACAAGGTGCTTATAATCCCCCGAAGGCTGCAATTGCATATTGATCACACCATGTCATGCATTGCACAAAGAGTAGATCTTGCTTGAACGATATCACACAAACGAGGTGGCTTTGGACATTCATATCATAACATTATGATATCCCGATACCTTTCACAGCTGCTCCAAGTACAGTTGTCAGCCATTCAGGAAGTACTGCACAGCTTGATGTGTACCTTGTTTCTTAGGAACCTTTTCTCGGACATGTTGGATGATTTGTTGGAAGCTACAAGCAGTGATTGGCAATCACTGGCATGGTCGACCGATTCGTTAAATGACATCAGCATTTGACTCTCGATGGGGAAACCCGTTGTAAAGACAGGGTTTCGTGGTATGACAGTAGACGAATCCATTTGTCAATGACGGGATAGGAAGTAAGTATGCAAGGAGAGCCAAGGAGATCGCAGCGCAATGGAGAAGTCGCATTTGAACAGAGAAACCATTGAAACGATGACCAAGACTTGCATAGTTCTTGCTAGACAGAAATCGGATTCTTTGAGTGTTTGGAGGTGCCTAGTCTAACCTAATGATTCAACCGGCTCATCACGGTGCCTGGTCCTTTGTCTACTAGTACTGAGTCTATTTCCAGCCCGAACTGATCTCAAAATGAGCATGCAGGCTACTGGTCCTTTGTCAATGTTATTCATACTCCTGTCTTATGCTCCACATACCTTCTTCTTCTTCAAAGCCTATGCATACTTATACAAGTCTGTACGATCTGCTATCAAAAGCTTGTCGCTATATGTTTGTGCTGCGAGAAGGTTTCGGGATGGTAGGCCTCAGTGCGTGACCCACATCGGCCATCCAGCACGTGATGAACGGAAGCAAGTAGCCAGACATCAGGATGCAATCCTTAAAAGACCCACCAGAATATGCTTGCAGCATCGACCAACTGTGAGGAACATCACGAGTTCGCTACTCGATTCAGATGATACTTACCACAACCGCTCGTCAATTTTTCAGTATTGCAGCTTCATCCTGTACATATACACTAGTGCATGCGTTCGCCAATCGGTGGTTCCAGCTATCGATCTTTTCCTGATGCTCTTTCTTGCCATCTTTCCTCGCTCTAGATGCTACATTCGTCATTGTAAACGCCGACGACAAGCATGAAAATATGTCGAAAGGGAAGTGATGATGCAAAAGACATTGGTGATATTCATAAGCAGCAGAAAATGTCATAGCAAGTGATGGGAAGGCATCATGTATCAAAAGGCGGATTGTATAGCCGTTATCGCGTGCGGAAGAGCTATATAGCTGGGAAATGAGGTATCTCGTTGCGGTGGGCCGTTTTGGGGTGAATGGGTTTGAGAGGATCTTCATGGAGGCAAGCGCGGGGAGCAGAATTGTTTAGTGGAATTTTTATGAAGGCGGAGGGCAACGTTATGAATTTTCCGTATCGGGGGTCGGTTCCACCCCTGGGTCGATGAAACTGGGTGGGGGGTCAAGCACGTGCAGCCTATTTCCTTCTCTTTGCAGCGGTTGCCCAACAGGCGAAGCTATAGTTACGAGCCGCTTTGGTGTTGATGATAGTGGCGACGAAGCTGGCGGCAGGTAATGCGAAGATGCAGGCCGTTGAGCGCAAGAAAATATTTTTTTGCGAGCTCCCTGCAGTATACCAGCGTTT